TAGGGGAGCTAGTGGTACTAGCGATACTGGTGGTACTAGCGGTATTAGCGGTAACGGCGTAGGTACTTTATTATTAGCATCCTCTTTATCCGTATCTTTATTATATTTAAATAGCGGTAATAATGGTAACGCTTTACCCTTATCGCTATAAATAATACAGTTGCTCTTTAGAATTTAAGCCTTACCCTTACCCTTTTTATCTTTAAAAGGTATAATTTAAATAATAATAATAATATAAATATAATAAAAAAATAAAGAGAAATAAAGTAAAGATAAAAGTAAAATAATAAGTTATTAATTAAAACTAATTTTTAAAATTAATAGTAATTAAAGAAAAAAGAAAAAAAGAAAAGAAAGAATTAATAAATAATTAATAAAAATATATATATAAATTTTACTATAAAAGCAATATATAATATATACAATTTATAAAATAAATATAAACTTTATACCTATATACCTTTATAATAATAATGCCCTATATAAATAAATTATATTAATACGTTTATTATAATACTTTATATTATATATTTATATAATTAAACTTTTTATTTTATATTTAATTAATAAATTAATTATATATTAGGTTAAGGATAACTTAATTAAAAAAAAAGAAATAGTTATTATATTATAATATTTTAAAGCCTTTAAAGTATATATACTTTATATATATTATATACCTTTCCTATATATACTTTAAAGGAAATTCTTCCCTTCTTTAAGCTTTAATTTTATTAAATACCTATTATAAGATTAAAGAGACTTATAACATTATACTTAACCTTTAAGATTTAACCTACCTATAATATTTTTTTTTCCCCTCCTATACCTTTATCCCCTTTAAATTTCTTTACTTTATTTTTATATTATTTTATTTATTATAAATATATATCTTTATCTTAATTTAAAAGTTTAAGCTTAAAGTAAATTATAAAATAAAAAAAAGGATATATTTTATTATAATTATAATATACCTTCCTTTTATTATTAAGTTATTATTTAAATAAAAAAAAATTAACTTTAATAATTAAAAGGGTAATTTATATTATTTATTCTTTTTAACCTTATTTAAAGTATAATATTATATTAATTACCTTTTTAAAAATAATTATTATTTATATTATAATTTTAATTATATTAATAATTAAAATTTTAAAAGTATTAATTTTTTAAATTATTAAAAAGGAATTAAATTTAAATTTAAAACTATTAATAAATTTTTTAATAATATATAAATATAGTTAAGCTAAAGTTAAATTAAGTTTAATTATATTTATTTAAATCTATTATAATATAATAATAAATTAAATAATATTATTAATAAATTTAAATATTATTTCTTTTTATTATTAATAATATTATATAAATTAAGCCTTTTTTTTAAACTTATAATTTTAATATAGTTTATTTTATAATAAAGTAAATATATTAAGGAGCTTTATTAATATAGGTTAAGTTTATTAATAAATATTTTATAATAGTTTACTTTAAATTATAATATTAATTATATTATATTTTTTAAATTATTTATCCTTTTTAATAAAAAAGGTTTTTTTACCTTTTCTTTTTCTTTATTAAAGGGTTACTTTATAAAGCTTTCTTAATAATATTTAAATAAACCTATTTATATTAAGTTTTTTTTATATATTTTAACTTTACTTTAATTATTATTTTAAATTATTAAAAAAGGCTACCTTTTTAAACTTTTTAATATTATTTAATAATATTTTAATTAATTATTAATATTATAAGTAATATAATAATAATTAATAAAATTAATTTAATTAATTTAATAAATAGGTTAATAGTTATAAGGAATTTTATAATATAGGGTTAAATAATAATTAATAATTTTTAATTAATTTCTTTTTTAAAGTTTAATATTATAATATATTATTAATATAAATCTTTTAAAAAGGTATTTAATAAGAAAAGGTTTATAAAATAGTTACCTTAAGAATTTTTAATTAAAATAAAGGGTAAATTTAAACTAAAGTTTTTAATTTAAAAATTAATATTAAAAAGGAGGGCATTAAGGTTAATAAAAAGGTCCTTTAAAGTAATTAATTTTAAAGTTTAATAATTAAATAAAATATTAACTTTATAGTTAAAAAAATCTTAATTGTTAAATATTAAAGGGTAAAAAAAAACTTTAAAGATCTTTAATAATAATAATAAAAATAAAAATAATTAATTAATATAATTTAAATTTAAATTAATATCCTAATTATTTATATTTTTTTAATTAAAAAAATATTTAAATTATATTAAAACTTTATATATAAAATAAAAAAAAGCTTAAATATTTAAAAAATAAATAATATTAAATATTTAAAGTTATATTTAATTATAAAGGTTATAATAAATATTTAATAATATTTTTACTATTAAATATTAATAATATAATTATAATTATTTTTATAATTATTAAAAGGAAAAGGTTAAATTAAGGATTTTTAAATAATTAATTATATATAGTTAATTTATTTAACCTTTATTTATTTTAAGGAATTAATAGGTTAAAAATTCTTTAAATTAACCTTTAAAACCTAGCTTTATTAATTATTATTCGAAATAATAATATTTTAATATAATCTTTATTTATAAGATTAATAAAATGGAATTTTAATATATATCGTTATTTTATATTTATAAATAATAAAAGGTTAAAGATAAAGTATAATTTTAACCCTTAATAGCTAAAGATATGCTTAAGTAAACGTCCGGGCTTATAACCTATTAAAAGTAGTATATATAATCCTATTAGATTATTTAGAAGTTTAAATTACAATATAGTTATCTAGCTAAATGAAGGTCTTATATACAGATTCCCAGCATTCCAGTATGTGGAACGCAAGTATCACCGCCTTCCCTTTCTGACACAACATACCTAGTACGATTCTGCAGTTGGGTCAGAGTGCAGCATAACACAAACAATCCAAAACCAACTTGGAACAAACACCTACCTGGTGGTGGGATCAGTAACTTCACAGAACCCTCTCCGGGCGCAGAGTGTAATATTGGATTACGCGAGTGGTACCTTCTCATCAACCGCGTGGGGTTACGATCGCCAGTGAGGACACCTCGCAGAGGTGCAGAGTCAATAGAAGTGAGCCAGCGCCAGAAGCGATCAGTATAGTTATTTTCAGATGATCTAAAGGTCTAAGTTCCAGAGATCTCTCTGTTTATAGACGATCTCCGCAATAAGGTTCTGCCGCTCCGTCTCCACTTCTCCGTGCCAGGACATACTGTAATGTCGAAGATCCAGCACACCGAATTGAGGGAAACGGAACATTCCGGCGAACCATCTGCTCTCATGTAGGTACGCTCAATTCAGCTCCGTGACCTTTCAGACCCAGTTTTCAGGTCCATACTACCCCTGCTAACATATAGACATCACTGGTACTATAATTCGTCACATGCATAGGTATAACAGAAACATGAAGTAATGAGCTTCTAAGTAGCAGCTGTTATCACGGTACATCCAGTGTCTACAAAGTTACCTGTAAAACTAAAACATTGAAGCCTAGTAAGTCTCATTGGCCCAGCTTTTCTCTTGGTAGGTCACGGAGCTGAAATGGCGTTCGAAGCCTGAATATATCTAGATATAAGACATGACATGATCCTCATTCCATCGATAGAGTGTCGTGCTTCCCTCCCTTTGCGCTCCGAACTTCTTGTTTAGATGTTATGGGAAAGTGTGGTCAACAAGAGGCTCACATATGCTCGAAGGGTGGAAGATGCGCCAATCTGTCCAGCTCTCGCTGCTTCATTTTCGTTGGTCTTGAAAGGGAGCGGGGGTGGGCTATTGCTACTACAGTAATTACCTACTACGTGCTACTCAACGCGACACTCTTAGCACATTATGTAAACGCTTGGCGGCTTTCTGCTTACTCCGCTTTATTTCCGTTTGCTTTCTAAACTCCCAGCAGCTGAAAAAAAATTAGGTAATTATATTTTTGTACTCTTAGTTTTCCTCGAAGACTTTAAAAGAGGGGAGTAGTCAAAGTTGATATATGCTATTATAGGTTAGCCTAGTCCAAATACCATTGGCGGCTGGCCGTAATAGTGTATAGGCGCTCCTATATAGCCCCCTAGAAGGATAGGCTGGCGAGGCTGGAAAGAAGGGGGCTGTACGGAGTCTCCGAGCTTTGAGTTTTGCTTTTTTTTGTAGATCAACACCCTACTGCCTTGCTTAAGCGTACCAACTAGGTCTCGATGTGTGTAGTCACCCGGTACATGAGATCTTCGACCTTACCTGACCCTGACCCCGCTCTGCTGTTTCTAGCACATGGTGCTTCATTTCACACGTACACACGGCTACGGACATACGTAGTATAAAAGACTCTCTTATGAAACTTCATGGTCTTATGATGCTTGCAGCCTCGTATTGAAAGTGAGATGAGATCAATGAGGCCTAGGTGGCCAGGACAGCCAGTCCAATTGTATATAGAGTCAAACTCAGCCACCAAGCTAAGAAGGACTTGTTTGGTCAAGGACTTCAGCAGCCCGAGTAGATCATTATACTTTGAATAACGTCAAATTCCAAGCCCAGATTTCTGCCCTTGTTTTACTTCCTATCTGCTCCATTGCTTCAACCACCATTGATCCCAGGTTAAGGCTATGATCAACACTACCTCACCACGGAAAGGGTACTACCTGGTGGTTAGAACGAGGCTCACAAAGTTACTATGCCTTAATAGAGATAGTATACCTAGGTACTTACAAAAGTACAATGCAGCATCCTCTTTCCACGAAGAGAGACCCTTTCTCAGAATGGTCTCAATTCCGATTACAAGCAATATCTCCATCCTAATTTTCAATTTTCATGGACGTTGGTTGTGACCAAAGCTTCGGTGAGCCAAGATTTTCTTGCACATCGAGGCAAGCTAGTTCTACCACCTCTCTTGATGCAAAGGTTGACTGCCAGTTCTTTAAAATAAGATACTCAATCTTACTCATCGGCCTTCATCCCACAAAATATGGTGGCGTCTGCCATGCTACGTTTTCGGTCCCGAGCGCTTTTTTGATCGCGAAGGTAGCACAGTAATTAGCTACAAAGGTCTCGTTGGGGGCTAAACGCTCTCCCCGGTGTTTCTATTCTCACTAGAGGGGCTATCCCTAGGGCTTACTTGAGCCTAGGACTTCTTCAAGCTCATCGCTCTAATCCGTGCAGACGGCTGTGTCAGATCGAATATATGTATCATGCGTCCATCAATTGTGAGCACTCCAAACCTATGATGTACCCCTCAATCCTCCCTCCATTCTACATTAACAGCGCTTCCCCTATACCATCTTACATTTGTCATGGCTTCAAGCTGCGAAGTCTGTCAAGGTGAGGATGGGCTGGACTTCTGCACCGGGTGTAATGACTACTACTGCAATAATTGCTGGGGAAAGCGCCGGGCACACCGAGATGGAAAGCAGCTTGGACCAGGAGGCATACCTCACGAGCGCGTGAATCCTGAGATCGTCAAACGGGTTGATGCGTGTGTGACAGGGCCAGTAAATGAGCAAGAGGAGAGAGAACAGCATGAGGATGATCAAGACACAACCTGGTTTGGTCTTGACAGAGACTCAGGCGGCGACCCTGTACTATCTGAGTACAGACGCTATGCTTCAATCATGATGACTAGTACCACAGAGAGGTCAACTATCCAATACCCGGGACTTGTTTCCTTCGTGGGGCAGACAAATGCTGGGAAAAGCACTCTTATTCGCTTGTTGATTAACCGAGCAAGGCGCCAGGAAAACCTAGCCGGGCTCGCTGCGCCTGTGGTAGGCCGTGGTGATAGCGAGTTGCCCACCTCCGCTGATGTACATTTATACGCAGATCCGGAAACATTCTCGGCTGACCAGCCTATTCTTTTTGCTGACTGTGAGGGATTTGAAGGGGGTGAGCGCGATCCGGTCGCGTCTAGCAGCAGTGATGTTAAAAGCCAACAAGCTCAGCGCATCCAACGAAAGGCTCTCCTGTCAATAAGTGTGGAGTAAGGTACACTCTAACCTCTAACTATAAGTATCACCGATATTCCCCTAAGTTTTTAACTATATATTTTAACCTTTTAATTATTCCGAATATAACTTATATTGCTATTATATATATATATCCCCATTCCTTTTAATAGGTTATAAGCCCGGAATAGCTTACCTGTATTGTTTTTAATTTAAACGATTACTAAATAGTTATTCTTTAACTCCTTTTTAACTTTCCTTGAAGCTATTCCTTCGAAATTACGAACCTTGATTAAATCTATTATTAGATAATATATACGATAATTTTTAAAGTTAAAATAGCATTTCCGAAAATTAAAATGATCTATAATAAATATGATACTTATACGTAGTAAAATTTTTAACCATTATATTAATTAATAAAAACTTTGCAGGAATTATTAATCCTTTACGAAAAATAAAACCCCTTATAAGGGGATTTTTTAACTTTAATTTATTAATTCCTATATTTAAAAGAAATTAAAGCTAATTTAAAACGTTAGTAATTAGTTTAGCTATTAAATTCCTAACTTTAGCTACCTTTTTAAATATTTAAGCTATAAATCCTTATTATACTAATTGCTTTAAGAAGTTTCTTATATTTATTAATGTAACTTTTCCGGGTATTTTACCTTTTTTAACCTTTTCTTTTTAAAATAAAATAAGCATTAATAAATTTTTAAACAAAGAAAATATATTTTTAAATATATAATATTTATTTAAGCTTAAGCTTCTTTTCTAATTTACTTTTTTTAAATTTTTTTATAAAGATAATTTTTTTTATTTTATAAATGAATTATTTATATCTTTATTTAATTTATTTATAGATAATTTTAAAAGTAAATTCTTGCTTTTTAATAATAATTTATTTTATAATTTTTTATTAAGTCCCTTTTTAATTTTATCCCCCTTTTTACTTTTAAATAACTTTAATCTTTATAGTTTTAAAGTTATTATATAAAAAAATTTACCTTTGCTATTTATTAATACCCCTTTTTTATTATTAAGTTTTTTTAAATTTAGGTTAATAATCCCTTTATTAAAAATAATCTTTTTAGTAAAGACTTTAATACCTGCTTTAATAAATGTTTTAATGCTTTTTTTATAAATAATAGTACCTTTATTAATTATTCTAGTATTATAAAGAGTTATTATTTTTTATATTATTATTATTCTTTATATTATCCCTTAAGCTATTATACTAATATTTTTATTAATTATACCAATATCTTTAATAAATCGATTTCTTAAAAGGAAGTTAAAACGAAAGGTAAGAAAGCCTTTATTACCGTTTAATCTAGACTTTAAATCATTTGTTATTAAAGATTACATTAAGCAAAAAATTTAATATAGTTAAAATAGTTAAGGAAATAATCTCTTTAGCGTTAATTGTTATAATAGATTCCCTTAAGGATTATATTAAATTTATAAGGAAGATAATTAACTATTTAATAATAATAGGATATAGAAAACTTTTACCTAAGAAGCTTTAAACGGAAACCCTACCTTAATGCAATAGTAAAAGTAATAACGTATATATAATAAAGGTTAAAGATTAAAAAGAAAAATAAAAAAAAGCTTATATAATGATTTAAAATAAGTTAAGCCCTAATATAAGGGTAGCAGTTTTACCTATTAATAAAATACCCTATAATACTATTACTTTAATATAAAGCAAAATTTTTACTTTTAAGCTCTATAATAATATTATTTTTTAATCCTTAATATAATATTAAAATAGTATTACCCTAAAGTTATATAAAGGTAATATAATAAAGCTATTAGTTAAGTTTTAAAAAATTTAAAATAAATTATTAAAATTTAATCCTAAATATATTATTATAAAGCTTATTTTTATTAATAAGTTTTTTATTTTATTTAGGTTAATATATAATATATTCCTTATTACCTTTTTTTAATATAACGATATTATTCTTATTTATAAGGTAAATGGAACTATTAATTAAAAGGCTATTACTTTTAATAAAGCTATAACAACTATTAAAAGGAAGTAATAGAATTAAAAGTTTAAAGGTAATATTAACCTCCTTATTATAGGATATATTAAATATATATATTATAATAGGAACTATCTATTTATATACTATTATAAAAAGTTCCTTTATTTAACTTTTAAAAGTTATAAGAATAATAAAAAGAATAAAAGGAATAATAATAATAAAAAGCGTTATTAAAAGGATTAAGATTAAAATTAGGATTAAAATTTTAAAAAGATTATTAAAATGCTAAATATTTCCTATATAGTAATAAATATAAATCCTAATATTGGAACGTTTAACTTTACCTTTATAAACTTTTCCTTTATAGTAAAAACTTTATTATTTTTAATACCTAAACCTAATTTTTTAATAAATATATTTAATATTAATGTTAACCCTACTTTAGCGTTTAAAGCTTTATTAATAACTATTATCCTTAATATCTTTAAACTATTCTTTAATATTTTAAAGGAATCCTATATAATTAATACCTTAATAGAGCTTAACCTAATAAACTTTAACAATTTAATAAATAAATCTTTTATTAAAAAATTTAAATTAATAATAGTTTTAAATATAGGTTATAATTAATATTCCTTTTATAATTAATATAGCTTCCTTAATATAAGGAAATATATTAGTTTTAGGATTTTAAGGATAGGGGGGAAGGTAGTTATATTAAAGTTAATCGGTAATTATATAGTTAAATTAATAGTTAACAGGTAAAAAAAGCGTATAATTTTCTATAATATTATTTATTACTTTAAAAAAGGTATTAACTTTATCTTTATTTTTTAACTTTTTAAAAAAGGTGTTGAATTTCTTTTTTATTATAATAAAGCATTTAGGGCTAAAGGTAAAGATTATTTTATAAGAGTTAAAATTACCAATAGCTTATATTTAATTAATATTTTTAATAATAATACAAATATTATAGCCCTTAATATTAGCTTTTATATTTATTCCCTTTCTAACTTTAGAATATAAATATAGTATAAATAACTTAAATACCTAAGGGATTAAGGTTTAAAAGATCTAATGGACTATTTTATTAAAATACTTTTTATTTAAAAATATTACTTTTATAAGATATATATTAAAAAATAAATAAAGGAAACTCCTTATAAATTATCTTTATAAAAAGGAATATAAAAGTTAAAATCCTTATATATTAACTTTACCGGTATACTTATTAGTAAAAATTAAATTATAAGGTATAATGGTTTAATATAATAGGTTATTATTTATAATAACTTTTTTAAAATAATTTAGGTTTATTTTATAAAGTTTATTATAAATTTTTCTATATTATTTGAAACCTTTTTAAAGGAAAGAGAATGGTTAAAATAAAAGTACTATATATTTACCTTAAATTAAGAATTTATATTTACCGGATATAAATTTAAAGCTTTATATTAAGATAAAGGTATAGTATTATTTATTTCTACTATTAATTAATATTAATAAAATAATATTATAAAAAGGATAATAGGCGTTTTAAAAAATATTATCCGTTATTTATTAATTATAGCTATTAAAGCTAAAGTTGGACTTCGTTATTAACCCATTTTAATATATATTGTTACCTATTTTAAAAATTTATACCCTATTAAAAGATTGGGAAAAATGCTATATAAAATATAGTATAAAACCCTTTTAGATTTAATATACCTTTAAATTATTAGAAGTTTTAATTATTACCTTTTAAAGGGAAAAGTATTTATTTTTGATATTAAAATGGAGCTATATATTATGTTTAATTATTAGGATAAAAGCATTATAAATTATTTAATGCTTTTTAAGTTTAAAAGGGTAATTTATATAAATAACGTTATATTTAAGGAATAATGCATTTATACCTTTATTAAGAATTAAAAGCTTATATAAGGCATTATATATCCTATTATAAATATTATTAAACCTATTATTAAAGGTATTAAAAGTATTGCTAAAAGTAATATAGTTAAATAAGTTAAGTTTTAAATTTTAACGTTTAAAGCAAACGTTAATATTGCCCCTAATAAAGATGCTAAATTACTTATTTTAAAGGGAATCCTTTTTATATATTACTTTAAATATATATATAGCAATATATTTATAATACTTTTAAAATAAAATACCCCGCTATAATTTAATAAAACTCCTTTGGAAGGCTTTATAAACTTTGCTAATAATAGTGTTAAGTTAAGCCTTAAAACTTTTATATATATTCCTAATGTGTTTAATAATGAAAATGGAAACTATATTATAATAATACCGCTGCCCCTTAAAATATAAAGGAATTACCTTAATTTTTATTTTAGGGTAATAGGTGGACTTTTATACCAATACCTAACTATTAATTTAAAGTATAAAAAAGCTTTAAATTAAATTAACTTTAATCCTTTTTAAATAATAATATTTTTAATAAGTATTACTTATATTATATTTATTAAAGCTATAATTAAATTAAAAACGGTTAAATAAGTTAAAAATAATATATATTAATATAGTTAATATAAAGCTATAAGAAGTAAATATAAATTATTAATTAATAATAAAATATAAAAGCTTTATAAGTTATTAAAAGAATATAAAGCATTATTTAGAAAATGGATATTTAAGTTAAAATAAAGACCTAATAGGTTAATTGCTTAATATAAAGCTTACTTTATAATTAAAAGCTTTAAATAAATGGAAGGCCTAAATTATAATAAAACCTTTATATTTATTATTAAGCCTATAAGTTATAAGGTAATATTTATTATTGCTGCTGCTTTAAATTTTGAATTAAAATAAATAAATATAAAAATAGCATTTCTTTATAAATTGGTTAATAAGGAAATCTATATTAAATAGTTTAACGAATTTATAAATAGAATTAATAAGGTTTATTAATTATTAAAAGCCTTTTATAGCTTTAAGTAGGTACTTAAGATTTAATATAAAACTTTAACTACCTTTTTAAAGGGATTAGGTTTTATTCCTTTAAACGTTAACATTAAAGTATTTATTAAAGAGTATATTTATATTATTATTTATATAAATAACCTTTTTATTATTATTTCTTTTATAAAAGAAATTAATAAAGTAAAAATTGCCTTATATAATAAGTTTAATATAATAAATCTAAGCCCTTACTTTTATTATTTAAGTATAATAGTTAGGAGGGATTAAGTAAATTGGGCAATTTATTTTAAGTAAAATGCTTATATAAAAAAGGTTTTATAAAAATTTAATTTTTAAAAAGCTAAGCTTAAAGATATTCTAATAAAAATAAAAGCATTTAAGCTTTTATTAATAAACTATATAGCTATATTAAAAAATAAAGCCTAGTATATAAATACTATTAATTTTTTAATATATGCTATATTTAATATTAAATTAAACATTACCTTTATTATTTCTTTTTATAGCTATTTTATAGCAAGGTTTAATAAGGCCTACAGGTTAACAGTTGGTTAAATTTTTAAATACTTTAAAGGGATAATAGATATAGAATTAATATACCGTAAGGAACTTTAAAATTTAACAAATTACATTAATATAAACTATATTAACAATAAAAATACCTATAGGTTTACCTTAGGCTACATTTTTAATATAAGTAGCAGAGCTTTTAATTAAAGTTTTAAATAACAAGTTATTATATTATTATTCTCCTATGAAGTAAAATATATTAAATAAATATAAACTATTAAGGAAGCTATTTAATTAAAGTTATTACTTAAGGAGCTAAATTCCATTTAAGGGATAAATATTATAATAATTTATAAGGATAATTAAAAAGCTATAGCCTTAATAAGTAACCCCTTATACTATATTAATATTAAATATATTATTATATAGCTAAAGTTTATTTATAAACGTTAAACTATTAATAATATTAAATTATAGTATATTTTTATTAATTAATAGGTTATTAATAGATTAATTAAAGCATTAATTAAAAATAAGTTTTTTACCTTTTATAATACTTTAAGTTTAAAATAAATAGGAATCTTTATAAGGTCCTCTTCTATTACCTTAAATATTATTACTTTATAACTTAATTAAACTATTATCTTTTCGTATATTTAATATATATATTATAGCTTAATAGTAATAAATATACCTACCTAATTATTTATTATAAACTATTAATATTAAAGTTAAGGCCTTATAATTATATATTTTAAAAAACTATTAAATTCTTTAAAACGGGATGCTTTAAAGGGTAATAGCCCTATTAATAAATTAAATAAGATCATAATTTAATATACCTCCTAATTAATAATAATATTTAAAGTTTATTAATAATTATACCTTAAAGCTTTTAAAGGGCTTTATAATATTATTTTATAGCTTTTAAAGGCTATTATAAAGTTTTTTTATAATCCTTTAACTAACCTATACAATTGCCCGTTAAAGTATAACGTTATTAAAGTTATATAATTGGAAGTAAGGCATTTTTTTACCACTATAACTATTATAAACTTTAAAGACAACAAACTTAGCACTTTATATATATTAAATAACTTTATATATTAAAAACTAATTTAACTACTTTTGTTTATATTAAAACAACCCTTAATAGGAGTTTTTATTATTAATAACCTATTTTATAACATTAAACTTAATTAAATTCCTTAGGGAATTACCGTTAAATCTAAAATCTATTAGAAATTAATTAGCTTAATACCTAAAACAATATTAAAGTATTCTAAACGTGCCCTATATTCACCCTAAGTTAGTTTCGTTTAATTACTTCGGTAAAAAGAAAAACTGGAAAGCCTATAAAGTAATACCTAATATATATACCTTTAATACCTTTAATACCTTTTATAACTATTATAAGGATAATAAAAAAACTTAATTAAAACTTTTTTACATCCTAACTAATAAACTAATAGGAAACCTATAGCAAAACATTAAATAGTATACCTTTATAATAGCTATTATAGTTAACCTAACCAGGGGTAAAATTATAATGTTTTAGGATTATAACCCTATTAATAATATAATAACTAAATTATATACGAAGAATATTCTTTAAGGAAAGTAATATACCTTTATAAATATATTATTTAAAAAGGTATAAAAATTTATAATATAATATAATATTAATAACTTTATAAATGGATAAAACTTATACCTATTATATAATATATTATAAATTTATTAATAGGTTATTATAAAAGATTAATAATTTTAAGGACTTAATAATCCTTATATAAAAAGTTATATAGCCTTTATTAAATAATATTTATCCTTTTACCTTATATAATCCTTACGTTATTATATCTATATAGCTTATTTTTTCCTTTTTTTTTTTTTTTTCCCTATAGGGGTTTTATTATAGGTTTTTAACTATATTAGCAACTTTAAACGGAACTATATTAAAAAACCAAAAGCAGGCAACTTTTGATGAACTTTATATACGATAGCTTCCTATAAAAGGACCTACCTTAAAAGTGCAAAGGGGGGAAGATTGGTTAATATTTTGACTTTAACTTTACTTATATCTTCGATCTTATTTAAATGCTATAAATTACTATCTTTACCTTTATTAAAAGGTCCTATACAATATATCCTATTAGCTATTAGCCCTATTAAAGCAACGTATAAGTTTAAAGTAAATGGGAATATTAATAAGTGTGGAGTAAGGTACACTTTAACCTCTAACTATAAGTATTACCGATATCCCCCTAGGTCTTTAACTATATATCTTAACCTTCTAATCATTTCGAATACAACTCATATTGCCATCATACGTATATATCCCCACTCCTTCTGACATCTCCCTGTTGCTGGCAGCAGCAATCCCTTACGTCGAATTATCCCAGGCACGAAACGAGCTTTAGCGTGGGCACGGAGAGATGCCCCGAACTACGAGAAGACAAGCAAGAGACAATATGCCGTCGCAGAAATGTATCCTCGGATCTTCTACGCCTTCTCAGACGTGATTGTATTTGTGCTGAACAATCCGAAGTAAGTTTATCTCTAATGATAGTTTGAGAGGATGACCTAGGTATTTTGCCCGCAAGGAATTTCATCGCTGACTATGTGTTGTTATAGAACAATGGAGGACGTAGTTGAAAAGCTACTCGCCTGGGCTGATGCCAACCATTCAAAATCAATAAATCTACCAAGCAAGCCTCACGCCATCATTGCACTCAACAAGTGCCCGAACTCGACGCCGGATGAGTTGTGGAATTCTCTTGAAGCCACGGATCAGCTTTTTAAATCTATGAGTTCGCAAATCCAGAAGAATACCACCTTTCAGGGGTATGTGAAGAAATGGGAGTCTGCTAAGCTCCGAATCTCTGACATGGAGGAACTATTTCGGTGCTATTATTCTAAAGTTCACGTCGTGCGAATTCCAGATAAGAGCCGCTACACACTGCTTGAAAAACAGTGCGACGAACTGTATTGTATCATTCGCAATTGTTGCGAGAGATCATTCATGAAGAAGAAAGAGTCTCGGATGCTCCCCGACGCCGATGAATTTGGCATCTACATGTCGTTGGCTTTTGACCACTTTTCCCAGACACTTGAGGAGCCGTTTGATTACGTGAAAGCGTCCCTGAGGCACCGGCCGCCTCCATTGACAATGGCGGACAAACTGTATCAATTTGCAAACCTAGTGGCTCAGAGACTTGAGCTGGAGGGAGAAATACAGACTCTATTTGCCAGGATAACCGAGATGGTGGCTTCATGTTTGATACTGGACGCCGCTCGAAAGCGGCGGTTTGGTAAGTGTGCGGTTGACTTACGGGAGGACAATGAATGAATACTAACCAATCGATGCAGGCCAGCCCGATGATTGGTTCAAGATGTCAACTGGCCCATCTTCCAGCCTAGAAACAAATGACCGCCCAGGTGATTCCGACGGCTCGTCATTTGAGGAGCAATGCAGAATGGCTATTGAAGACTATTTTAACTATCAGGTTCCTTGCGAATTTCAAGTCGAGTCCCGTTCTCTGTTCTTGCTAACTGCCCCTTTCCATTGCAAGCAGAGGAAGATAACACACGGCGAGATGCATCGTGGACAGAACAGATACACATTTGATGAATACTTTGGGCCGTTTAAGCATAAGTTCGACCCAGAGAAGTTCGATTGGCCAGGCAAAGTCCTCGAGCGTATGGAACAAATGCAAAAGGAAGGGCTTTGGTACAATACCACTGATTCGAGACAAGCGCGAGTCCTCGCACACGGTAGGACAATACGGAACTTCTATAAGAACTTTAGAGATGGCGTGGGCATTTTCAGCAACTCCATATGCCTCTGCTGCTTATCCAACCCCCCAGATCATCAATTGTCCTGTGGTCATGTTATCTGTCTGGAATGTGCCAAAGATTTTGGAGAAAAGGATTTGGGACACCCAGATGGTCATTTAAGGCTTATTGTCAAACAATGCCCCATGCATGATCATCCTTTGCGCAATCAGTTCATTAACCAACCAACCACAATTGCGATCCAGCCCCCACATTCTGGCCTCAGAGTCCTGGTGCTGGACGGGTAAGCAGTCTCACGGCCAACTGTGCAATTCAACTGTAACTAATGTTGTTTCAGGGGTGGTGTCCGTGGCATAGTAGAATTATCCGTGCTTAGAGCCTTGGAAAGCCGTATAGGAGTTCCTCTACAACATTTCTTTGACCTAGTGGTTGGAACCAGGTAAGCCTAATGATATCAACCAACTACAGTAAGGATTGAGGCTATTACTGATACCTGCCAGTACTGGCGGCATCATATCCCTTGGTTTTGGACATGCGTTATGGTCCGTCGATGAGTGCATCGAGCATTTTAGAGACCTAGTCGGCGTGGCCTTTACTCCTCGGAAAGGCCAGATCCAAGGTTTCCGTCACCTACAATTGCTCATCCAAAGAAGCAAGTACGAAACGAAGCCGATCGAAAGTGCGCTACAGACTGCACTTGGAGAGGAAAGCCTATTCGGCAATCGACAGAAAAACGGTAGCCACTGCGTTAAGGTAGCTGTCACAACTGTTACGGACGCTGGCACGCAAGCATTAGTGCTTTCCAACTACAATGCGACGGATGTCTCTACCTCCGAGAAATCCAAGCCGAAGTATCGAAGGCACAGACCAACACGACCAGAGGATGAGCTCAAAGTCTGGGAAGCGTAAGAACCCGCTATTAAAGTCTTTCTACGCAGATATGTCGCTGACCATTCAATCTTTCAGGGCTCGAGCAACTTCGGCTGCACCCGGATTCTTCTTGCCATTTCATAAGGCACGTTCTACGGATATTGACTCGGAGGTGGTTCCTTTGATGATGGACGGTGCCATCTTGCACAACAACCCTATCCATGTGGCCATTGAAGAAGCCCGTAGGCTTTCAGATATCCAAGACCAGCGGCCAATACCGGACCTGGTGCTATCTGTAGGTACTGGCCTGCCCAAATATAGTAGGGTTGAAGAAGAAGCGACGAAATGGACAAGCGAGAGAAATGTAGCTGGCCGCCAAAGAGCAGTGATCCGCCGGAAGCCTGGACTTGTCAGGACCATATTCACTATGCTCAGCTACCAGATTCACTTGAATACAGACTCAGAGCGGCGATGGGCATCATGGAGTGAACCATATCTTCGTGACCCTCACTGGAAAGACCGCCTGTACCGCCTCAATCCCGATCTCGGTGAGGAGCCACCAGCGATGGACGATGTTGACAAAATTAAGTCTCTCAGTAACAACGTAGCTGGATGGATTGAAAACCATGTCGAGGTCCAAGAGAAGATCAGTGAGATCGCTTGCTCGCTAGTCGCCAGCTCGTTTTACTTTGAGCTCGAAGGAAAACCGACTCAAGCACAAGATTCATCGATCTGGCTCCATGGTTTCATTCGATGCCGAATTCCCAAAGAGGTGCAGCAGGGAAGGGGGTTAGGCGCATTCTTCGCCTCGTGCCACAGTCCTGTAGCCTTTGTGATCCAAAATTCAGGCAACGGTGCTGAGGCGGATCTGCGAGTAGAGATCCCCATTCCCGGCATGCACGAAGGTGGTGTCTACGGCGATATTTCTGTTAAATTCACTATACCTAGCGGAATTGTCGACACTACAATAGTTTTGGATTTGCGCGGCATCAGTAGGAATAGGCACATGTTTAACATCAGTGGTTTTCCACGCCAGTTGATGCAGGATGGCTATGGGCGAGATCGAGAGAGTTCAGGTTCCGAGGGTTGGGGGAACAAGGAAGATCGCAGTAATATCAGCGAGCTTCACTAGTCAAGACTCCGATCTAATTGTCACTTCTCAATCTACCATTACTGTGCTCGAATTTATCACTACCTAGATGGTAAGCTGAGGATAGGGGTCCCGGGCCGCACTCTCACGGGCCACCCCACCACGCGCTTTTTCGCAATGTTAGGAACTCGGTACGAAGACGTCTGCTGACTCATTGTGACGGTGCAGCTGTCTCGCCTTCTCCTCGCAGCCGCTGACTATAACCACCAGCCCTTCTTATGCCCTTGGCCGCTGGCTGTCCCCTCTGGGCCTCCGGTTTGCTATCGGCGTGTTGGCCCACTATGACATAGGATTAGCATACAAGAGGATATCACAATAGGAGCAATACATCTTGATTAGCAATAAAGAGGATTCTGGTGATCGAGAGTAAGGGTATGTTTGTTGTTAGTTGCCTGGCGTGCCAAGTCTCCGTCCCACCTGACTGCAAGACTTAAAACGTCTATTCCCCTCCTACCTGCCCGCACTTCATGCCATATTGTATCACCCGTCAGGGATACAGCTGAGAGTCGACATCAGCGATGACATTGACTTACCTCTAAGGTACGCACTCGCCGGGACACAGCCGCACTCGAAGGGGCACATCGCCGGACGGGTGCTCAACGCCACACATAACCGTCGCCTGAGGACGCACGCCCTTGTCACAGCTGGCATCACCGCTTTCCCAACGAGGAAGTGTTTCGCAGAGATTCAGCTATCCGACCTCTTCCCCAGGGCGCGTCAGATGCACTGCCCGGGCAACACAAGGCAGGGGAATACAAGCGCGGCAACCCGGCAAATGGTTCCGCAGTTTACCAAGCAAGGTAAGCACGACATGGTGAATGGGAAACAAGATGCTACGGGTCTAGTGCGCGGTCTAGGAAGGCCATGGAGACGACGGACGAAGCGCGACGAGGCTCCGAAAATTGGGGATATTGTAATAGCCATTTAATAGGGGACGTTAGATTTGTTCCTTGCCTTTTATGCACTACTTACGTGGGAGCCTGCTTCGAGTACTACTTCTCTATCTAACAACAGACGTGCATAAGCCGGGAATCGACAAGGCTCTCTCATCTATGCTCACAACTAACCAGAGAAGTGTAAAGTGCTATAATGTTATAAAGACGAGGTATTAAATTCCTAATAAGCCATTCCCCTTTGGACGATTTATTTCCTGTGGTACAACTTGTAATACCTATGATAGTGAGTGATGAACTAACTACCTCTATATGGCTCTAGGCACTGCAGAACATCTAGGTCGAATCTAAATGGATTAGCGGCCATAGCTTGGTAAGCTACCGCCAACTTCGCCTTTTCAACTTCTGGTCCGAAGGCCGAAAATTATGTATATTGCAATATTAGGTGAAAGTCGGCACGAGAGTTGTGCTGACTTATTATGGTGCGGCGGCCCCGGATCCAATATCGTACCTAATTAACCCCACTTTATTGCCGCCGGGAACTCTATATTATTCCGATAGACGGCTTGAGGAGTATACGATTATGCACAGGCTCTTTTGGGGTTTTAACAGTCATATACCCTCGCAAGCTCGGGTTTGCTCCAAGATTTTCAACAGTTACATACCTTCGCAAGTTCGGGTTTGCTCCAAGGTTATCCTTTTTAGGAACCCGTATATAGTAAGCATCAACTCCTTCGCTAACCTGTTTTTGTTTAAGCGCCATATGAGTCTTTCCTTTATCGATGCCTTGTTGTTGTTGTAAGATTTTGTTATAAAACTGCAGATCGATCGCCCTTTCTCTTGTCTGTCGTCTCATTTTCCAACCACTCTCACTCGTCCAAGTAGCTCGGAGGAAAATTCCAATCATTATGAAGTTCGCAAGTATTTCCTCAACCGCCGTGGCGACTCTCGCCAACTTGGCCACGGCCATGCCAACCGAATCCAAAGTGTCAGAACGCACACAGCCCGGTGCCATCTCCCTACTAGTTCACAGCTCTGGCTGCGGTCTTCTTGGCTGCCGCTACGATTTCTCGTTGATTGCGCAGGACAATTACGTGCCAGGGATTAACGGTTTCAATGTCAACGTGAGTGATTCTTTTCTACCTCAATCCTTACAAATACTACAGAAACACCGGAAATCCAACAGAGAATTATATATCATTTGCTCACTTTGGATTAACCGTGTTGACGTTGAAATATTAGTGTGTCACGTCTGTCATGACCGATGGACAAACCGGAGGTTGCAACTATTCACCCACCAATCAGTTCGTCTCGTACGAATTTACCGTCAAGTACCAGGAGGCAACAAAGATTACCATCCACCACGAAATCAACGGGACCGTGGTTGCCACCGCAAAGGGTGACTGGAATGCTGGGGGGTTGGAGGTCCCTATTCCCGTTGTCTCATAAGCTGCTGTCACCGAAGGTGGACAGTCGGCAATGGAAGATGCAGGTTCTGGGCGGTGTTGCTACCGCACCTCGCGCCGGACTCGTCGCCTTTTATTAATAGTACACGCTTGCATTCACTTATTTTATTCTCGTAAGGGATTAATACATGGAGATATTAGTGTCAATGAAATCTAGTGGAACACGCTCTTTAAACTTGCATGTTATACGATATCGATTGTGTGATTGTTACGAAAAGGACATGAATTGATGAACTTGCTCAGGTTTCATGGGGTGTGGCTGGTTTCAAGACGCCCTGTTTTGTGCTGCAAATGTGGTATGAGGGACCCCATTTCCGAATGCCAGAACTTCCAGTCCTTGAGGCTTCCATACCAACGCTTCAACATTTGTCTGCAATATGCGTATTTAGCAGATTTTGAGATAACTGTTTTACTTGTAACCTTTAACAGTTATGGATTGTGGCCATATACATTTGTATGCAATACTGAACAGTTGATATGAAAGCGCCTGCTGACTTATTTTGGTGGTGTGATGGTCCCGCCCTCTCCTTGCAGCTGCCGGGCGCCGTTTTGCTATCGGCATGTTGACCTGCTAGGGCACCGTATTGAAAGAACCAGAACAATCGAGCCTACCGGGGGTTGCTATTCCTTCTTCCCCGAACGATGCCGCTTCCACTTCGGCCACCCCCTTTTTTCACGGCCTTCCCGGAGCGCGCACTGGACCTACCACCTAACCCTTCAATAAAGTCGCCTAGGGCGAGCTGGGAACCAACAATGGATCTTGAAGCTATATTATATTAAACTAATACTAATTGTATGTGTCCGGAATGAGTTTGTAACATTACTTAACTTGCTAAGAATATGAGATGAGTTGGTGAGAAGAGGGACTAGGTATGTGTCGTGCGATTGCATCAACGGTCGATGGAATTAAGAAATGGATTCCATGATCTAATCACAGCGCTTACAGGCGCTGTAACATCGATAACGTTATGGTCAATATGAGTGTAGTCATGCTGACATGCATATAACGCCCTATAACGCGCAATTGGCCGCATCGGAAAAGTCCCACTACCTAAGCGCACAGGATCCATTTCTAGGGCAGGCCTATACGTACCTAGTCTTACACCTGAAGCAGTCCGTATATTTGCTGATGATAGATTGAACCCTAAGACGGTGATGCATGCTCGTAGACAGACGCTGAACAATAGTTCGGACGACTAATGGAAGTTGAGCAAACAGGACTTTTCGCAATCTCCCAGTCCTTCTAGCTTCCTGGTTCGAGCGAAAGGTGCATCAACTGACCTCGACCTGCCTCTTCTAGGCAATGCTAGGTAGCAATGCGGGCGCATTACCGCATTGAAGGATTAAACGGCTTTGAGATCTATACAGCCGCAGAACAGAGGTCACCGGTCGTAATGGTTGGAATAGCTCGACTATAAAGTGTCTCTAGCAGCTGAAGACAAATGTTCGTTGATCTACTGTCTATCATCAAGTATCCAGTGTCAACCAAAACCCACAACTCCCAGCCCAGAGACCAGACTAGCGAAGATGATGTTCAAGTTCCTCGCCGCCGTTGCACCTGCATTCCTGGCTACCGCCGTCGCGGCGTATCCAGACTATCCGCAATGGACCACCGATATCCCCGTGGACGCAGACTATGTGATCGGCTCCGAGTTTGTGCTCAGTTGGGTGCCCCAAGACACCACTGAGACTTTCAAGCTCTATCTTGGTGCCTTCAACAACACCCCTTCCGGCTACTACACAGGCCCCTTCGGTGCTCAGTTACCCATATACGATAATAAGGGCATGTACCTTAACGGTAGGTGTACATCTCTTCGTTTCCCCTCCTAGCCCCTTAATCTACTAATCTCACGTCGAAAACGGGTTTATGGAGATATGGACAACATCACTTGCTGACATTACTGTGCGATATATACAGAGGCGGTGCCTTTCTCCGATAGTGAATATCGATGGGATGTTCAGGCCGTGGACCCAAAGTGGAAGGGTGACGGGTTTTACTATCGCTTCACGGCGGAGTTCGAAAACCCGCTCTACGCGAGCTCGTCCCCGCGCGCCTTCCACGTCGTGGACTAAGAGGTCTCAGCTCCAGTAGCTACCTGACTTTACGGGCAAAGGAAACATTCGCCGGGGTTACTGAACAATGCGACTTTTTTCGAGGTTGAAGAGGACGGGTACCGATGGCATCATGACGATGGCAAGCTCAATCCAGGTTCTCTCTCCGATAGTCATTTTAATGATTCGTAGGAGAGTCGAATTCTGTCACAGAATGAACTAAGCCTCATTTCGGATATACAGCACGGACCAAGAAATACTGTATATAAAGCTAAATAGAGGAATAAGGGGCAGAAACTAGAACTTCTCTCTTTGTGCAATGACAGATCATTTACTTGAGAATCCAGCTGGGAAGTATTGTAAAAGTCACAAGTTTCTACCTCTCGACTTCTCCCACAGTGGTGTTGGCTTTGTGTAATCGCGCCTTTAGCATTCAAAGAGATGGAAAGCGTCTTGTATAGCCACCTCCATGTGTTTCTCAAAGCCCAGGCCTTGATAAGTCATGATTAAGTTATGAGTTGTCAAATCTGTCGAGTGCCACCTAATCTTGTTTCCCCCAACATTACTCATCTGGTCTTTGAATTCATGGATGCTATCATAGAGCCCTTCTGCGGTCCCTGCTTGGATATACAGAGGGACGTTTGTGTGAAACGGGTTATTTAAAGGAGAAATGTAAGCATCTTCTTCCCAGATAGGTGCTATGCTGAACGGCAACAACGTTGGAATAGGATGTTAATTCTGTCAATTACCGAAGTTATACTTTTCCATAATAGGTGAAGATGGATGGCAGCAAGTGATTCAGACACAACAAGGTAGGTAGACCGGCGGATAATAATAACAGGAGATTGTATTACGTTGCCTACCCCTAGTGCGCTAGGACAAGTTGGGGATATCTGTTGGCGATGGTGGCATGCAGCATCTGCATAGGGACCTAACAACAAGACCTATAGAAGTAATTGTCATGAGCAGACTCTTTATGGTCTGTTGAGGATATCGATGCTATAAATTTAACAATTGCGTATTTCAGACATCAGCCAGTCCCTCTCTTCTTTTGGTACAACCCCCTCGCAACTCACAAAGTGACTTGGTGGTTGTAGTGAGCTATGGCAGTTGTAGGTCGACTCACTTCGTGCGTGTTTTCGGTAATCGTCATCTACATAGTGCGTATTACCAGTTTCCCCCCGAAGAATAGGCATCGTTGTGCTAATAATGTCGCCCAACTGGCCGCAGTGTCTCGTCTTGAGCTATCGCATCTTGTTGCACCCGCTACGCCAATATCCAGGGCCTTTAGCTGCGAAACTCTCAGGGGCGTACTGCGGGGTTCTTGCTCTACCGCGGTGTCTTCGCCTGGAGTCGTATAGGAACCACCTGAAGGATAGTATGTGCTGTGCGAGTATTCGCATGCTGCCGGACTAAACAGCACAATTAGGTCCCTTTATCAGGCTAGTTCCTGATCGATTGGTCTTCAATACCATTGAAGCTTTACATGGTGAACATAGTCCTATCTTGTGCAGCTAATCGTCTCAGCATACTGACCTTATCTCGAACCTCAAAAACGACGCCGTTAGACATTCCAGCGATCTAACGGTTATTATATAGGCCTGCCTACGTTCAACAGGGCATGATCTCGAAGATGATTACCGCCATACTTGCAGAGCCAGTGGATGCTAGAAAAGACCTGCGATTAGTTTTCAACAGTACTTTAGATACGGACGTCAAAAGTCTTGGGCAACTCTGGACGGAGGCCGTGTTTGTTGAAATACTAGGTTATGAGTGGTATACGGTATAGTATATTGCCTTAAGGAACAGTCTAGGCACAGTAGTGTAGGAGGGTACCTCCGTTTATATAGACAGATGTATGTGAGTCGTTGTACCCAGCCACCCGCTTTTACATATCCGAGACACAATTCCAACAATGTTCTTTTTCGCTGAAGGTTCGTGCTACCCGATGTAATGACAGACGAAAGTTACAGCATCTAATGGCGCGCTAGAGGCAGTGACATAATAGCATCTACTCTGGCAGCAGGATTCTTCTATCTGTCAAGGAATCAACAATGCTACGAAGAGCTTGCTGCCGAGATTCGATCTACGTTTAACACAGGCGCTGATATCTATGCTGGGGGCCGCCTATCTGAATGCCGATACCTTCGTGCATGCACAGTGAATAGCTTCATTACTACCCCGCCATTCTAGTAGATTACTTATAGCGACAAAGAGAGCCACACTAGTATTGAACCTCTTGAAGGAAAGAAATTATTAGAAGCCTTAAGCATTATAAGACTATTGCATAATTGTGATCACATCTTTGATGACGAACTAATGGATGCGCACGTGAAGCTGTATGGTAACTCAATATTGTTCCAGGGTTTCTAGCAAACCCCCCAAACCTTAGACTATCCTGAGCACTTTCCGGGAACCTACTCAGCCTTATATATCTCTAGCTCGTAAGCTGGCCCTGCCCCTTTGGAAACAACTCCTACACCAGTCTAGTAGCACTTTATCCCCTGATAATGTCCAAAGCTACATCAAGGGTAGCGAAGATGAAAAGTGATGCCTAGCCTACCTAATTATGTTTGTTGCGGGTAGGTGTGGTCATCATGTGCTGTTCACTTTTGGCGGAACCTGCAATGGTGATTGCCCGGCCGTGGTGCTCGATATTGACATTGAGCTTGCTAGCACCAGTCTCGGTAACTATCCCAGTATTGCCGGCGGGAAGCTTAATTAGCCAGTCGGTAGATCATAGCTCATTTCCCAGTTTTCTGTGATTCTCGATTGACGCCGCTGGTCGGAAGAATCTACTAAGTACATGTTATCCATGTCCAAGTTGGACTTCATATAATCCGAGGTGCTGTCGGAATCCTGCTGCAATGCCGGCTTCTCACTGATTGCGGAACAGTAAGAAGCGGAATCTTGGCCGGAGTTCTGTGTCAACATCCAGTCCTCGGGTTGAGTGTATGCTTCGTCGGGGAGGGGCGGGTCGAAGGCATTGGGGTAGGTTGTGGTTCCGAGATGTCGCCCAGAAAGTTCATTAAAGTCTGATGGGTTCAACGGTAGCCGATATCCTCCTACATTGTATTTTTTCCATCCCCATTTCACAAGTTGATATCGATACTGTTTCGCGCTATCCATAATATCAGTCGATATAGTTCACAAGAGTTCTATTTGAGATAGTCTTACGTTGGTTTAAAGTTGTATTTGTCTGCCATGATTTTCATTACTTCTGCTAGAGGTTTCCTTTGACTCAAATAAAGATTTTTCAGCACTCCTCTGTGCGTTCTCCAGTCTTTTTTATTGACTTGACCAATTTGTTGCGTTTCAAGATTCTTTGGGTCCCTATCTGCCGAAGACTCGAGTGAAGTACAATCAGTGGAAAATGACTGCGTGTGGTCCTGTGAATAATTATCGCACGATTGCGAGTGAGGAAACTCGGGAGTAATCAGTTCCGTTGGCTTGGTTGATATATTGGAAGATGTATTGGAGTTGGCTTTAGGTGTCATTGCAGGTGTAGGGGCTTGATCTGACGCGCTACTCGCCACTATCGTTAAGGAGCGCGGACCGTTGTTGGAATTGTCCTGTATTGCCTTGTTGATGGTAATGACATCGGAAAACCTCGTTCTGTCGTGGGAAGTATTGCGAGGGCGCGTGTCAGCTTGTGAAAGGCCAACAGCAGGAGTGTCGCTTTTAGAGCTTTTAGAGTGGTCATTTAGGACAGGCGTTGCAAGCACTTTGCCACTTGTATTAGTCTCTTGTTAATCATGGGTGCAGTAGTGTAGGTGGTATGCCGACCTGAAATTACTTACACTCTTGTCTGATCAGTCGTCTAATCTCGTTTATGATATGAGGGGGTAAGATTGGACCGGCTGGTGGCTGCGGCTCTGGGATTTGTGCTAATGTACTTGACTTATTTTGTCCCTCTGATGTATGATTATTGAAATGCTTGGTAGCAGATGAAGCCACCGAGCCAGTACCATCTGAAAGTAATGTGGAATCAAAGGTGCCGGTGATTTGCGACGTGGATGTCTCGGCTTGTGATGATGAGTTGCGTTTGGACGGAGGACTCCATTTGGACAGACAACTATTGATACACGTCTTAATAGCCAGTTCAATACCGCCTTCTGTGCTTTCATCATCCAACGATCGATGGCCCAGTCGGTCCCGCGAAGGTCGAACCATGCGCACGGTTTCGATGAGGTCGTTCTGGAGTTGGAGTAGAATTGTTTCGAGGTCTTCCTGGGGCATTTGTCGACGCTCGTAAGACGTGTCACCGATGTCTCGATGGATCAATTAGAAAACCATAGATCAAAGAAATGAATGATGCAGCTACTCTTGATGTATACACTCAAGTTGAATATTGCCTTGAATTTGAAGCTACTTACTATGCACGCTTTTTTCTGGGCTCGTGGATCGCGCCGATCCGGTGTGGTTGTCCGCATCTATGCTCGCTGCACTCATGGCAGTCCTCTTCGATCGAGTAGCATCCAGCGATAGCATGTTCCTACTAGGCCCCTACTGGGTGACGCGCTGCGTAGTGTTTGGGAGTTTAGGCGCTGGCGCTGATATTGAACCCGAGATATTAGGAGCAAACAATGTGATGATGATATGGGAAACAGGTTAAAATAGGCGGAAGGGTTATAGCTAACGCTTTCATGCGACTGCCGATGTCATCACACGGAGAGTGATCTTTGTTATTCATACATCTAAAATGTGTAGACTGTATAGAAAGCCCCATAGCAGTATGCAGCGAATGCTTCCCGGCGGCTCAGAACAAGACAGAACCGAAGAGAGCCTTCAGTGCAGTTTAGACCTTGGGCTGTCAACTGAAAATGCAGTTTTAGCCACACCACCATGATCATAGCCGAACCAATAAGACTAGTAGTTACTTACTCACACATTACTCGTAAACGATTCGGAATAAGGGCTGCAAGTTTTTGCGAGGACAACTAGAAGTAGCCCGCTGATAGGCCATTCAATCGGCTGGCTGCATTCATTGTCCCCTAAAAATTATCGTAGATACTTTCACGCCGATTGTGGCTGAAAAAGGTGAGTCTTTTTGACCTGTGTTTGCGTAAAGTCCCCCAAAGCCTTGGTGCTATAATACTACTGCGTTTTTGAATTTACTTGAATCAGTTTCTGTAGGTATGAAGGAGAATTGCCCAACAGAATGATGTGGTCTGGTATCAAACAAGCACAACTATGTAATGAGTAGATCAATTCTAGTTTTCCCAGAGTTGATGCCCATTCGAGGCCAGCTCCCAGTCATCTGCAGCTAAAGCTGGCTGTAACAGCCATGATGTACCAGAGACCCTGGCACTCCGTACCATGACCGTCTGCTTCAGCGAATAGGCGTCCCCCTTCAGGATATTGCTCATCATTGGTGGTGGTCGGTGGCTATGGTAGTCGAAGGTGATTGAAGCAGATCGAGGCACCCATTACTCGCCAGTTGGCACGCATGGACCACAACATACCCCGACTTGGTTCTCATTTTTCGCCCGCTGTATGTTCTTGCCCTTCTCCCTACTTCTCTGATTCGGCGCCTACCCACACATTTGCTTGCTGTTATTATGTCCTGAGATCTCTCCATCTTCAAGCAGACTGACTAATTGGGCGATCGTAGTCCATTTATTGTTATCGTCGGGCTTGTGTCCTTGCTCAGGAACTCGACGTGATTTTAACTTGCTACACAGCTGACAGTTCGAGTTGTATCGGTCCTTGTATGTTTGCCTTGTAACTTGGTTTGAGTCATCATATAACCCCCCCTCTTCAAGATGGCACTTCAACGCTTTTGCCTAGGCAGGACACAGAAATATTCATCGGCCAGCCATGGCAGCTAGACTGGTTTGCGATTTCTTACTGACAAATGATGTCGCCATAGATTTTCTGTTGCCTGCCACCATCCATTGATTAAACATCCATCCGACTCTGTTATTCGTCGCGATGCTTCGCTGTGGTAAGTCAGCCTATTCGCAAATCATGCAGTGCAGTGTTATGTAGTAACACGAGATGCAACAGCGTATCATAAACTTCTTACTGGAGCCACCATTTTGTACCAGTCTCAGAAGGTGCTGGCACTGCCAGTGCCTTCGGCGGGTGGTTCGCTCGATCTGGCTGCGAAAACATACAACATGAATCGCATATCGTTCATTGTAGCGGCGACTATGGGCGTCATCATGATAATAATCGCCTCGATTCAACTCGCGATGACACTTGCCAAGTTGTTTGCGAAACGACGATATATCGACATCTTAAGAAATCTAATCAATTGTGAGAGCGGTGCAGCAGCAAACGCGGCACTAGGAAATCGCATCGCAGATGATATTCCTGCTGCAAGTTCTGAGGAGGAGCTTCCATCCTCTGAGACCATCGCGTCTCCGAGTGGTAGCCAGAGAGGTTCAGAGACGCTTGCATCGCGTCAAGGACCTGCTCCTATGCCCTGCGAGAGACTTTCTCGTGTTTAGATCATCAATCTGATGGTCCAAAGTGCTGACCTGCACACCACGCATTGTACAGCTTGTACGGTGGCTTTTTCTGGATATCGAGAAGACAGGATTTTGGCGTCGAAAGGGAAAAGTGTAGAGAGGTTTGAGTGACTGACTGACTGGAGAAGGTATAGTGATTGAAAAGAATATTTAAGGAGAGTAACGATAACTAGAAACCCATGAAATTATAGGCGAGGATTATGTAGGGTCTTTTGATATCAAATATACACGAGTGCATTTGCTGAGCGTTGCACCGCGATCTCTGATTGGCCAGTGTAATGGGAAATCCGAATTGACAATGGGAATTTCCCATTTCCAGCCCCACTCTTCCTGGACAGGTTTCCGAGGTTTTACAGTACATGCACCCATGATTTTAGCGGTTGGAGGTGCCCGGTAATGGGCTGGATTTACGCCATGGTGGGGGATAGGAGTTCATCATATGATCAAGCGAAAGCACGTAGCTGGCGTCAGGCTATTACTGCTTTCTGACAGTTATATTGTATGAAAAACCTTTCTTCTTGTAACTGTACCGGCTCGGCTAAGATCACGATTCTACTTCCTCTCTACTTTTGGATCTGGACTTTAGGAACCCAAGCAGCTCAAGTGAGTCATCAACTTCGTCGTTGAGAGCGACGGAAGGGCCCTGTGACAAGGGCTCTTATAGAGGGCTTGGAACTTAGTCATATTCATTAATAATCTACTAGGGGTCTCTAGGGCCTTGATCTCTCTCTCTTCTTTCGTATCCTGGAATGGGAGATTCCTTAGCTATTTATACTCATTTAGGCTTCATACAATCTATAACTCCCTTCCTTCTGTTGGGTATTTATGCCTTAATTGTTGGTCTTTTTATAACTAATAGATTATTCTTATCTAATCGTTTATAGCTTTACTTTTTACTAGGGGTAGCATTAATTATCTTTAGGTCTTTAAGTTTTATAGGACTATCCGTATAATATTATTTTCCTCCTTTTAATGCTTAACTTTAAGCTTAACTAATTCCTTTAAGGGGTCTATAATTCCGGGGCCTTAATAGCTTAAAGGTCCACTAATTTACTAGGATTTTACTAATAAAACTATTTAATAAAAGCCTTTATATTAATACTATCTATATATTTATAGAGTTCCTAAATTTAATACCTTTTAATTAGCTAACCTTCCTATTTAATTAAATACTTTATATTCCTTTAGGTTTTTAAAGAATCCTTAATTTCTTCTATTTAATAGTTTTTAGATTTTATTAAAAGTACTTTCTATAAAACCTAGTTAAAGTTAAGTAATACTTAATTATTAACGTAATAAAGTTTAATAAATAAAATGTAAAATAAATTATAAATTTTCTACCTTTTAAATAATATAAATTTAATAGCGGTAGGTAAAATTACTTTATAAATTTTAAAGGAATTAAATATCTTTTTATTTAGCTTTTTAATAGGTTTTTTTATTTTAATATTCTTTACGTTTAATATTATTAATTAGTTTTTAGTATATTAAAGTAATACCCTTTATCTTTTATCTACTTATTCCTTTATACATTATTAAGCCTTTTTTAATTATTCTTTAACTTTCTTATATATTTATATTATTTAATAGGTATATAACCTATTAAATGGGTTATAGGGTTATACTATAAAAAGGTTATATATAGCTAAATAATAACTATAGTTTATATAAAAGGGGGATATATATATTAAAGCTAATATAATATTATTATATATAAATTTAATAATTAATAAAAGGTCTTCCTAATTAAATATTTTATAATTAATAAACATTTATAAATAGATTTTAAAGATTTAATTAAATTATTTTATTTATTTATTAATTTAAGGATAAAAAGCTATACTTATATAAAGTTTAATATTAATAAGCTTTAAAAAGTCCTTTTATAAATAGTTTATAAACCTAAAGTCTTTATTAAAAATTATATTAAAGGGTATATTATATAATTTTTAATAATACTTAACGAAAATTTTAATAAAATCTTTAGTTTTTTTTTCTTTAACCTTTAAAGGTATAAAATGTTCTATCTTTATAAAAGGATCTATTATTACCTAAATAAAGTTATAGCTATTAAATAAAAGTAGGTTAATAATAAAGTCCATTATAACCAATTACTATAAAATATAATATAACTTTATAAGCTAAAGTAATCTATAGGGGGTATATTATAAGGCTTTATTTTATTAATAAATATAGTAGCCTTATATAAAGTCCCTTATAGTTACCTTAATATTAAGCTATTAAAAGTTTTTTATAATAAGTTTTAATATTTTATCTATTCCTATATATTTAGCTATTTATATATTATATTCCATTTTTATTACTTTTTATTATATAGTTATAGGTACCTATAAATAACCCTTCCTATATAATAGGTTATTTATAAGTTTTATATCCTTAAAAGGTTTATCCTTTTATAAATAATACTTTAGGTTATCCTTTATTATTTCTTTAATAAATTTAATAAACTTTAATAGCTATTTAAGTATAAAAAAGCTATAAAGTTATTTAAAGGTTAATAGTATAAACGTTATTAAATTAAATATTAATCCTTTAAAATATAAAAAATGTTTTTTTTATAAAACCGATTTAATTGGTTAATTTTTATTCCCCCCTTTTTTAAAGTAATATTAAGCTAATTTTAATATAATATTAGCCTTTTCGTTCAATTTACCAGGTTAATAATTTATTATAAATTAATATATTAATAATTATTATATTTAATAAGCCTATTATTTATTTAAGACTTTAGCTATTATAAAATATAATAGGTTTTAATAATTAAAGTAGATTTCGATCTAATATTAAATACTTTTTAAGTATTAATATTATTAATTAAATTTATTTATTATTATAAATAGTTCTTTATTATATATTTTATAGTTTATTTTTATTAATATTAACTTTTGGAAATAAAAGGTAATAGGGTAAAGTTTACTGTTATTATCCTTTTATAATAATATAGCTTTAAAAGTAAAGTTAAAAACGTTAGTTTTAATATAAGCTACTTTAAAAAGGTTAAAATAAATAAATATAAAAGCTATAATAAACTAATATTTAAGTTTAAAAAAAGTTTTATTTATAACTTTTATTTACTTTTATTACTATTAATCCATTTTATTTATATTTATTAATAGTTTTACAATTAATAAAAACTTTTTAATAAATCTTTAATAAAAGTTTATAAACTTAACGAATTATTATAATTTATATAGGATAATTAATACTTTTTATTTAATAATATAGTTAATTTTATTTTAAGCTATTAAAATGCTATTAATATTAATAACGTATTTAAAAAATTTAACTTTATATATATACTATTTATATTTTTAAAATACTACTATTAAATTATACTTATTAAAGTATTATAATACTTCTTTAACTATTCTATTATATTCCTTTTTTATTTTTATATAAATTAAAAGGTTATTAAGGTATATAAATAGCTTTATATTAATAAAATCCTAAAAGATATAATTTATTATAGATTAAAACGTAGCAGGGGTATTAATAAGTTTTATAGGTATTATTATATATTTAAAAAGTTTATATTTATAATAGAATGCTATTTTTTATTTATAACCCTTTTTAATTTTAATTAAGTAAAATCCGGACTTTAGGTTAATTTTAATAAACTATTTAACTTTCCGGAATTTAGCTTAAAGTTTTATAATAAAAGAAATAGAATACCTTATTAATATTATAATAGTATTAAGGCTTTAATAATTTATAATAAGTTATAATAGATTATTTAGGTCCTTTTTTTTTATAAATATAAGAAATGTTCTATATAATGTAATAGATTTATAGATATAATTAGTTTTAAGCATTTTATTTAATTATAGTTTAAATATATTTAATTTATAATTGTTTATAGTATAAAGGGGTTCTTAGGGTGGAATTTTCCTATTTATGAGGTTAATTGTATAATTTTAAGGTTAATAGTTAAGCAATTGTTATATTGCTGCTTTAATTATAATTAGGAAGAATTCCCTAAATTTTTCGGGAATTTATTTTATTGTTACTTTAGCGGCTATTTGGAGTGTGGTTGTTATGACTTTGGTTATTCCTAGGTTAAGGATAGCTTAATTAATATAATTCTTATAATAATGTTTAAATGTAAATATAATTTTCCCTATATTTTCGAAGAAATAAATAAGCTAATGTTCTTTTATTTATTATTAGAGTAGAATAATATTATAATCCTTATTAAAGGTGTTTAATTCGAAACTAAGTTTTATAAAGTGGTCTTTTTAATATTAAAGAATAATTTATTTTATATAGTACCGCTCTACCTTTTATATATATATTGCGTCGAAGGTTAATATAGGTTTAGAACGGGCTTTTTTAATAAAAGGTAATTTTTATTATCTGGCCTTTGAAAATAATATTATAGGAATAATGCTACCTATATTTAAAAGTACCTTAATCGGATATTTTTAATTATTATATAATAGGGTTATAGGAATAATAAGCCTATACTTTATTTTTAATTTTAAATTAACCTTCTTTTAAGTTAATTTAGGAAGTTTATTTTCTATTTATTTAATTATATTAATATAGAAGAAGTTACCTTTTTAAAGGCTTAAGTTTTTATATAATGCTTTATAAGGCCTAACTAAAAATTTAAATCTAATTCTTCTATTTCTATATATTATATAAGATTAATTACCTTTATAATAATAGTATTAATCTTAATTTATTTAATTATAAATAATAGTTTTATATTACTATTAGGCTTTTTTTTAATAAAAGAGGTTTTTTTAAGGGTTAAAGGAAGTTCCTTTTTATTAATATCCTTTTTAATATAATAAGTAAGGGTATAATAATTACTTTTATTATATTATTAATAGTTAATCTTGTTTTACTTTCGTTTATTAATAGCGGCCTAATTAATCCCTTTTAATATAATTATAGTATTAAGCTAATAATTATCCTTAAGATTAACTTTAGGCTTATTTAACTTTTTACTAATAGGTTTCCTTTCTTTATCCTTTTTTAAAGATTAATTTAGGCTTAAGTTGGAGTAATTCTTTTTGCTTTAGTTTTAATAGCCTAATTTTAATTATTCCTTTATTAAATTAAGCATACCTTTTAAAGATAGTCTGGAGTACGCTAATATATTTTTATAGGTAATATTAGCTTTTTAAATTATATTAAAAAATTTACTATTATCCTTAAAGATATAGCTTTAATTATAATAAACTATTTTTATAAGTTTAAATAATAAACGTTTAATAATAAAGGTTTAAAATATTAAGCTAAACTATTTTATTAAATTATTTCGATCTAAAATTTTAATAAAGAATTAAACAATATTACTAAAGTACTTTACCTTTATTAAAGCATTAATATTTTAATATATTATTAAAGGATTTTTAAATTAAACTTTTAAAGCTATTCGATAAGCTATTTAAATATTAGTAATATTAATATAATAGATTTATTTTTAATAAAATTAATACCATTATAGGGCTTTATCTATTATAAGGAATCTAATTTAATTAATATAATATTTATTAAGGGGAAAACTTTTTATATATATAAATATATAATCCTTAACTTTAATTTATTATAAAAAGAATTTAAAAATATTCTTTTTATTATAGGTATAAGGTTTATTAAGTTAAATAAGGTTAAGTATTATAGTTATAGGACTAATACTTTTAAATATAGTTAAAAAGGTATATATTAATTTATTAATAGGAGGGCTAAAGGGATTATTATTATCCGAATTTCCTTTAGGTCCTTTATTAAGATTTTAAAGTGGCCCTTAAAGTAGTCCTTTAAGCGGACCGCGGGGAAGTTATCCTTCGAAGGGGTTATTATTATTTAAACTATTAGGGTTTCCTCCTAAGTTACCTCCGGGCAACGGGGTAACTCCGGTAAAAATTCCTAAGAAGATTTTTATTGCTATATATTAAGCTTAAAAAGCCCAAATAACTAATTAAGCCCTTATTACTTATAATGCTTTATTATTAATTTATTATTATAAAATAACTTTTAATAATAAATACTTTATAGCGGGATAGTTAATAAAGCTAATTATAATGCTATGCTTTTTTAATTTATTAATAATTTAATTTACATTAAGTATAATTTATTTATTTAATTATTCTTAAATCTTTTAAATTATTATTTAAATATAAATTTATAGTTTATTAATTTAATTAAGGTTTATAATAAGGCAATTTATAAGTTAATTAATTTATTCCTTTCTTATAATAGCTTAATTATTTATAATTCTTTAAGTTTCTTAATAATTAGCTTTTTATTTAATAAGCTTATTTTAAAAAGTTTAAAAGGCTTAATAGTAATAATCTATTACCTTTTTAAACTAATTAATAGTATTAGCTTAAAATTAGGTATTTTATATAATATATATAATAGTTCTTTATATATTTTAAAAGAAGATAATGCTTCTTTATATAATTTTTTATTAAAAGCATTTTATTTACTTTTAGGTTATTTATATATTCATTTTATATAAATTAATTAAAATATTATATATATTATAAATAGTAATATATATATTTTAAAGTGCTTCCTTTTATTTAGGGGGCATTTTTTGCTTATATTTTTATAAGGATTAGGCTGCTTGGAAGGTTTTACCTATATAGTTATAGATATTTATAACTTATTATAGGAGGTTTTAAATTATTATATTTATATATTTTATTTCTATATTTTTAATATTTTTATAAATAGCTAAGTTATAAAAGGTAAATTTTATAGCTTTAAATATTAATTTAGGAGCTATAATAGGAGGATTTTATTATAAAGCTAATTAATTAATAAATTTAAATAGGTCTTTTAAAAAAGGTAATCCTTTAAAAAAAGGGAATATAACTTAATTAAAATAAGTAGGTTTAAATATAATAGGTAGCAATAGAAGAAATATAACTTATTTAAGGGTAAAGGTTAAACTTTAATTAAAGTTAGCAGAATATTTATTTAATACCTTTATATATTTTAATTTTATTTATAAATTATTAAGGGGCAGAACGTCTTTAAGCTTAAACTTTTAAGTCTAATAGGGTAATAAAGGTAAATAGTTTAATTATTACTTATCCTTGGGATAATTTTTATATAATAAGGGGGACCTTAAAGAGTTAAAGTCTAAGCTATCCTTATTAAAATAGTAGGAATTAGAATTAAAATCCTATAGTTAAGGTACATTTATAATTTTAAAAAAGTTTAAAGCTTTAGGTTAATAAAGTTATTAATTACTTTTTACTCTTTAAATAAAAATATTAGGATTATAATATATAATATTTTTATTAAATATAAGGTATAAACTTTTTTAAAATACCTTTTATTTAATAAAGGTAAGGGAAATATTTTATTAAAGTAATCCTATATTTATAAGGATTTAGGTTTAAAATAATACTATATATATATAGGGGTTTTATTAAAGCTTATCCATTATATAGAAGCTTAGGCTATATCGGAATATCCTAAAGGGGGATAATAGATTATTTATAATAAAGGCTTTTATAAAGGGCTTAGAACTTAATTATATTTATTAATAATCTATTAGGGGTTTTTAGGGCCTTAATCTTTCTCTTTTCTTTTGTATCCTAAAGTAGGAGATTCCTTAGCTATTTATACTTATTTAGGCTTTATACAATTTATGACTCCCTTCCTTCTGTTGGGTATTTATACTTTGACTGTTGGTCTTCTTGTAGCTAACAGATTGTTTTCATCTAATCGCTTATAGCCTCACTTTTTGCCAGGGGTAGCGTCGGTTATCTTCGGGTCTTTAGGTCTCATAGGACTGTCCGTGTGACAGGCCCAGTCTAGTGTAAAATGGCCACTCAAAGCGAGCTGGCCAGATGTCACACGGACAAGCGCTGTGCCAGCTGAATATGCAGTTCCCCTTGCACTTCGGCCGTACGAAAGGCCGATGCAAGCTGTTCATGACCTCCCAGAGACATGCAGGCAATAATGGGCACTATTGGAAAATGAGGTTATACAGCCTTCGCTTCTTGAAACAGACCCCAGAGACCTAGGCGGTCTGGGCTGGCAAACCGGTTGTATATAGAGTCAAGTCAAGCCACCAACAGCCAAGAAGAAATTGGTTGGTCAAGGACTCATGCAGCCCTAGTTTTTCATTGTAATCTGAATTACTCTAGTTCCAAGCCCAGTATTTCTACCCTTGTTATACCAGAAGCCAACATATTCCCAGTCAATGATGCTATTGATCTTCAACATCTCCAGATCGACGATGACGTTGTGTTGAGATAAATCATTGTGGCAAAATACATACTCTTCATGCTCGGAATGTAGCAAGTGCCAATAGTCCACCTCTGTGCATTGTAGAACGTGATAGAAGGGGGGAATCACAATCCCCGTTGGTCCACCAAACTGGTTGGACTTTAGAGACTTGAGCGTTTCGAGATGGCGCTGGAGCTCGCTACGTACGACAGCCGTTTAGTCGTCTGACAGGCCCGCCATGTCTACGCCTTCGACGTATTCCGTGACCAAGTAATAGGAATCATCGTCCTCGAAATCGCAGATGAGACGCGGGATAGGTATGTCGGTGTGCTGGCGAATATATCACAACGACTTCGTAACTCTCTCGTTCAGAAGGCGAGGTATATGGAGACCTCGATACTCGGTTCGAAACTCCCTGGGTCTCAAGGTTCTTTTAATGGGGGACCCTCCACCGTGTTAATATTTCCTTTCAAAAGTGATACCGGTACACCGTTCCTCCTGTGACAGCTCTTGGTTTCCAGACATTGCAAATGATACCGACGAGGACAGAACGCGACGATAATCAATACCTAGACTTTGAGTCTCGATGAAAGGTATCGCAGGTGACTTATCGAACGATTTCATAGAATTCAAAATAATGACTGAGTTTATATCATGAAGGAGCCTCCGAAATTATATATGTTGGCTTCTCTATCTCTTGAACTAATGCATGTTAGCTCTTAGGCTGTAGGCGGTGCTAAAAGCAGGCAACAGCTGGCAGCAAAGCTAATCACTTCGCTGGGTAGCATATTTGAATTATAGGGGGCAAGGCCAGTTCTCATATATCACTAGAAACACGTTGAAATTTTCACAGTGACGAAGTCAGATTCGACTTGAAGGATAGAGCTTTGGGATTAACTCGCAATAATCATTTGTAGCAGGTACTTTTGGAGGGTCTTACAGCGTGCCCCTAGGTAATGAACCGGCTCAGCAGGCCTAGTCAATTGGTCTCGACTAGCTCCCATCTATCGGATCTAAGCGCAGATGAGCGCGCCCGTCTGCCAAAGCGAAGAAGCATCGTTTGATATGTCCGAGATACTTTTGCAAACACCAGAGTCGGTATTGTCTATAACAGTGGGGTTTTCTCTGCAACCGACGTCTGTGAATGCAAAGACTGTTCATTTCAATATTAGATCAGACCTAGATTCTCTCTTCTTCAAAACTCGGAGCAAGGAAACAAAAGGGACAGGAAGAAGGGAAAGAAAAAGATCGGTTTGGAGTATGAGTAGAAGCAACGTACAAGCGCAATTGTTTAGAGTGCCGACATCAGTGTAGTCAATCTTGATCGCCACGGTATCCAAGGGGGCGGGGTAGAAGTGCAAAAAGTAGCAGAGGCCGATGCCACCGAAGAGCGCCGTCTGCGTGATTTTGTTGGTCTCATTGGTACATCCCGAGTCGCCGTATAGTTGGACGCGTGCTATCGTGGCGTTTGGGCTGGGGTTGATTTGGGCGCTGGCACGTGCGGCTAGGGCAGTGGCGGAAGCAGCGATCAACGTGGAGAAATGCATTTTATAGCCTTTGCACTTGTGATCTATAACGCTACAATGTGATAGAAAGTAGGTGGAGAGATGGGATAGAGAAAGGAAACGACAGACGAGTAAGGAGCCGAGACCTTCTTATTCTATAAGGATGGTTCGATCCGTCGTGTTACTGAGAGTTTCCGCTGTCTAAGCCATTCGCCAAGGATTCAAAGATGAACGTTTGTCATCATTGTCAGCCCTGTCAACTCATCTCTCTACAGACCAGGGGCCCAAGAACACGAGGTAGGGGTAGTAATATTATCTACCTACCTAACTTTTCTTTTAACATATGAATGCTAATCGCTAATCTGTATCCGCTTGTACCAAGACCCTTGATATTCTATTAACAAATCCTTTGTTCGTTCGATATTTATGCTGGCTTCCCAAATACGCAGAATACGTCACACCCCTGCTAGTAATTCCAGGTTTAGTGCCATATTGAGTCCTTCGTCTGACATGAATTTCACGCGTTTTCGTATCCACGCGTAACCCTAAACCTGACATGGCATGTGTCTGGGCTATGTTCGTAACTCCACTGTTTCCCCATACAGTACAAATCGGCATAAATGCACATACCCCGAACGTCGACGATATTTTCTCAGTTAAATCTTTATCCAAGTACAACCGGCAGAGAACTACCGAGTAGTGTTTTGTAAGGGCTATCTTGAGGGTTATCGTGACCTCTTTCAACTGGTTGGCATATAGTTTTCTTTTCTTTTAAACCATAGTCATAGGTTATGCTAGGAGATGCAAGGTGACTACTTCTAAAGAGGCTAAATTAGGTGTTTCCAGCATCCGCTATCTTAGGTTTAGGGTGATGTATGAAAACCAAGTCGTCCTCCATCCGTAAACCAGCGCGGAGCACAGCGGGCGCCAGGACCGCCCCGTCCCAGGTTCCGGCCGCTGCGGGCTGACTACCTGCTTGAGCTCAGACTAACATACGAAGATTCCCGCATATGACAGCGAACAGATAAGTATTCCTGACCTGTCAATGTGGAATTAAAAGGGAGATATGTTGAGTTGGGGCGTGTGCCCAGAGGCGTATAGGCCTTGAAAAAGCTTGCTTGAGGGCAAATGGAAATGGCGCCCTTGCTTGAACCTTGTCAAGGGGTTTTCATATATGATACTGAAAGTTTTGAAGACCTATTAACAGATATACACCCCCAGTATTTTCTTTAATACTCAATTCCATCCTTCCTCGTGGTGCCAGTTTCCACCTGCGTCCCTGAGTATATTAGCAATTTCAAGTCGTTTACTCTTCAAGGCACAACCAAGTGCTGTAGACTCCTCGCCTATCATCTGGTTCACATTTGCCCCCACCGCAATGAGTCTTTTAACTACCTGTATATGTCCATTCTCAGCGGCGACTTGCAGTGCCGTGCAACCGCGGTATCTGGCTGCTGCCGCAGCATTAACATCCGCATTGGCACTGAGAAGCATTTCGACAATCTGTAAATGACCACATCTAGCAGCTGCTTGGAGTGCAGTAACACCAAATTCACCAATAGCGGGTACGTTCACACGCGCGCCGGCTTTCAACAGTATTTCCACGATCTCAGCATGCCCACACAAGGCAGCTGCCTGGAGGGCAGTATAACCCGAGTTGAGAGCAGCAATAGAATTGACATCGGCGCCGACTTCAAGTAGCCTGGCTACAATATCTGCATTCCCACCACTGGCAGCTGCCTGCAGTGCAGTAACACCACCGTGCATAGCAGCAGGAGCATTGACATCTGCGCCGGCTTTGAGTAGCTTCTCGACAACATTCAAATGCTCTGCTGCTGCTGCTTGAAGTGCAGTACAACCGCCATGTCTACCAGCGCATGCGTTTACATCTGCACCGGCTATCAGTAGCCGCTCGACAATAGGAAGATGACCTTCCGATGCTGCAGCTTGAAGAGCAGTGCTGCTTCTCTGTCCAGCAGCAGCGTTGACATCTGCACCAGCTCTGAGTGGCTGCTCAACGATGTTGAGATGGCCTTCTAATGCTGCAACTTGGAGTGCAGTGCCATCTTTTCCTTCAATATCAGAAACATTGACACCTGCACCAGCACGAAGTAGCCTCTCAACATTATCTGCGCGGCCAGTTTTGGCAGCTATATGGAGTGCAGAGGGGTATCTAGGATTAGCCCTATGATCGAGGAGTATCTGAATGATCCTCGAATGGCCGTTGAGAACTGCTGCTTGTAATGCAGTATAACCTTTGTCAGAAGACTTGGCGTTGACATCGCTTCCGAACTTAAGTAACCTCTTGACAACCTCAAAGCACCCGTTCAAGGAGGCTGCTTGGAGTGCAGTAAGCCCAGATATGGGAGATGCGGGAGCATTAACATCGGCTCCGTATTTGAGTAGGGTTTCAACAACGGATGAAGCGCCGTTATAGGCAGCCCCTTGAAGTGCTGTATACCCATTTTCCCTGCCTCCTATGTTCACATCTGCTCCGGATTTAAGCAGCATGTCGACAAGGTGTGGGCAGTCGTTAAAAGAAGCTACCTGAAGTGCTGTCACTGCCAATCCAGCCGTCCATTTCAGTCCTACCCCGAGATTCCTGTTGGCAAATATATCGTTTGCGTCGGCTTTAAGGTGCAAAAGTTGCTTTGCAAGCTTTAAATTGCCAAGTGTAGATGCTAGATATAGTGTTTCGTTCAATACCCTTCAGGGTTCTTGGAAAGGTAGCAGGAAATCAAACATGGTCATATCATCCTTTTTGATGGATTGTAAAAGATAGTCTTTCAGTATTGGTTTTGAAGTCAGAAATCCTTGTGAAAGTATGAGTCTGATCAATGCGTAGTGTCGTAAGTCCAAAGCAAATTGAAGAAGGTTTGAATCCTCAAAACCATACAATAACGGCGGCGTTGCGGAATTACACCCTTGCGTAATGATGCGCTCCCAAAGTTCGTATGTCTTAGATTTGCCGCGCTCGAAATCTTTTGAGTGGAATATCCAATAAGTTTCGGCGTACTCAAAGAAAGCGTGTGTGTTTTGAGTTTCTCCCTTCCTGTTCGCAAATAATTGATTGATTGCGATAGCCCTGGATGGTTTCGTAGGCCAAATCAACTGCACCAAATTGACAACCTTACGCGGCCCTGGGCCCATCCCTTGTACAACAGCATCTGGAGATTTGTATATCTCTTTAGGCTGCTGGCTTAGGGCGTTTTTGAAATCGTTGAAATTAATATATGTAAGGCAGATCTCTCCAAGGAAATGATTTGCTTCTTTGAGATCAATGTACAGGTGTTGAACGTCCTTTCCGGGGGGTTCCTGCAACAAAAAGGTCTGGATAGTGTGATGGGCAAATCGAACCGATCCATCTTCCTCGTCGACATGCAACAGATTCTCACAAGTCGAAATCATAATATCGATATCGTTGCAAAGACGCTCTGGCTTGGTATACTGTTGACCGATTTCAACTGCGATGGCCTCACGTAACTCATATAACGTTAATGGCCGCATGGAAGCTGCAATCCACGGAAAAACCTTCTGGGGCATGCTGGCTCTCCTAACCGCGATTCGACGTAATATTCTAGTATAGATATCTTCCAAATCCCGTGGAAGATCAGCAATTGTACGGCGAATATCTTCATCACAAGGTTGGGCGCATATCTCCTGTAGTTGAAAGAACACCCATAGAAACCTAAACCCAACAATTCAGCCTATTTTAATTTCCCTCTTATATGACATGGAGATTGCAACTTACATGTCATCTGCGCCGCGCCCCCGCGCCTCTATGATTTCACTGATCAAGCTATCGTGCCCAACTCGTAGTTCTCCCGACTCGATCTTTTGATGGACCATCCCGTGAATATAAGCTGAGATATCATTTTTCGTTCCTACCTCCATCAATATTATTTGATGTGGGGAAAGAAAATACTTGGGTATCTGCGCTTTGAGGCTCGCTCGACAGGAAATAAATATTTTGTTGCTTCTATTGAGCTTGATCAAATGGGAGAAAGCCTTGAATAACACGAGTTGTTGCGAGTGCACGAATTCATCAAACCCATCAATCACAATATACGATCGTGTCGAACCGGGGGTAACGTCGCTAAGCAATGTGACAAGATCAATAAGGTCGCTATAGTCGCTGGGGAGGCTGGTCAGCGAAGGGACATGATCTGAAACGATTGCTTCAAGTCTCGTCTCAATTTCGTCGGGCAAGTCCATTGCCTTTCTAGGGAGCCTTTGTTTTAAGAGAGATCGCAGAACTGTTGCGGAATTTAATGATTCTGGCTCACTGAAATGAGCAAAGTAGTAAGATATAGGGCCCTTTGAGTGGCCTTTCTCGAGGAAGAGTCGGTCTATCACACTAGATGTCACAATGCTCTTCCCTGATCCGATTTTCCCCAAGCACCACAAGAGAGGGTACCCTTTCTCGTCAATCCAGTTGCGGAATTCCGAGGTCTGGAAAATCCAGTTTGCCGTGTTGCCAAAGCGTTTCCGTTGGTTTTGTTTCAACAATCTTTCCGGATTGTACCGGCAAAGAGTATCGAGAATCTTTTTCTTTCGTGTGTGCGCTTCTTGTCTCTTTTGTTGCTTCCATATTTCATACTGCTTGTTTGTATAAACGTTTGCTTTCGATGCTAACGCTTTAACAATAACACTATTCTCTTTGCTCTGTTCTGAGATTGCGATAAGCTGTCGCTTATCGTCTTGCGCTTTGGCAAGATCAATTGAAATTTTGACATTCTCATTACAACGACGAATATTCTCTTTATCGGGCTGGAACTCAGTGTCAAACGATGAAGAGAAAGCTCGAAAAACCTGTGTGAGCCCTAGATTCATTAGGTAACCATGCCCACTCGCGCGATAGAGGGGTCATAAGTATAATTACATGGCCGATTCAGTGCCTCGATTATATGCTTACAGCATCTTACAATGGAGGCGTGGAAATCTGAGAGAGACTTCTGCAGCGGTTTGCAGTCGACGTAAAGCAAGGCGTATTCGTCAAAAACTGGGCAAAACTGACCAATCTGCATAAATAAACCGCAAACCGCTTCGTAATACGACGTATAATTCAATATAATCTGTGAGAAATCAGCGTGAATACACAGCGGTTTACACGGGGCTATGACAATCGCATTTCATCATAGAAAGTGCTCACTTGTATGGTGAGACGGATACTGCCCCAGACGAGGGCTGCAGTCTGCGGGTTTGACGATACGAAGATACCAACAACCTCGCTGAAGTCTCGGACTGATCGCAAGACGTTATATACTCGGCTACCTACACTACGGCCTTTTCTACCCCGATTTTCTGCGTCGAGCGCGGCGGTGTAGGTAACTATTGACTCGGCGTCGGGGATGGCGTTAACACTCAGTAGTTCTATTTGCTGATCCTGTGTTAGCACGGTGCGAAACTGGGAGACAGCGTTCTGCAATTCATCTTCGGGGCGGGCAACGGGCGCGGCCTGAATAGCACTCATGTCAATAGTACGGCTGCCTTGATATTCAAGAGTTGAAACCCCCGTGCCTGACACACGTTTTACGGCGATGGCTTCCTCTCTTGGCAAAACGCGGGGTTCAAAGATGTAGAGGCGTCTGAGGCGTTCCGCACCAAGCGCTATATGTCTGTCTTTATAACCCTCCTTTAAATACTAGAGTGGGAATCAATTTGGACGCTGATCCGTTCGGGTCCATATAAAAGGATCATGACAATATGAATTCTGGAAATCTAGAAGTGATATCGACGGCATTTATGTCGAAATTTGCCTTGCTGACATGGCAGGCATAAGAGCCAACGGTAGGCGCAGCGGCGCAGCAAGGCACAGGAAAACGCCCCGCGTCCCGCAAGCGCCTCGAACTTCACAGTCACAAGCAAGGGTTTTTAGCTGCTATTTTCTCTAGCAGTACTTGCTGGATTGGGGTTTTCAAGTGGCAAAACGGTAACCAGACTGATTAAGGACCAATACTCTTGACGAATGCTACACTATGAAAACAACCCCAGATTAGCAATACTGCTACAATCGGATGATTATCATCCTGGTCACATTGTCTTGGCGTCTTGTATTTATCAGTGCTATGTTAGTACTGAGATCCATGCCACAACGCTATTAGTGACTAGCTCAGTGCCCAATAACTAGAAGTTGCCTTGTAGCTTAGATTTACTCTGGAGACGTGCTTACGGGAGCGGACGCGACCGTCGGTAGATAATCAGATGGCTAATTAGCGCGACTTGGTAGACGAGAGCAACAGTGTCATGTACTGAATGACTCAGCGGACTAGTCAGCTCCTGGCATTAAAAAAGCCTTGACGATATCTAGATACGAGACATGACCCTCATTCCATCAATAAAGTGTCGCGCTTCCCTCCCTTTGCTCTCTCAAGTGTTTGTTTAAATATGATGGAAGAATGTCGTCAAGAAGACTGCCAATCCAGCTCACCGCTACCAGGTAATCCCAGAGGCGGTATCCGCGCGACAGGGGCCACAATCAGACCAACGCGGGGCAAGTTTGGTGTCTATCCTCCTCCCACTACCCCGTATCCATTACATGAATTATGAGATTATGCATGAGTGTAAATTTGACGAACGTGTAGTAGACCGTAGGCGTCTTCATGGTAAGGTCTTGGCCAGATTCTGCGGCCATCTGGCGCGAAGACAGAGCGCCCTTCTCTTGTTTCTCCATCGTACCATAATCGAGCGACATGAATCCACTTCCCTCTGATCTTGGAGTCGTAGCCCGGTCCAAGAACCTCTTTTTCTAATGCAGCAGAGTATCTGACCGAGCCATCCCATGCGGTGTACTTTGGCCATTTTATATAGATGAAGAGGTCTTGGAGGCCCTGTACCTCTCTTAGGCGAACTGTTAGGGCCTGAAGCGACGGGCTTGATGGGCGTCTAGATAGCTCCCATTTACATTCCCTGTTCAAATATTCAGGGCCAATGAATAGAGCGAGGCTGAGCTTTTGGGTATCACACGCGGCGGCGAGTAGTCTGACGGTCTCTTCCCACTTGCCCAATACGTTTGCGAATGGAGAATCTATCTCGGACGGGGGAGACGGGAAGACAAGGCCAATTGAGCGAAGGAGGAATGTAGTATCAGGTGGCAGTCTTTGAAACATCTGTATGAGCGGAGGACATTCGTCTTCGCAAGACAGCATGTCATTAAGTCTGCCGCCTCTTGGTAGAACGATAAAACGATTCCGCTGAAAAAATATGGTCTTGGCGATATCATTGACTTGGCGACTGACAAGAAGTATAGACAATGGCATCCTCCAACATGTACAGCTCCCAGAATAGGAGCCGTGGTAATGAGAGCACGTGCAACAATCCAATGTTTCCGTGCATTCCTTGCAGCAGTCGAAGGGCACCAGACCACGGTCGGGGCTCCATTCGAGATCAAAGGGCGCGACAAGCTCTGAATACTCTAGGATGCGTATAAGTATTTCTGCTGGAAGATGATATGTGTTTAGCTTATTCTGTGGAAGTTGCTCAGGCAGGCGACCCAGTAGGCGAGAGACGGCCCGTTGTGCAAGGGCAGAATGCTCCCAGCTCGGCTTTTGGCTCAGGCGAATGGAGCAAGCTCTGAGGTTCTGGATGGGCGACAAGCTATCGATGACGTGATGAGCAGTCTCAATGTCTTCGGTATCGCAGACCAGGTCAAGGCGCAATAATTCTAGGTGACAGTGGATAGCTAGTCTGTTCACAACAGCCTTCCATTCCTGTAAAAGAGTCGCATGTTGCCTCGCCCGACTTCGAAGAGGTCGATCATGGTGCCCATACTGTTGGCACCAGGGGTGACACTGAAATAGAGGCTGAGAGTCTACGTTTTGGTGGTTTTCCAAGAAAATAAATCGTTGCCGGTAGAAACACTGACAAGTGTTCAGACGGATGGTCAATGTGCGAAGACATGATAACGTAGAGGGACTGAGGTTCTGCAGAGGCTTCAAACCCCATGAATCACTCCTGCTAGTAGTGAACGAGTTCTCCGAATAGAGAATCCGCAGCGCCTCCTCGGAAATGGCTCGAGAGACGCATAGGAGGGCAAAGGGAAATGGCGGGCAATAGCAGCCGGGTATGCAGTCGATCGTATAGAGACGTCCCAGAAACTTTCTAGACTCGAAAAAGCAGGCGTAATCAGAAGGTTCATCATTTATGCTGATGCAGATTCGACTGCGGGGTCCTTCTTGGTTGAGGTTGATGGGGCAAAACCGCACGAGCCCAGCGAGAACATAGATGCGGTGACGAACGTGATAAGGAAAGTCTAGAAAGGACAGGGTGCACGATGATGATGATGATATCTTTGGCTCAATTGATCTGCGCTGAAAGTAGTAGTCAAGTTTCCGCTGCACCATTGTCTCGAATTTAGTATTAGAAGTTGGTAGACGGCGTGTTTGAAAGTGATGATGAAAAGGCTGCTTACCTAAGTACTAATGGCACGTTGTACGGTATGCTGACATAAGGTGGGACTACGCAATAAGCTCTTTGAGTCTGTATGAAGATCACAATCCTCACTTGACTGCGGCGCCTCATTACTAATTAATTGCCAGGCTTAGATAGAGACATAGAATAACTATTACCTAGACTCTACACTGCCTAACGGCGCCGTTTTTGACAAGCGTGACACTATTTCCCCAAATGTCAACCCTTATGAGTATAACAAGGGTAGACAACTGGGCTTGGAACTTGATGCTATTCAGATTACAATTATCAACTAGGGCTGCATGAGTCCCTCTCAACTGTTGGTGGCTTGACTTGACTCTATATACAACTGGTCTGCCAGCCCAGACCGCCTGGGTCTCAAGGGCTTGTTTCAAGAAGCGAAGTCTGTATAACCTCACTTTCCAATATTGCCTGCATGTCTGAATGATCATGAACAGCCTGCGTCGACCTTTGGTACGGCCGAAGTGCAAGGCGAATTGCATATTCAGCTAGTACAGCTTGTACGCGTGTAACAATGAGTCCCGGACATCACTATTCACTCATACGATTTGCTCTTAATGACCGTTCTCGAGGTTCACCAAAGTCGATCCCATATCTGAGGGTTTTGGGATGCTCAGTCTCCTCGTTCCTTGCATCACGGTGCTCATCATCCCACCAGCCAAGTCCGAGTGTTCGATCGCCAAATAGCCTGGACAATTCTTCTTTGTTCATCCATTCCGCCCCGTTCGGCATGAATGTGGGTTCGCAGATGCTGCTACCTGCCAAGAACCCCATAATGCTAGCAATCGAGTACGGCTTTCGCGGTAGCGTACCTCGTAGATTCATCTTCCAAAGCGCACCCGCTTCCAAGAGTAGCATTATCGATAGCATGATTTGCAATACTAGTTTTGACGTGTAGTCGATGGTAAGACGGCCGACTCTCTGGTGGAGTGTTCCTTTAATCATGGGAGCATCCTCAGTTGAGGAACCCGTAACGTTTTTCCGAAAGATTGATGAATTGATGACTTGAACCATGTAGCTTTTATAGGCCTTGTTAATTGCAGCTTTGTATTCGTCTAGACTTTTATAGTGCAGGAATACTTCGGTGAAATTTCCAGGTGTTATGAGAGAGAAAAAGGGGTGATATCGACCTTGTAACGGTTGGCTCAAGTTGCGAGCTAGATGAGGCTCAATTTGGTATCGAAACAAGCTGGAGTTATCACGGCTATTTGTCAAGTAAATAGCCGACTGCTCATCTGGAACGGGCGCCGACAACAAGTTTGACACCTCTAGCCTACCATGTGCTTCTGATTTCAGTACAACTGAAGTCTGTACTTGCTGGATCCTCTGATAACACATTAAAGTGGTGGTGTTGGCGAGATATATGTCGAAGGTACTGAAGCTTCCCGCTGTGAGTGAATTAAAAATGGAAAACGAAGGACAACCATTGAGGCTATTATTGGCCATTTCGCTTCCTACTCTCGCTGTTGAATTCGAAATCTTCGATAAGCTGTAGTCAAAGAAAAGGTCGCGGTTCGTACCGCTCCATGGAATGGTAGGAACATCGAAAACGGCGCTTGTCCAGATTGGTACGGTGTCGACCTGGTTATACGACAGATTAAATTGCATTCCAGTCAAGTCTCCATGTCTCCAGGCGCAGTTTTCAGGGAGTTCAAGTTGCCTAGATATGCCGGGGTCCAAATCCAAATCTCTTGATACTCCTGTCTGAAGAACGAAGTCACATGTAAGTTCGGGTCTAAGTGCTGAAAGACTCAATTTAACGCTGTCTGTCGTATTGTCACTTGATGTGTTGTATAGGCTTCTGCTGTTCCACTCTGGAAAGACGAGGTCATCCCATATACCAGCTGGTGGTGCAATTGACAAGTTCTGTTGGAGAATATTGAGTAATGAAGAAGCTCCACCATCATCAGTGGCACTATGTGGCCAGTTTAAATCCCATGTTGTTGTTTGCCTGGTTTCGAAATCAGTAGTGATACTGGTAGACTGATTTGTGATCCAGAGGCCCGATACCACGATAGTAAGCCCACTACCGATGATTCCGGCAACGGAGGAAAGGGAAACTGAGTAATATCGTTCTTTCAGAGTGCGGTACAAGGTAATAGGAGGTAAAGAGCCGAAGAAGTTCACCAAGACGCTGTGATTGGCTTTACTTCCACTGATTGATAATGCATGATAGGGAGAGAAAGATGTAGCAGTGGAGTTGAAACTGCTAAAGGTTGCTGCAATCGTCAATGTCACACCGGCTGAGACATATATAGAAAGAGTTTGGAAAATATTGTCATCTGCGTTGGTGAGACCGTGGTTTTTCTTTGCTACACGGTATAAAACTTCTAGAGCACCGATTGCCAACGTCGGGAGGATGAAAAGGAGTGAGAGAAACGGATATGTAAAGGTAAAAGGAATCCAAGGACCTGATTTGATGTTTCTATCTTCGGGGTTCAATAGAGGCCCCGTCATTGAATCAGATGGCTGCTGAGGTTTCTCGCCCGAAACGAACGATTCTCCTTTGACCGTGATAGAAAATCTTCCTTCCTGGTTGATGGATGTTTTGAAAAAACTTCCATCAAGCGATTTTTCGAGCTCTTCAGTGCGCATATCTCCAACTGTTCGAAGCAAGTTACCTAAGACTCGGCTAGAGGATAAAATAGCAGCATGAGTACCGATTAAACCAGGATCTTGCGATACTGCCGCACCAGGCCTGTTCAGGAGAAAGGCGAATGATAGGACGCTAATGATTGCTGTCAAAACAACCATCGGCCATAAAAATGCGCTCTGAAGCCGAAGTCTATCTTCAAAGTAAGTTACGGTGCCTGGGGTAGTCGTGTTATCTGGTGACATGAATTGATCGTGAATGACTTGAACGCAGAGACCTGCGAGAACATCACGTGCCGTATTTCGCATTGTATCGGGGTCAAATAAGCTCTCGTTCCAGGCATCCGGATCTTTCCAACTGGATTTTAATAAGGTGAAGAGCCCATAAGGATCTTTGAGGAACCCTGTAGCTTCTGACGCTCCTAAAGCAATTGTTAAGAGCTGAGTTCCATTCAGCCCTTTGATATGGGACCTAGTCAATGAAAGATCAGATAGACCAGATTGAGGGACAGATGGAACTAGATTCTGGGTTAATGTTCCGCGTTCAATCTTGTATCCAACCTGGCAAGCCGTTGCTGATTGTCTCAGCACAGCATAGGATCCATTGCTGTAATGTTGATACGGATACACTGCTTCCGTAATCAGAAAGAACAATACTTGATCAGGCCCTGTATCATTTCGCGTCGACATCTTATCCCTTCTCGTTTCATTCGTAGTTCTGGGTGGTTCATGACAGTTGATTACCTGCAGACCATATATTACGGGGCCAGTATTTACTTGATCCCTCCAGTCGCTGTAACAGACTCGACTTTTGAATGTGAACTTGATGTTTTCGTACTGCCTACTTTGTTAGTAAGTCGTAAGTACCAATACATGGTGTGACAGGGCTTAGATTGTGTATCTCTCGCGGCATCCGCACAAAAAAAGCAAAGTCTTACCCAATCATCGTGAGGATATATATTTGGCTGAACATCAAGTAGTAGATCCGAAGGCGTTTCGCAGCTTATGTCTGGAGTAAAAGCCTCGACTATTGCCGACATACCGGTGATATTGGCTATGTCTGAAGGAGAATCAATGGTCTGGAAGGCATTCCGGGATTGAGTTCCCTGTGGGTATTGTATTTTTCCCTGAAGCAAGGCCTGTAAAGCGTATGCTGGTCTGGGAGATGAAGTTATGTGTGACATCCAGTCTGGGTTATCCCTGGTCAAATTCTGATGATTAAGGGTTTCATCCACTCGAGACATGTCAAATCTAGTATCGATGGTTAATGGGTGATTCTCAGATACTAGTGTAGATTTTGACTGAAGGAGACCGGTCGATAGGAAGATGACGAGTTGTAGTAGACTCAGTATAAGCACAGATAGTGCTACTGAAAAATGGCGGTTTCTTGTAGCTTTACATAGGGTCTGAACGCTGATTGGTGATATATAGTCTAGTAGGAGGCTTCGGGAAGAGCTGGTTGTTCGAGTCTTCATCGCTCCCCATGGCTGTAACAACTTGGTGTAATAGTCTACCTGCGTCCAGAGGCTGAGAATAACAGTCAGAATGACCGTTGGCCCATACTTCCAGGAGTAGTGGCTCTTCGAAATTGTGATGGGGATGCCATTGTTTTTTCGGTCATAGTTCCATAGGATTATTAGCGAGACCAAGAGCAACAAGAACAGAAAAACAAAAGTGATAAGAATGATAGGGTGATGCCAGAATGGCCGCCATAGTTTCGAATGCAGTTTATTGCTCTGCGGGGCATTACGTTTCGGACGCAACTTAGCAAGGCGCAGGCAGTTCGATCTCATTGTTGGATGAACTGAGGATGCTACACAGTATTTCAATGGGTGGCCCTTTATGTGGCTTGAGATGATGCGTGGGCACCAAAGGTATCAATGAAGAGTTTATTTGATATGAATATGTCATTGGGTCTAAGGAGATGTCCGCAATCAGCAAGATAACCTGTATTGAAGATAGTAAGCGTCAGCAGTTACTTAAGTAGAGATATTGATAATCCAGATCGATAAATTCATATGAAGGATATGAGACGTTAATGGTATGATCTAAGGTCGGGCATCTACCATGCTAACACATTAACACTACTTTTCGCCCCCAAAGGCTGCCCAGGTTGTTTGACAAGAAGTGCGCCAATCCATCCCCGTCAGGGTTGCATTTGTGGCTTTTAGGATTCTAGCTCATATCTGCAGCTGAGAAACAGCTCTCAGCATCCAATTTATTCAATTGTATTCTAGTATGTAGGAAGAATGGAGATGTCAATTTGCACATGTGGCTGCCAATAACTACAATAAACCTTAAACTCCTTAAATATACACTATTTTATATCAATATTCGAAGCCGTTATTCGAGCTGACACCGGACTGTGCTTGTAGTGGTAGGGCAGATGATATGACCACAGTTGTCGCTCCTTCGAAGGACGCCACAGGAAGTTCAGGCCGGGGTGTATGAAACAAGATGGAACTAGATCGCGGAACCCTGAAATGCAGTTGTACCAGCCACTCAGGCAACCATCTCATTCATTATTAGTACCTTGGCATTTGATACCTTCCTTCCTACTATTTCCTCAACCCCTTGTGTGCAGGATCACGTCGCGTCTTGCTTCAGGCAATTCTCCTAGCAGCAATGCTATTTCTCACTTAGTTCTTCACAGGTCTAGGATTCCGAAGCCGGGGTTGTCAACACCATATATCCGGGGAATTATATTAGCACCGCCTCCTTTCACGCCTCCAGGACATGAAACAATTTTACGCACATCCGCTTGCGGAACGTAACTGGCCCGTTGGCCGGCTTAGATACAATTGTCTGGATTGGGGTTGCACAGAAAAGAGGGAAGGCGGTTTACACTCTCATGTGTGCCCGATCAGTAATTGCTCTTCTGACAAGACACCAATTTGTGTCAGGAGTACGGAGTATGTATACCTGGAATGAGGCTAGCTTGCAAGAAGGTAGCATTTATAGAGTAGCTAGGTCGAAAGTAGGGGTCAGGTTCAATGATAGTGATTCCTGGCTTATCGTAAGCACTTGTTAGGAACTTCAGCCCTTGATATGCCTATACCTGACCTTAGCTATCACCGCTCCGGGGTAACCTGCCCTAGTGTCGCTCTACTCCCCAAGAAGATACTAAAGGTGCCATTCTTTCACCCAGTATTTAAACTTGTTCCTCAGTATGATGTACAGCATACCAATATCTCAGTTGGGCACTGCTCATGCGTACTCAGTACAGCGAAATTGGCAGGTAATATTTCAACGAACTTCTGATTTGCGATCCCATTGTAAAGCTTGATGCGACCTAATATCTCAAGTTATGCTTGACTTGCCTCCACTCTGCTTTAATACAGATATAATTAACTGTCCAGTCTCGGGATTAGTAACATCAGCCTCATATCTACCTCATAAAATGCACATGGCTCCTAGGCGATGGCAAAGAGAGTCTTCCATACCCTGCGCAGGGGTTGGGTGGTAGGCGAAGAAGTACGGCAGACAATCAAGTATTGCAAGTCCCTATAGCGTGATATGGAATGATCCTACAGGTCAGCAAACTCTCATTACAGAGAGCAATAGAATTGTAGAAAGCCAGCATTCCGATTCAAATTCGTACACAAAGTAAGTTGGTAATCTCTATTCTTTCTTATTTTCTCGCATTCTCCTATACTAGATACTCTCAGAAACCGAATGGCGGGTCATTTATCCCGTCGCGCACTGAAAAGCTTCCCGCCATCTTTTGCGACGCGGTGGTACGTGGGGCTTATTGCTGCGGCACATTCCTCTCACAAGCCCCGCGTCAGATCATCTATCGCTCAGCGCTTGGGGGCATGATATGTGGTGGCGGCCGTATTGTTGGGTCGAGGTAATTGTTAAACCCATCATTCTCTGAACAGTTCAGCCCGTAACATGTGGCAATCCAGGAAAAACAGGCATTAAAGGTTCAAAGTGTGTGACATCAAGTCGTGGCACCTCCCACCACCAAATCCAGACAGGAGAGGGTTGCGGTAAAAGGCAACAATGTGTCACCAATCGAGGGACTGTTGATTGCCACTAGTCGCGCTTGTTACACGTCAAGATACCCTCTACCCTCCCTGGACCTGTCGCGGTCATGCTTATCCTTATTGCGCCCGCGGGCGGCAAAATCAGCCCGCCCGGCTATGGTAGGACGGCACGGGCCTTCATCTGGGGGCAGATGCAACAAGAATGGTCGAGGGAGCATGCTGTGGTCTTTAAATCTGGATTCATAGGTAAGGCGGGCAGCTCTCTGCTTTCATTGTTCCGAGCAGCATCCATTGTATGCATGCGACGCTGCCCCCACCACCAAAAATATCAGATTCTGAGCCAGCTCAGAGCGTCTCAGGCAATCGCTGCCTGATGCTGGTCGAGATATAAGCAACGCCGGTAGTGCTCTGGGTGAACTCAACATTATCCTTAACATCTACTGTGGCATTGCACTAATGCACGTGCCGCCATATAACCGGGATAGAGGATCTACAGATGATTCGGGATCAGCCGTGATTCGCTGCTATGAGTCCGCCTCAGCACAGGATCCGCTCAGTCGGTCTTCACGTGCTCTATGAGCCGGAGAAGAGTGGAAGCACACTTGTTGAGTAAGCTTTCTTTTCGTCATCATATATCGTGCCGGATGGTGAGCTGATAATCTCAGCATCGTGTTTGTTCATGGGTTTGGAGGGCATCCGATGAGAAGCTGGCAGTACGAAGATCGAATATCGCCCGACACTCGACTAACGGCTATACCGCCCGCGCGTGATGGACATCTGAAAAACTTACTGAGAACGGCGAGATCATCGAACAAGACGGATCGGTCGAATATAGAGGCTGCCATTACGCAGAAGGATGCTTGGCGTGCTGACTCAAATGTACTCCCTCAGGTCTTCTGGCCTCGAGACTTTTTGCCGATGGCATGTCCAGAGGCACGGATCATGACCTGGGGATATCATACCCTGCATAGCGGTAATATGCCAATAACTGCTCAGCTTGACCTGTTCGCCCGAGTGCGCGAACTACTCCGAGATCTTAGGGACCTTCGCCGAGATGATGGCGTACAAACAAGACCATTGATCTTCATTGCCCATTCCCTCGGGGGTATGATCGTGAAAGAGGTGAGTGTATATGCATCAACCCCGATGCGGAGATGTTTACCAATTGGTATAGGCGCTACGCGAAGCTGAGTTCAGTAATATAGCGACCCAGCAAGACATCCTAAGCTCAACAGCGGCAGTCGTGTTTTTCGGTTGCCCGCACAGGGTGGTAGGGAAAACGTCGCCAATAGATACCGCCATGGCTATGGCGGAGGAGACACAAAGTATCCGAACAGACCGCTCGGTGCTCTCGGGATTGTGCGGTGTAAATAACCCGAGGTGGAAAGAAGCGCAAGACTCATTTGTTCAGCAGTGGCATCACTTCAACTTTAGGGTTAAAACTTACCAAGAGAGACAGGGTGGCAAAAGCAAATTCATCGTAAGCATCACTCTATTTCGGGCGTACCATCGAAAGTGAGCTAACCTATATATATATATATATAGAATACCCGCGTAGAGTCAACCAAGCTCGACGACGCGAGAGAAGAAGCGGAGAGCTTACCTGCAGGCCACCGAATGATGTGTCAGTTCAGGTCGGTGAATGATGCCGGGTTCAAATCACTTTCTAGAATTCTACAAGGCATGGTGAAGATTGAGAAGTTAAAGGTAGGGTATATCAGCTGATATCTATTGAAAGACATGTCTGATTGATCATAGCGTCAAGGGCTGAGTGTTGATGAGATACGTAGGCCAAAAAGCTGGTCCGACTTTCCAAATGCTTGCTAATGAATACAAGATTGCTTGCGACTACTTGATAACCGCCGGGTACATGACCCTCAATCGTCTAAGGGATATGCCCTAGATGCGTGTAGAGCGATATACAGTTCAAGGGAGTTTCGCAATTGGTATCGTCGCCAAGGAGGCAGCAATGAATACATCCTTTGGCTGACAGGTACGCCAGGATCAGGCAAGTCGACCCAGTTACGCTATCTTAAGCGCCAAATGGAAAAGTACTGGAAACCTGGTACGGCGTCGATTGTATACTGTATCGCGGAGGGCTTGGGTACTGACCGAGATTCTGTTCCCGAGCCTAGGATAGGGAACTTACGGTCCGTCAATGTCATCCGTTCTATTCTTTCTCAACTCTTCGGACAGGACCCAAGTCTACGTCAACGACTTTCTAGCTCGTGCCGCGATGGCCTCAGCGATGTCGACATTACTCGGTTCTTTCTGGAAGATTACGTTGTCAACAAGCCCCAGGCTTTAGCAAGGAGGACGTTCATCTTGGTCGATGTCGAAGATAGCTGTGACGACCCCTACATCCGAGAGTTGTTGCATTGCCTGTGTCCCTTAGCCCAAAACTCAAGTTTTAGCATATGCTTAGCAAGCCGGCTCATCGACGGCTGCCCCCCGGCCAACATCATTCATTTACAGCTAGATAATTACAACTACGAAGAAATCATACGGTTCACAGAGTCTCGCCTAAAGGCTAGTTGGGAAGAGCGTATAGTAACTGTGCACAAGGTTGCCGAGAAGGCCGGGGGTAGCTTCTTGTGGGCGCAGTTTGCGACGAACCTTCTCCAAGACATCATAGACAATGGCGGAACGCAGGATCTCGTGAACAAAGTCCTAGAAGCGCTGCCGACAAATTTATACGGCCTTTATGAACTGACGCTGGCATCTCTGTCATCAAAAGAGAAGGCGGACGCTACGACTATTATGCGGTGGGTTATGCTTTCTCCGGAGCCAATGCTGCTCAACGATCTACAAATGGCCGTTCGCCGTAAGCATTCCCAGTACCATCCCTATTCCCCGTCCGAATCGTATTCTGGTAACTTCACATAACCCCTGAAACCAACGACGGGCAATTAATAACCGTGAATATCGCAGTAAGCCGCACACGTTCCCTCCTATTATGTGAACCAGAAACTGCCTTGCATGTTGGTTCACCATTGTCGATGCAAGAACTGAAAAAGAAAGGAAAGCAATTCGACACGCCTTCGCAGTTCTACCAATGGCTATGCTCCCGAACGCGTGGTCTCCTCGAAGCAAGGCCTGTAGGTGATGAAGGAAAAGCACAACAACCACTCGGACTTCAGCGCATACACCCAATACATGAATCTGTTCGATTATTCTTTTTATCCGGCAGGGGCTTCGCCGCGCTGTGCTTGGGTCGAGCGAAGACAGCCAAAAGATGCAATCATGAGGCCGTTCACTTATGTCATTACAGTCTTCTGCACACGATCTTGATTTATCTGAATACATCAGACCTATCACCTCTAGTGAGCGGTACTCTCTCGCAGGAACCGGCGCAAACAATGTTGTCATCGCAGACATCACCAACATGGCGAAGAAACGTCGTAGATCAACGCAATCTCATCACCTCATCATACCCGTTCCTGCGCTACGCCGTAGACAATCTACTATACCACTTACTCTCCCCGCGCCCCGTACGCTACTTCCTCCCGCAACACGCCATATTCGCCATGTTCACGGCGAACGAGTGTCGGATATGGCGGCGCTGGACGGCGCTCCTGGGCGAGACGGACGCCTCGGCAATCCTGGCGAAATGCGCATCCGCCGAAGCCCTCCTGCAGCCCGAGTTCGGCGCGTCGTTCCGGCTTGAGCGCGTTCTGCGGGCGGTTAATAGGATGGCGACCGGGGATAGCTGGTTCTCGCCCCAGAAAAGACTGCGACTTTCTGTTTACCCATTTCCCGTACCGCCTGGTTCAGGAAAGTCTAGGACAGAGGAAGGTGAAGGAGAGGCTGTCCAACATGTGCCTATAGTGACTCTTCGTCCCCCGTCACCTCCAAGGTCGCCTCGCTTGATCCGGCGAGGAGCACGGTCTCGAGGTACCGTGATTATAGGCACGGCTAAAAGATAGAACTTGAGGCGATCTAAATTGTCCTGTTGAGATAGTCGATTGGGCTGGTCATCTCAGAGATCAGCATCGCGCTACCAGCGGTCCTCGGACCAATGACGTATGGGAATCGAGGACTGGACGTTTCACAACGTCGGCCGCATCAGCGTATTGTATCCAGGTTGAGGGGCGCTCATCATAAATCTCCTTTTTGTATCACATTGTCAGCTTACATCTGATATCCTCGGTACAAGCGCGCAAGTGTCAAATTCCTCGACACCAGGACTGCTGAAGCTGAGTTTTCGTGCTCATGCGTATATCATTTGGGTGGTCAGAGGCCAGTCATATAAAGGGATGAATTCGAATCCTGTTAGCACTAGCATGTGTCAGTTACCAGTGTTTTTCATGCCTACACAGCGTCAGCGACATCTTCCCTATTAATAGGATGAAGCTTATTGGTGACTTAAGTCCTATTCCCTATGTCTGTCTCGCCCCCTCCCCCGGTCGAATTCTTTTATTCCCCAGATATACCCCCCTTCTGCACCTCGTTCTTGGAAACCAATCAGGTTTCAGGAGTGAGACCAATTGCGATGAAGGAATATATTATCTTGCCGGTTTCGCCGAGTTGGCACCAACCTCTGCTGGGTATTCTTGCTGCCCTTCCAATCATAAAATCATGGCGTTCTCCGTGATCCTGGATAAGCTGAATGGCGCGATACAATCGGATCAGATAAGCAGCCATGTGATGCGCGATAGTGAAGAAGGCTGCGACTGCTACGGGCTACGTCTCTAATAGAAGTTTCAAGCAGAGATCATTACTACCGAAACATCTGCGAAGGATTTCTCTGCTACATCAATAGTAGTCAAGCGGCCATGATACATACTGCTACCGAACCTGGAAAACAAAACATTCTATCGAAGCAAATAACTTGACAAGCCGGTATTGCTATTAACCGCCAGGTATGTTCATCGCAGTGGTTAAGACGCCTTCGCGCCTATCAAATAGCTTAGCCAGTAGAGTTCGGCCCCGACCCTACCACTACCAGTAATACGCACTGCACTCTGAGGTCATACAGAAATACCAAGCCCGTATAATAATAGTAGGTAAGCGAAGGCATACCTGTGGCCCGTCAGCAGTGATCAGGTATCTATCTAGTTTTCCCCATCACCATTATCTAGATTCCGGGATTCATAATGGGCTGGCCCTGAGATTCGACATCTCGTCCCAACTGTCGATATCAGCCGACAAAATCGTCATTGACGCTCGTTGCTCTTCATGGATGCTATACCGACGCTCGTGGCCGCCTTGATAATTCTCATACTGGGGTGGATTTCGGTAGTGCTCCGGTTCTACACTCGGATATATGCCCGCCAAGGCCTCAAATGGGATGACTGGTTACTCCTTCTTGCAGCGATTGCAGGGACGACTGTCATCGCTCTCACTGTTGCTGGTGAGTACATATACATCATTTGAAAATTCATTTCAACTACAGCCCGTGCCAAAGAGTCGATGAAAAGCTAATCCGATATTCACTCATTAAGCGGGTGTCGTGAATCCGAATGGGAACTACACCACGCAGATCTTCGATCCGAATTACATCGAGACACCGCAGGATATCTTCTATCTCCAGATAAATTACGCGACGGCCATCGTCTACTACACGATCAACGCCGCCGTCAAACTGAGTATCCTGTACATGTACTACCGCATCTTCAACGCAAGATCCGCGCTCAGATACCAGTTGTTCATCACGGCGAGCTTAGTCATCGGATGGTGGATTGGGACGACGGTGGCGCAGATCGTCAACTGCGTTCCCATCTCCAAGTACTGGACCAGCAATATATTGGACCCGAAGCATTGCTTCAACTTGAATACGCTCTTCGTCGTCGCGGGGAGCATCGAAGTCTTTCTCGACGTGCTGATCTTGACGCTTCCGATCAGGGCCGTGCTGGCGTTGCAATTGTCGTGGAGGCGGAAAGGGATCATCTCGGGGATCTTTCTACTTGGCAGCTTGTGAGTTATCCTCTCTTCAACTCGGCATCAATAAGAATTATCCCTCATTATTCACCGTGACTAGTGTGATAGCCACGGGACTCGTCCGAGTAATCATGGGGTATGCGCCAGGGAGTCAACGGCCCTCATCATCAGCCGAGCTGTGGACGGTGATTCATTCCGGTGTAGGAGTGATATGCGCGAGCTTGCCGACCTTCAACCCCATACTGCAGCGCACATTGAAATCATCCCTCGTTACCAACACGATACATTTCTTCTCGGGGTCGAGCGCAAGCAAGGAAGTGGTGATGAGGAGAGAGAGAAGCCACGTCACGATCCCTTTAAACACGATGACCGACGAAGCTCATTCTACCCGAGATAGTGTAGAGCAGAGTCCCCAGGTGCCGGAACCGACATATGATAGATGGGGCTTAAAAGCTGGGCGTTTGGGTCTTCAGGAACAGAATGTATATTGATGAGTTCTTACTAAGTACATATAGATAAAAGATGTTTGGTTCGTTCACCAGCTAGGTCGGAAAAGTGATAAGATGATGATGATATGAATGAGTGAATGAGCTGAATACTAAGCATGAAGGCGGCGGCGGAACTGGTGGGGCTGCCGACCGAGTGTCCAGTATTGCTGTCCGTCCGGCCTCGTATCGACGGCGGGATAGGCACGATTCACGCATGACGGGAGTCATGGGCATTTCATAAATCGCTTGATTAGTTCTATCTCTAAAGATCTTGTGCATCTTGTGCACCTAGTTAATCATTCAATTGATAGAATGATTTATACCAGTGTCCTGATGCCATACTTCGTATTCTGGCGTGGCGCGGCGCGTCGTGAGAAAAAAAAAAAATAGGTAGGCAGATCTCTCAGCATTGATTGACGGGAGGCTAGTGGACATGAAGCTTAGCATGTGTTAGCATGTGGGGACCCTGCTAGCCCACTATGCGTTAGTGGTTAGTTGGTGAGTTATAGTGGCAGTTATAGTGGTAAGATCCCGCTGACCTATTATCTACCCTCGCTAGGTACCTACTTAGCCTACGGTACTGGCCCAGCAACGCTCGCTAGGCGCATTGATATGTACCCAAGTACCTGGGTAGAATCAAAGGATCGGCTACCAACGCCCAACACCACGGCCGAGACCCAAGATCCATGGATTCCCATGTTTGCGAGGCCTTAACATCGATGGGATATAGCAGTCATCGGGTCGCCGTCGTGCATGGCTTGCTGCGAACTCGTAAACAAAGAAGCCTGCCAAAACTCTGCATCGTCATGAACTGCATTTCCGTCCATTCTCGTCGTCTCGCTAATCTTCCGTCGAGCCCCCAATTTTAGCTGCATTTGTAACTACAAACAGATATCTATCAGATATTCTCGGGCCCCGTTGCATCACCAGATTCGACAAGACACCTACGACACCTCACCATCTCCACGCACATTTCGTCCATTTCGTACATATCCTCGCCATTGCGCCGCGTCTGCAGCTTTCCGCACATATCACCTCGTGCTATACACCGCTGCTACATCCCTCCGTGCCTCGAACCCTCTCCATGTAGCAGCAAGAGTACCTACCTTGACCCTAGTCGCGACCCTGTCTTAGCATCCTCAGACCTCAATCGCTTACGAGGCCGCTTCCGAATAACCGACAAAACACTTGCTCCCGTCTGTTCGCGTATGCGTCTTGGTACTACACCATGGAAGAAGACGAGAATCATGGCATCGGCCAGCAAGACCAGGCTGCGCTAGACCGCCTGTCAGCTCAACCCAAACGCCTTCTGCCCAACGACAGCAGCTTCGTCGAAATCGAAACTACCAAACTCGAGCCCGAAGACGAGCAACACCCCGACTCTATGACAGAGGAAGAGCATGTCAGAGCCCACCTGCAAGACGTCGAGTCGAGCTTCTTGCCGCCCGCCTCGCCCACCATTAAGGTCGCCGGTCCAGATGCTGGCATAGACGATACTTTTCTCTTCGACGCTGCCCCCAAGAGACCCCCCACATCTGCTGATGTGTTTCCCGCGCAGCAGCAAGACGAATCCGATTCGCAGACCCATTCATTACCGGCGCCCCAAGTCCTTGAGACCAACCAGCTGCCGACACGCGAATCACCCGCGCCCACCGCTACGGTGACCACCACCTCGGCGTCTACGTCTGACCTTGCTCCAGCCCAGCCAGAGGATGCGCCGCTACCCGAATCCCGCCCTGGCAGCACCTCGAACGACGGTCCCAACGACCATGCCGGGGCCAATGTAGATCTAAGTGCAGATATAACAAGTAGCACATCTGCCCTTGAGGTCCTGTCGTCGCCCACAGCTGCGGTTGCTGCCCGTGTAGCATCTAGGGCTACCTCTACTTCCACTAATGCTACAGCTCACCAACTTCCTAGTAACCACCAAGATAGCAGTGCACCGGTTCAGGATAGCTCTGTCATAGAGGATGCGTATGACGACTCATCTTTCTCAACTGGTGTCCCTACTCTAAACCCTAACGCTTCAGACGTAACAACTAATAGGCTGTCCACTGATGCTGGAGCCACTCCAGGCAACGCTCTCAAGGTTACTAAGCGCCCTAAGTATCTGCGTAGTAGGAATGCCAGCGAGCGCTCGTCTGCTTCTTCCTTCCTTACCAGCGACGAAATTGATAGTGATGCCACCGTTGGCTTGAGTGCTGATTATGCTCTCCAGTCAGGAGGTGCCGCCCCCGCCTTTGGTTTGACCCGTAGTGCTAGCAACGACCTCTCTCGTTCCATCAGTATGGGAAGCATGGCTTCTGGCTTCGACGACAGTCTCGACCCTACACGGCCTGGGCCGCTAGAGCCCCTTGAAGAAGTCGACAGCCCTATACGGGAACATCACGGAGACAATCTGGCTACCCCTAAGGCCAAAAGAGCGCCCCTTAATGCACCAACGGACACTATCATTGCACGGCATGTGCGTAATGTCGAGGTGCCCGAATCTTTGGCCAGAGAATATCAAACCAAAGGTGGCTTATCGACGCCCTTGCCATCACACCGCAAGCTTTCCGATTATACCCCGGGACCCGGCACTGTTGCGCGAGGAGGGCGGAACATGACATTGAAAGAGCAGTCTAGCACAATTGAACGGCTCTCTAAAGAAAACTTCGATCTCAAACTCAAGGTTATGTTCCTCTCTGACCGACTAGACAAACTCTCCGAAGAGGGTATTAAGGAGATGATCTCGGAGAACGTCGAGTTGAGAACCTCATTGGCTGTTCTACAAAGAGACAATAAAATGCTGAGGCGTAGAGTCAAGGAACTTGAGAAGCGTCATCAAGATGATGAGGGCCGTCCTAGCACCGCGCGGAGTGGTGTGTCGTCCGATGGGAGAGCAACACCTACCTTTGGCTCGAGTGCACACGCCCACGAAGAGGAGGTCATTCTCCTTCGCGAACAAATTGAAGAGTACGTGCGTGAAATCGAACGTCTCAAGTCGGATAATATGAACAGTGAGCTAGAGAAGAGAAAGCTAGTAGAAACTGTTAAGGTGATGGGTGACAGAGTTACTGGGCGTGTAGAGGAGACGCTGGGAAGACAAGACGAAGCGGACGTCTGGAAAGACCTTTTGGAGCAAGAAACGGCGCGCCGTGAACAAGCTGACGATGAAAATCGGAAACTACGAGAAGAGATCTTTCTGTTAAAGCAAGACATGAATGGTGGTCCAGGCTCCGCAAGTGGTGGCATTCATGGTATGCACCATACAACAAATATTTACAATATTACTAGGAAGGCTAGGCCAAGTTCGCCCTCCCGATCGCGTCCAGTTTCTACTATGTCTGAAGAGGCAGACCAAACCAACTCTCTCAGCCAGTCGTCGACATTAGTGGAAGAACTCCGCCGGGAGAGCGAGAAGCTGCGGCATGAAAATGCTGAATTGCGTAGGGAGGTTGGTGCGCAGACTTCAATGCTTACGTCCCGAAATCGCGAGAAAGAAAGGCTGTACCAGGAGATTGAGGAACTCAAATTAGCCCAGCGTCGTAATGGACCGACCCCGTCGACCCTTGAGAGTCTCTTAGATCGCTCGGCATCACGGGTTGGAGGCCATGACCGCCCAATTTCGAGGGGCAGTGCCCGATCTCGGCTAACAATGGCAGTGGAAGATCCAGATCGAGAGGAATTGGAGAACAAAATCGCAGAACAGCGCGATAAAATCAACGAACTGAAATTTAAAAACCAAGAACTACAACGAGAGCTCGAGACTTGTATGGCCGATTTCGAAGAAGCAATAGAAGGCAAGAGGCTGGCAGAGGATAATGCTGCTGCCCTCCAAGAAGAGCTCGATAACACGATGAATGATCTCATGGCAATCCAAGCAGAACGTGACGAGGCTTTGCAGGACCAGGCTGCATGGGAGACCAAATTCAATGATCTTCAAGAAGAGGCGCAGGGACTGGTGAACGAACTAGAGGCTGAAGCCGACCAGAAGGCGGATGAAATCCAGCGGCTGCATCTGGATCTTCAAGATCGCTCAGAGAATTTCGAAGCTCTTCAAGAAGAAATGCGCAGTATGACTGAATCACTTATAAGGCTTGAGGATGAGCAAATTAAGACACAGAAGAGAATTGAGCAGCTCGAGCAAGAGTTGGCAGATTCCGGTAAAGAGCTTGAGGATCTGGAGACTCAACTCTTGGAATCTAATGAAAAGGCTCAGCGATTGAGCGTACAACAAGAGTCAAGCCAGGGTGAAATAGCCTTCCTACGCGAAGAGCAAGAAGGCGACAAGATCCGTATTGGGGACCTTGAAGCCGCGCTAGCCAATGCCGAACAGATAATTGTAGAAGAGCGTGATCGAGCTAAGGAATTAGATCAGAGGCTTGGCAATGAACGTAGACAGCGCGAGCTGATTGCGAATCGCGAGAAAGAGGAAGTGCAGCAAATGGTGAACGACCTCAACCGCGAAGCATCCTCAGCCAAGGAAGAGGCGCGGATCCTCCGGCAAAGCCTTGGCAACAGAGAAGTAGAGGCAACCCAGTGGAAAGAAAGACTCGTGGAGCTAGAAAACAACTTGCGAGAAGCTTTAGGAGATCTGAACGGTACTCGATCGAGTCTATTACAGGTGAGAACCCTTTCTAGTATCTAACTTCAAGGAATCAAGACTAATTCATGGCTAGTCCATTGCTGGGCTTCAACGTGAGCTTGAAACAACCGCTCGAGAACTCGATACTACGAAGAGCTCTCTACACGAAAAAGATCGTCTTATCAAGCAACGGGACAGCCTTCTAGAGTCGCACGCCCTTGAATCTCGCAAGCTTGGCGACTTGCTTGATAAAGAACGACAGACTCACCGTAACACGAAGAACCAGTTTGAGACATTCCAACGCACACATCAGCACGTGTCAAGGACAGTCACTAGTCAAGATTCGCGTATCATAGAGCTGGAGTCACATAGAGCAACAGACAAGAGGAAAATAGCGCAGTTAGAGTCGACGTTTAAGGAACAACTAGCTGAGCGCAATAACTTACTACTAGTATTGTGGACACGCCTTTCAGCGCTCTGCGGCTCTGATTGGTTACATAACAACAGCTTGATTAATGGTCGAGCGTTACCGTCCATTGATTCTATATCGACTATGCTTCCCGGGTTCAGCAAGAATCTTCTAGCAGCCGTCAAGACGATTGAGTCCTTGTTAGGCAGCTTCCAATCTCGCATCAAATCTGTTGAGCGCGACCTCTGGAAAGAATATCAGTCTCTGGAGAACAGCTTAGAGGTACGCACAAAGAAGCTCGAGCGGCTTGAAGCTCTTGTGCGATCTGGTATTACATCAGGAAATTCAGACGCCCAGACGAGGTTATCACAGCTAGAGACGGCATATCGAACCCTCAAAATCGAGCATGCAACGTTGCAGCGCGCTCACGATGCCCGCAGTAGGAGCGCGGGCTACGGTGAACGAAAAGAGTATATCGAAGGAGGAAGCCCGTCGCCACTAGTACCTACCGGGCCGACCGGCAAAGAATCCAAACTCCCCCGCAGCAGCAAAACGACGCAAGTCGACTCGACGAGTAGCCGGAGCACGAGTAGCATGACGCGGACCTCTTCTAACATGGGAGCATCAGACCTAGGCCGCGTGAACTCCGCCGGCGACAACGGACGCGTGGCTGAGCATCAGTGGATGCTGAGGTTGCGAGAACTCGAATATAAGCTTAAAGAGGAACGAGAGGCGAGACATATGGACCGCATGGCTGCGCGCCAGCGGATCCAGGACAGCGAAAGACAGAATAATGAGCTCGCTGCTGAATTGGTCCGCGCTCAGAGGAAAAAGGAGTAGAAGCCCTAGGCGGGAGTGCGGCGGATCAGAGATGTCTTGGGGAAACGAGGGGAAAGAAGGTGAGAGAATTGTTATCGCGTCGTGATGGAAGCGATATATACATACATGGAGGAATAGGAATATGTTATGTACACTACAACATTCACCGGGGATGATAAATGAGAGGCGAAAGAAAAGAAGAGAAGAGAGGTGTACGGGACTGGCGTAATATTTGGCATTGGGCATGCTTATACATATGCTATGCTATGCTATGGTGTGGTGTGGTATATGGTATATGGTGGTATATGATATGGTATGGTATGAATTATGTATTTATTTGTATTAGCCGTTTATGCGCAGCGTGGCGTCGAGGGTTATTTTTATGAGGAGAGGGGAGGAAAATGAAATGGGGGAGAGGTAGAGTCTTAAGAATAAGAGGTGAATGAGAGAGATGAAGGAGTGAATTGATTGATTGGTTGGTGAATGAATGTCTGGGTGAGAACTGTGTGAGAAATGTTTGTGTTGTTATCATTGAGGTGAGATGAGAATAAGGTAGGGTGCGTTGGGATGAAATGAAGTGAAGTGAAGTGAAGTGAGTTACGATTAGATGAGGTGTGATGAATGTGTTTCATTGCGGTGGGTGGGTTTATCGGATAGCGGCGAGTGTAGAAGAGAAGGATCCTGTGTGTGTGTGTGTGATATCTATGAGAGACGGAAAGACATCATGTTTACGGTATGAATGAGTGAGTTAGCTACCTGTTGGTTAACTAACTACCTAGGTAGTTAGGCGGTTTATCGTGAGATGGAGGTGAGATGAATTAAGTACATCGGTATTTAAAGTGAGTAAGGTATCTAAGCTAGGCGATATACCTATTTACACCATATCACGACGGAAACAGTCCATGGATTCTAAGATACCTTTGTACGTATCAACTTCGCTACCACGGTATTGGAGGCAAGCATGTGAGCGAGCGCGGATCGGAGGTATAACGTGCCCGCCAAGCAATTGATGATCGGGCGGGTGCACACGGAACATCGTGCTGCCACCGGCTTTTCCCGGTCCTACTTTTTATAATATTCTGCGAGGGAAATAGAGATTGAATGCATGCCATAGAGCAAGGAGATAGATATGGGATGGGATCATTCTGCTTCGAAGATAGCAAAGGAAAAGCGTGATTCCCAATAGTACTAGTATTGCCGGGATCCAATACAGCTACCTAGTAGTGTCGGTCCAAGCTGTGATGAACCTCATGCTTCAACGGCCTATTTATTACTTACTTACATGCTAGCTACCTTTATAGCTCTCGAAATGAAAACTAATCTGCACTCGAACGGATTTAGAAAACGCAGGGCATACTGCAATTCGTGATGGACTAGGTAGGGCAAGATCTACACAGTTGCTTACTCGAGTCCTACATCGTAGCTACGACAAACTATATATACCTACCTACCTAGCCAAGCCAAGCCAAGGCAAGTAAAGATAGAATACAACCGAGTGATCCGAGCACTCGTTGCCTGACCGCCTTCAAGCCGCAGCGATAGACAGAATCTACATAAGGCGACAAACAGTTCGCGAACCACGCAAGAAATGCCCGCGCACATCGTTGCTGCGCCGCAGAACTTTGGGGGCCAAGATGCTGCCTTGCAAGGAAGCGATGTGGAGGCCTCTGCTCTCTCCGCAGCTCAACCCACTGCGAAAGGGCAAGATGATAGGTAGCAACTCGATCTATTTTGATGCCAAAAAAATATTTGCCTTTTGAATGAAGCTACATGTCTCTATTCTATTAGGTGGAATAGAATTAATTACCTGACATTCGTTGGAAGAAGAGTCACCGAACAGCATAAATCCGACGCTATCATTGCTGCCTTTAGCGGAATCGTCCGCGGGCAAAGCAAAGTAGGCATTTGATCTATCCGACAGAGCAGTCATGACCGCCCCTCACAGACAACAAGCGCCGAGACACCGGCGTCATCTTGTCGCGGCGGACGAGCAGTGCCGCGTCTTTCCACCCCTAGGGTATGGCGCGGGAGATCCAATGGTGTTCAGCAATCCGTCGACCTTCGACGAGCCGGTATTATATCCAGCCCTCGCACGGCGGGACTCGGGCTGGTCGGACGCAGGCCTCACCATCAACGTCGGCGCAGCCTACGGCGGTAAGTTCCCCGGCAACATCGACGTCCCGGGTTTTGCGAACCAGGTGTATATGCCCAGCACAGCGAGCTCGGTGACTGGTCTATCGACGATTTCGCGGACGTCGTCTGTCGACTCTGTGTGCTCGCCTGTGTTGACGGAGCCGACGCACGATAATGGTTCTAGCACATCGCGATTGCCTAGTCCGCTGCGTAAATCGACGACGCCGGAGTGCTCGATGTCTAGTGGCGATGCTGCTGCGAAGGGGAGAAGCGCGTCGCGGAACGCGCATGTGTGTCTATGGGGGAGCAACGGCGTATGTTCGAGCGGTGGTTTCGCCACGCGAGCGGAATTAAATCGCCATGTGAAGATGGAGCATTTGCTCGAATGCCCTGTGCCAGGGTGTACAGAGACCGTCTTCGAGACGCGCGATCTCCTCGCCTGCCATGTGCAGTGGGATCATAACAATAGCGATAACCCGAATACCGCTGTATGTCGCACTGCGAACCTCCTAGGAGGCTGCCTCGCGGCATCGCAGGACGTGGCGAATGATTTATCAGCGGACGCGGCGGTCGCAAAGAGACCGAATACAGTCGAGGACCGAGTCCTGAAAATGGAAATGTCAATTGGAATTTCCAAGAGGAGGTGTCGAGAGCAGCTGAGGACTGTCCTTGAGAAGAGATTCCGGCGAACCAATGGTAGGTCGTAAGGGTCAATGCGAATGAGATGAGCTGACGACAGACAACAGGGCTACCGAAAAGTGCAGATAGTCCAGGCGTATATGAGAGCCGGACGCCGAGGTTGCTCGATTCCGCCAGTTTCCCAATGATCTGGGAACACGGCGTGCTCCCATTCTTGATCGAGTTCATGCCTAAATGGTGCGGACCGGGACATGTGATAAGTGTCATCCGCGGCAGGAAGCCCAACACGCGACGAATCTGCATCCTAACGAAACGGTCCGTTACCAAAGCCCGTCGCATAGTCATCGCAGCGCATGTCAGAGATCTCCTCCCGGAGACATATCGCAGCACTGTGTCTTTCATATTTTCCGTCGGCAAGGTAGATCGCCTCGTGTGGTCGCGGGGTCTAAGCAAAGAGATGCCGGACGAAGTGTGCGTGTCGCGGAATCCGTTTGCGTATATCAGCCCGTGTATGGGCGATAGCATCGGCGCATCTCTCGACGACGGGGAAGAGGCGACCGCAACACTAGGTCCCTGTGTGACGGCCGAGGGAGGAAGCTATTGGCTTGCGTGTTTCCACCCTTTCATCGGCGCGACGCAACGAACGTCTCCAATCCTCATCGAGCATCCTTCACCGCAAGACCGCGCTCAATGTGTGAAGGAAGACCACGATGTGTTACAGGACTTGGATCACCGGATTGGAAATCTCACGGCGACTTCGGGTTTCGATCTAAAGACGACTCGAATCACGCACGATCCGTACTGGGAAGATATGGAGAAGGAACCCCCTCTAGTCGTCACCGATTGGATCCTCATTTCCTCCGGCACACGACAGGCCAATCTTCTCCGCAAATTCCCAACTGCCGCACAACGCCGCGAGATGCCTGTAACTACCATGAGCTCGGTGACACCCTGCGCCAACGTCTTCTCGACAGGGAGGACGTCGGGCTTCGGGCGGGGACAAATCTGCGAGGTACCAGCGTACGTCGACAGCGAGGAAAACGGGACAGGCAAAGCGACTCGCGAGTGGTTCATCGAGGAGCCGTATCCCTACGAGAACGAGAACGAATGGATCCGAGGCGGGATCGGCGTCGAAGGCGACAGCGGAGCAGCCATCATCGACAGCGACACGAACGCACTAATCGGACAACTCTGGGGGCGAAACAAATACTGGGGTCCGGGACCTCGGATAACCTTCTTCACGCCCATGTCCGACATTTTCGACGATATTCAAGAGAAATGCGGGATGGCTGCCCGGCCTCAGCTCCCGCAGTACCGAGACGAGGCTGAGCGATGGCCCGTATACCCAGTCTGCAGGCAGTGCTACGACATCCGGGAGTATCTAGATAGTCGGCGGTCCTCGAGGGAATCGCTGATGTCCATGATCGGCATGCACGACGTGCGAGGCGAGCACGACAACGATCTCACGTCAGTATCGGAACTAGCGACGCCAAAGGACCATTCTTCTCTACTTCGACACATCGGGTCCGAGGAAACGGCCTCGTTATTCGGTGGTGGTGGTGGCAGTGTTGTTTCCCCGGCACCAGTACATACTTTCTACTCCTTCAATCAGGCGGCTTCGCCCGGGGTATCGGAGCTCCGAAGTCCATATCCACACACGTTGAGTGAGGATGATCTATACGAATCAAGTTGCCCACAGTCAAGCGATGTTGCGTTGGGCAAACGCCCTGCCGTCCTACCACCTCAGGGGCAGGGCATCACACAGCATTCAGACAAGAGGAGGCGGCCAACCCACCAACCGCCTATAGACACTTCATGCTTTATTCCTAGGGACAGGTCTTTATAGGCTTAATGTATGTTGATTCTGTTTTCAATACACTCAGCCTGGAAATCCCCCTCGACCCATCTTTCTAGCGCGTTGGTCGCGGCGGTTATGGTTTGCTCTAGAGCCCTTGTTCGCTTCCTTTCGTTTCCTAGCGTTTTCGGTGTCTTTGTCGCCCGTAGGTCCTGCAACGTTCCCTCCACGGCCACCACCGCCTCTTCCTCGTCCTCTGCCCCGGCCGCGTCCACGATCATGTGATCCCCGGGAGCTCGTACCATCGCCGCTGCCGTCGCCTTCGGAATCTTCTACGTGTGACGGGGCGCGCCACGCTGTTGATTCTAGAACTGGCTGGCTTCCGCCGAAACCGCTATACTTCGCCTCCAGTTGCTTCATTTGGTGAGGTGTCCGAGTGAGCATGACGGCCCAGCCTTCGATAGCTTCGTCCGTCATACCCGTCGCCTGCTTCAATTTGATTTGTGCGTTGCTACGTCTCGTTTCTGCGCCCTTGTCAAACGACTTAGGATTGGTCTGATAAGCTCGGAATAGTGCTTCTTCGTTAATGTCTTTTCGCTTCTGTTCATCGGCATCTTCTGGGTGGCCATCATTCACAACGAAACCCGCATCAACGGCGTCATACGTATCGTCCCTCTCGTCGTCGTCGGCATCGAAGGCTGAAAGCGCGGAAAGAATAGCAGCCCTTTTAGGGGCAGAAGCGCGGTCATTGAGAATGTCATCTGTAGTGCGCCCAGGGTTGCGTTTCCCGAAATGAAGTCTTGAAGTATCTACGGCCAATTGATCCAACTCATCGTCATCGAACACGTTATGGCGTGTAGGGACTTGAGGAGGTGTGGACCGGGGAGCGATATCATGACTTTTCCTGCGAGTACGCTCAGGGGATCTAGACCTTCATTAGCAAGGATAGATGATATGTGTGTATACTTAACTAACAGCTCTTTGGTGCGATCAGCTCCAGCCAAATGAGGCGGTAGTGAATCCTCAAGTAAATGTGCTATGACTTGTTCTGTATTATCCCCAAACTCATCAAGCAGTTGTGAGACGAATTTTGATCCCAAATCGGGGAATAGATCTTGTATCTGAGAGATTTGGCTCATTCGATGCACGTGTATTTCCCCTTGTATGTCTTCTTGGTCTTCTGTCATGACCCCTTTACCCTTATCGACCTTCCACTTGATTGGACGCTTTGGTCGAGCAATAACACCGGGTTTTCGATACCCCTCTAAAGCAGCGATGACTGATTTGGTACGAGTAAGTCCCGTATCCGAGTGCTCGAGGCGGTATCGAACCTGTTTCAGGATTGGCGTTACTGTTACCAGCTCAGCGACCATGGAGTCGTTAGCATTGAGAGGACCAGCTTTATGAGCATCAGCCGCAGTTTTTAGAGAGTATAGTTGATCAGTGAGCATGGAATGTTTGGGAGAATCGCCCTCTGTAAGGCCAATAAGACAAAGGTAGGTTGTAGTGATAATAGCCTTCCTTAGCGGAGGGTTCATGACTTTGAAGCAGCTGATAAGACCATCGAGGAAGTCACTCCCGGCCAGAAAGAAGGCAGCCACATGAGGTGATATGTGAATAAGGTGGTTCAGCCTCTTCAGGCGTGTTTCAACGGACTTCAGATCTCCCTTAATGCCATCATCAAGAGCTTGTATTAATGACTTCTTGAGGCCTTGCAAAGAAGTCTCGGCTTGTGGTGTTTGAGATGAGGCTTGAATAGTCGTTCCTGCTTTCTTTTTACCATAGACCCGGCCGAAGTCGGAGAGGAAATCCCACGTTAGTAACTGAGACGGGGTTGACGATAGCTGCAATAGCCTCAAGCATAAGGCGAAACACTGGCGTAAAAGAAGAGAGGCTGTTCGAGAGGATCCGAGAATAGTCGTTCCAGAAGCAGCTACTTCACTAGCAAACGATCGTTGAAATGATGCAATCGACTCGTCCTCTTTTATGTGGCGTGAGAGGTCCTTCTCCGATAGAGACAGATACGCTTCGGTGAGGGCGAGCCAAGTTGAGAGACAGGCTTCCCACTCGACTGGAACGATATGGTCCCTCCAAGGGGCCTCGGGAAATGGTGCGAACGAAGGTAGGGTTGATGACATGGTTGGTCACTGCAGATCCCAGGCGTCAGGGATGATTCTCGTGGAGGAGGAGCTGAACCTGGTGAATGTAGAAAATGAAAAATGTAGGTATTCAAGCTGGTTTCTAGCTATCTCAGATTCACATCAGGCTCGACAACGACTCTGCAAAATGAACTCATATTTGGTCTGAAGAACAACAGTGCAGGTGAGATGTTCTTACTCATAATGAGCCATAGATTGATATCCACATGTATCTCTCCAGCCTTCGCCGGATGACTGCATACCTCCAACACTGGCTCTACCGAAACGGGACGAAATGGAAATGATGACGATGATTGGCAGCGGAAAGGGTCCACATCGCGGTGGATCCCCCATCGCTCAATGTACCTATGTATACTGTACATCGCTACTAGCCCTTATCTTATCAGACAATTTTAGCGGTCCACAGACATTGGAAATTCAAACAATCAGCTTGACACGACCGCCCCACCAAGTCGCATTTTGCTAAAAGTTGTCGCGAAACGTCCGCAATATCTTCACTTTTTGATCGATCATCAGCCTTCATCACGTTACCGAAACGCAATACGTTCGAGGTGAGTGATCCACTTGATATGATATCCATCAGATACACCCCGCAGTCTACTAACATCTCTACCAAACTCCAGTCGTGAAGGCATCTTCAATCAATCAATCACTCAATCTAAACAAATCCATCGTTTCTTCGATACCCCGTAGCCCATCATGTCTTACAACAACAAGGACAAGGAGTTCGGCGAGGCTCCCAAGACTCACAAGATCCGCATCACCCTGACCTCCCGCAAGGTCCAGTCTCTCGAGAAGGTCTCCCAGGAGCTCATCGACCGTGCCAAGAGCAAGGACCTCCGCGTCAAGGGCCGTACGTTCCTCGCCCACCAGAAACAAAAGTTTCCCATTCCATTCCATTCCCCAGCCACTGACGTCCAATCCAGCCGTCCGTCTCCCTACCAAGGTCCTCAAGGTCACCACCCGTAAGACCCCTTGCGGTGAGGGTTCCAAGACCTGGGACTGCTACGAGATGAGAATCCACAAGCGCCTCATCGACTTGACCGCCCCCACGTACGTATTCCTCCATTATCGATGATAGACTTTTCCCTCTGTTCTTCCTAGCCGATCTTGAATTGCAATTATATGAGCCGCTCACTGACATGCGCAAACCAAACAGTGAGATCGTCAAGCAGATCATTGTCAACATCGAGGCTGGTGTCGAGGTCGAGGTTACCATCGCCGCTTAAGTGCGTGCTATGGAATCACGATTGTCCAAGTTAAACACGATGCGATGCTGAAGGGGCCTGACTCCGGCCGAGGAAATCTACTCTTGGATCAGATGCTAGACCAACGCAGTGCCTCCTCAATAAAAAAAAATTGCAAAAGACGCATCCAAGCCACATTTAGTCTAAATCGAGTGAATTGTGTTTTGAACCTCTGCTTCATTTCAGCTCTGGGGTATCTAATGCCGTGATATAAACTCGTCCTTATATGGTAGATTACTCTAACTTGATTCATAAAGCAACGCCGCCTTTTTCGCTGCCGAGTGCTAGTCTCATGCCACCGTGTTATATATACAATTCCTCTAAATGCCAACCTAACCCATGATAAACCTATTACAATGACCAAATACAATCCTCTCTCATGGGCGGTACCTCGGGCATCCCCCCCTGAAACCGTCCCGTGGCCGCCATCTGCTCATACGCCGCTTTCACAGTTGCGTCGTACTGGCTAGCGTCTGGCTCCGTATCCTTGTTGTAGGCGGGCGGTCCACCGGGAAATAGAATCTTGCACCAGGTACCGTCTGGTTTTCGGAACCCCGGTGTCAGCTGGTCCGGCCTCGCGTCGGGAGGTCGTTGATCCTGGTACCGGTCGTTAACCTTGTATTTGTAGATAACTGGTTGGTTCTTGAAGGCTGTGATTGCCCCGTTCATGGCCTTCGTCATATAGCTCTCAACAGGCGGGTGCTGCTTGGTGCTCCCCGGCGCATAAGGGCCAGCGTTGTTTGATGTGGAGGATGGTGTCTGGAACGGACCAGCTTGAGGTGTCTGATTTTGCGCCGGTCCTTGGCTAAACGGGTTGGCGCCTGCATTTGTAGGCTGAGGATTCGGATTCCCGAAGGGTGAGTTTGATTGCGTATTTGCATTAATGCCCGCATTAGGTTGGCCAAAGGGGTTGCTGGATGTAGGCTCAGGCCCGGAAGTATCCATAGACTGATCCTTCGGTGCTGCACTCTGAGCAAAAGGGTTTGCCGCTGCGGGTTGCCCGAATGGTGAAGTGTTAGAGGCTGCTGAGGGTGCGGCGCCAGAGACGTTTGCAAAAGGGCTAGCCCCTGACATCGAGCCACTCGGCTGGCCAAATGGATTCGCAGCTGAAGGTGATGGCGCCCCGAAAGGGGAAGACTGAGTGCCGCTGGGCTGGCTGGCTTGGGCAAATGGAGAAGGACCTGTGTTCGATACTGCAGCGAATGGGCTAGTTCCCTGGCCCAATGCTGAAGGCTTGCCGAAAGAAGGCCCAGAAGCTCCCATTTGTGACGGCTGTCCGAATGCCGGCGCTGATGCTCCCATCTGTGATGGCTGGCCAAATGCAGGCGCAGACGCTCCCATTTGAGACGGTTGACCGAACGCGGGTGCAGAAGCTCCCATTTGCGATGATTGCCCAAAAGCAGGAGCGGTAGCACCCATCTGCGACGGTTGGCCGAAGGCGGGAGCGGTGGCACCCATTTGTGAAGGCTGGCCGAACGCAGATGTCGTCGTCGTCGCTGTCGCGCCTCCGAAAGGATTAGCCGGTCGGCCGAGGCTAGATGGTTGACCGAATGCTGGCGTTCCACCACTAAAAGGGTTGGGCTGTGTGGTTGTCGAGAAGGGACTCTGGTTGGCACTAGTATTGGAGGTTAACGGGTTGTCTGCAAAGCCTGTCTTGACAGCGAATACACCCGTAGTGCCCCCCTCCATCGTGTTCTGCTTGCAGATGTCTATACGATTCGGATGATTGTTTGCGCCGGCCAGGACAAACTGAAGAGCACCGTCAAGATTACCAAGAGTGGTCTGAATCTGCTGCTCGGCTTGGTTGTGAAGTGCAGTAACCTCTGCCATCTAGTATCGAGTTGCGTGTGAGTAGCCGCGGCATCGGAGGGATGAAGGGAGATGGTCCTGACTTACTGCCTGCTGTGGATTCGCAGATCCTCTTATATATACCATAGCCTCCTCGAGACTCTGTTCGCGTGGGTATCCGCCAAACAGCTGTTCTGGCGCATCCTTGCCCGGACCATAGCATGATAGAATCCATGAGGGGCGTTCGCTGGCGAGATCTGTCTTGATGGCGTCCTTGGTGATTTTGTAAAGGTTCGCGTCGCCCTGTACTCCCGTGGAAGTGTTGCCTAGAGCATTGAATCTGTTGGCATTCGGAGCGCCAAAGGGATTTGAGTTCGTGTTGGCGCCGGGATGTTCAAAGCGACAACTCGCTACAACCAACTGTCAGCTAGTGGTCTAATCGACACCCATGTGATCGCCGAGTTCTATCCTACCGCCATTCCGACAATTGCCTTGCTGGTAAAACTTGCAGAGGGGCGCCATTCGTGAAAGCTCGAGACAGCTACTACAATGGTGACGAGTCCGAGGGACAAGATAGAAAGAAGGAAAAAACCTTGCGAGGGAGAGACAACCTGGAAGACTCGGCCATACAGAGCTAGACACGCAAGAACATGGTACTATCTATACACCTGTAGTAGCGAAGAAAGAAAATAAAGCGCAAAAGATACTATAGATATTTAGGGAACGCCAGTTGATTCCGAGGTTTGGATAGCATGAAACGAAGTAGGGATGCCGCCTATCGCGGTAGCTGAGCTACGGTTTCGGAAGGCACGTGTAGGTACCTAAGGGAGCTACTTCCTACCGCGTAAGCCCCACTTCTCGGCAGCGAACGCTAAGACAATTGGGACCGGGACAGGACAGGACAGCCGTTCGCGTCGCAAATCACCCGTTATTATATAATCATCTCTAGACATCTAAGAGCCAGCAACGAGCACCAAAACTATTATTCTTTTGATTCTTTTGATCCCAACAGATGTATTATCATGCTGGCTGCCCTAGAACCTTGCCTATGATAGGTATGTACATAATACCAAAACGAAACTTGGGACTACCCAGTGCTGGTCTTCAGCCAGCCAGCCTGCTTGCTTGAATGTTTTCCACGATACCACTTCGCAGGAGTTGGTGAATGGGATATTGTCTAATTCTTGGCCGTATTCTTGATGAGAGGCTTCAAGCCACCGTCGATATACGACTGTGATCGCCACGTCGACCAGTCATGCGACAACAAGCCCCAGGCCTCTTCATAGTCCTGCCTGCCAGATCGGATGTAATAGCTACCACTTACCACCCAGATGAACCATCCAGCCTTTTGCTGCGCCAGATAGCTTGCGATGCATGTAGCATACACGCGCTTCCACTCCGTATTCGTCTGCGCGAACCCGAATTCGCTGAGCACCACTGGGAACACGTTGACCGTTTTGGAGTCTTCCTTGTGCATGGCCTGAAATCCGTTGTTATACAGCGAGCTCTGCAGGCTCGAGCAGCTCGTCGCGTCATTATTATAGTTGTGCACCTCGAGAACAAGCTTGTTAGCGTATCCAGGGAAGTCCGAGGCGCTGTATTTGGCCGTCCCTGGTGTCATCGCCGTCCCCTGGAATACAGGCGTTATCCACGTGTCGAAGTCAAGACCTGATAGGAATATGAGGATGTCGGGGTTTGCGCTGTGAATCGCGCTGCTACCCTGCCTCACATACGTGTACCAGTCGCGCCAGTTGTATGACTGCGACTTGAGCGTGGGGTTGTTGTCGGGCGAGCGTAGCTCATTGCGCAGGGACATCGATGTCAGCGCTGTCCATGACTTTGCATGGTTTGCCATGAAAGTGAGCCCTCGCACCCAATTTGACACATTATAGTCGCTATCGCCGAACCAGGAATTGCCATCTGTTGTCGAACAGCACCAGGCCGCTCTTGACATATGATTGTCTAGGTGGACGTGGATCTCTGCTAGGATTCAGTACTTGTATCACGTACTCGGAATATGTCTAGTCAGTGACCAGGCAGAAAGTTGATGGCCACTTACGCTGCTTGGCGCATTCTGCAGCCACAGCATCGAACACGTCGAGTCGCGTCGTGCTTGTATTAAAGGATGGGTTATTAGCAAGGAACTTGGCATACACCTTCGGACCATTGGTTGAACCGAGGGCGCTGTTGAATGATTGCTGCACCGTGGTATCTCTGTTGCCATTCGCATAATACTGATCGACCATCTGAATGGCATATGTCAGACGGATCGCATTCATTCCTAGGCTCTTGATTTTGGACACGATGGTCTCAATCGACTGATATTGTAGCCCGTCAGGGATCACTATGATATTCAGTGTCAGTTCTGTTGGAAATAATTGCCACGATGTCAATCTAAGCAGTTGGGACACCGCTGTCCAAATTTCCCGAGCCTGATAGTGTATCTTCTGCTTCGGTTACAATTAAAGATGGCATTACTTACTAACTTCGCCGTGGCCCGGCCAATTTGTGCCCGCATATACAATAGTCTCACCACGCGAGTCCTTCATCTCTGCACCCGACACCTGAAACGGACCATATGGCCAACTGGCAGATTGCCGTGCCACCGGTGATGCCCATGACGACGGCGCAAACAAAGCGCTACTCAGCGCGAGTAGAGGAACAATTGATGACCCTAGAAACGATCGTAACATTGTCGCGGCTCTAAGAAAGGTGCAGCGAAACACAATTCGCCTCTCTCTCTCTCTTGAAGGACACGACCCTTATAAGGTGACAACTTGGGCCAGCGCTGGCCTATAACTACAAGCGAGCCAATCCAATCCTACCTGCGGCTAATTGCTATACATGTTGCAATGAACTGATCATCCGAGATCTGGGTAGTTCAAGCTGCCATCGTCCACTCGGCACCACGTGGGATAAAAGGGATCACCAACTCATTCAATCCTCGGGGCCACAGGCTCGGCACCCACAGATCGTTTATGTCATATAAACAAGCCGACATAGCCAAGATGGTATGCAAACAATCATTGCACCGAACGGCCGAGTTGCACCACCTCTCGGATCGGCAGGTTACTCTCCCTGCTTTTGCCAAGGAGAGATTACCCCCATATAAGATGTTGGTGTATATGTCACCCGCGACACGTAATGTGGGGAGTCGTCGGCTATTTTCGCGGTCTTGTCTTGGCATACACATATTCAAGAAAGCTTGGCTCGGACATCGTTACTGGACTTGATATCCTGTATGTTCACATGGACCTGCCGGCAGTAGCCAGCTCCACACTGCTCTGGGGACCTAGGTTACCTTTGAGATTGAGCATTCAATAGTGTTGTCATTCGACTGGAAAGGTCAAAGCACTTGAATATATCGATTACATGCAAGCCGCAGATAAGAATGCGAGAGGTGATGATCAAGAGCACAGCCATTGTGCAACATTGATTCTTTCGATCAGCTACCGTATTGCATAACTAAGCTCTAGAAGCGTACGGAGATCATAATCACGGTCGAGGAGTCACTACGGAGCTACGCAAAGCCTTACTTCCCAGATCTGGGGCTTGCTAGCTACGTTGTTTATCGCACCTAGTTGGTATTCATCGCAGGTTTTTAAGATTTATTAATGGGTTTCCAGTCTCGATATGACATGGCAAGCGCCAATCACATATTTTATATGCGCTTCCTAAACTCAACCATCGGCCCATCTTTAAGGCTCGTGAACTGGTCAATGAGCTGGTATTCGCCAACACGCTGTCGTCCCCATTCTAGATCCGGCCTGCCTTCCGCGGGATCGGGCCCCGCAGCTTTGCGCAAATCATACAAGTACAGCACTCTCGCAAGAGTCGTCATGAGCTCGATATACGCCAGGCCCTTGCCAATGCAACCCCGGGGGCCGATGGAGAAGGGGCAGAAAGCGCTCTGTGCTAGTGCCACGTCCCGGTCCGTGATGGGACCCCCGGACATCTTCGAGGATGCTGATGCGCCGGCCAGCCATCGCTCGGGCACATATGTGAAGGGCTGCGGGTAGTAAGATGTGTTATGATGGATCGTGTAGTGCGGCGTGCCAACCACGACGCCCTCGGGTACGAATTCGCCGTCGATGGTGATCCCACCAGGAAGTACCTCGCGGGGCGCGATACCGCCGACTGAAGGGGACATGCGCATGGCCTCGTCGATGCAGGCCCGGAGGTACGAGCATGAATTAAGCGGCGAGCCTTGGGAGATCTCCTCGACATCAGTGAACTTGGCGCGCACTTCTTTGCTGGCCTTCTGCAGCGCGTGCGGGCTTCGGACGAGGTAGAACAGTGTAGCGGCCATCGCGGTCGACGTAGTATCGCTTCCGGCGATAATCCTAGAGAAAGAAATCAGTACAACTCGTGATTGGTAAGTGGATGAAGGCTCACAGCAGATTGGATTCTCCCCAGAGCTCAGGCATGGCGAAGCCTTGGCCGGTCTCGGGATCGCGGGCTTTGAGTAGATGGTAGAAGAAGTCGCGACGATCCGTCTCGTCGCCGAGTTTCGTGCGCTCTGTGAGCTGCGCCTTGCTGTACGCCATGTATTTAGCTCGGCCGGCGGCGATCTTTCGGAACAGGACTTTATCCAAGCTCAGCTTTTCCACGAGACGCATCGTTCCGCACTATCACATTTCAATCCATCAGCACCTATTCTTGAGTTCACCAACTTCGGTACGAGGGCTTCAAGTCCACTCACGATGAGATGTCGCGTCGTAGCAAGCGACACCAACTCCAGCGCATACCGATTATCCGGCTGCTCGAGCATGTGAAACGCCTTGCCAAAGGACAAGTCCCCCAGGATGTCCATGGCGAGGTAATTGCACCAGTCGGCCATGTTCTTCGCCACGGTCCACCCCTTGCGGTCCTCGCTCGCGCCGAGCCCGATCTGCTCGCAGAACGCCCGCACGTTGGCCAAAATATACCGCTCCATCTCCTTCATCGCCGAGTCGCTGAAGGCCTGCGACAGCACGCGCCGCTTGCGGGCGTGCACGTGCTTGTCGCGCGTGTTGTGCGTGTTGGGAACCGGGTGCGCGAAGGCATCGTAGAACGCGGCCTTGCGCACGTTGGCCTTGAACCCGTAGATGTCGCGGAGGGCACCGTTAGAGTTGAATGAGAGGCTGTTGGGCCCGAAGCGGACGATTTTACCTGCGATGGGGTTTAGTTAGCTTTTTCATCTCTCTGGCCGTTCACTCTCGTGCTTATTATTTAGATCAACGCACCGTAGCGCTCGTGCATGCGCCAGAACTCGAGATGCCGGTCCCCTTTCCACGCATGATAGAGCTGGTAGGCATCTGTGATCTTGGCTAACAATGGACCCGGGTATTTCGCCAGCGGGTGGAAGAAGACTCTGTACACGACTAATCCAATGCCCTTGATGAATTCGTCAGTCTCCTTGCTAACATGATTTTGTATGGCGAGTTATTGGCTTATCGTCACGTACGTAGAGGAGGGCCAATGCGACCGCGCCGGGCAGAAGATAGCCGATATGAACGGACGCCATACTTGTCTCAGACTCGTGAGACGAATCGCTAGCCAGTCCTTGCCACTTTGCTCTCCGCTAGAAGATATTGTAGGTGTTCGTATTATCCCGAGGGTTTCAGAGAATCGCTATGAGTGCAATGGTTCGCATACTTAGTAACCATTCATAGAAACAAGAAACAGCGGTATCACCACACTAGTAAAGCCGAGGCGATCGAAAATATCAGGATGACGGGCTGAACGGTCTCTATCCTACTTACATACCCGTGCGCATTTCAAAGCAATATACACTACCTACGTACCTACCTAACCTGGTCTTAACCTTACCTATCATGTACGTGTGTCAAGTGAGCAAGCAGCATGTCGGGGGTTCCCATTTCCGCGCTCTCTCGGTTTGTCGCGGGCCGTTCTCCAAGAGCATGACTTCAATGAACCGTATCTCGACGCATTCTAACTGGCTCAACGATGACGCTGGTAGACGTCCTAATCGGGAAGTCTGGGTTTGTGTATAAAGCGCGGCGGTTACTAACGGAAAGCTTCGCCCTTGGACGTATGCATACACTTTTACCTACGTACTTGGCGAAGTGTGTGCTGAGTAAGTGACGGGTCTGACATAATCGCCGGTATTCATTAAGTAAAAAGACCCGGTGAAAATGATTTCTTTTCTCTTTTTCGGTCACGAGATAGATGATGGCTTTTGTTGGACCCCGCGCGGCTCTCATAATAAGGTTGGTTAGTGAAGAGGGAGACGGGAAATATCGTTACGTCAGCGATCGAGATAGTGAATCTATTGGTAGGTACTTTCTGTGGGTTCGGAACGCTCGGATTACTTAGAGATCTAAATACTACCATGTGGTATTCGGACACGGGTCTAGACCGACGAATATGGTTCATAACAATTTCAAATACCCTGGCGAATACTAGTAGTTGGACTGAAATCTGCATAGAGGTACCGGTAGTATGTATGTATGGCGACGAGATGGATGGAAGGCTGGAATGAGAAGGCATATAACTGCAATCCACGCCGTCTATTACCTACCTAACCTTACAACATAATTTCTTCGCAGTAGGGGATATGGTAGGTTGCTGGGTTAGGCAAGAATGCCTTTCATGCAATAATTCCTTCAACCCCGGATCTGCTACCGAAGTAGTAGTATTTACTGATTTGATGATCGGCTAGAATTGGAGTGGGACGGACGGATGTGGTGTCTATGCGCTAGGTATTGTAGCAGAAAACCAAGCTTTCTTGGCTGTCAGTATGGCATCATACCTACCCTTCTGTAGTGGATTTTTGAACTTGGGATCCCCGCGTTTGAAATATAGTGATGGTGTATTTACCTGGGTATTTATCTTGTAAGAAGTGATCATGGGGTTCAGACTCAGTTTAGTTCTTGTGTTTCGTTTTTGGTCATTCATTCGCTTGCTTCGTCTCACGTTTTCTAGATTATGCAGTATCTTCCTATTTCCCCCTCGGCTTTTCCATGTCGCCAGATGAGCAGGAAGGTAACTAAGTAAGTAATTATAACTCGTGCCGCATCCAACGCCGCTGCATCTTGGACAAGTCTGCCAACAATCAACAAGGAGGAGCACGCCATCCATACCTAAAGTATACTATGATAGGAAGCAGGAATCTCAACAGCGCATTATCTCCTTGGTTAGGAACCAACGTTTAGTGTACACCTGCTTGTTTCGCGATAATCAAGTACAGGTACTTGCGCCGTTGCTGAAACCTGGCGTGGGCTACAAGAGGTGGTACAAACTGCACTGATGACTGGTGCTGGGATCACTGCTGGGATCATGTGGTGCATTTTTAAAACATCCTAGAGGCCCTAACGGGACAGGGCATAGCAGCCAATCACAGCACTTGTCATGTTAGATTGGCCTTCCTATCAGGGCATCCGTATCTGTACAGGTACATACAGCATGGCATGTAGTGGGCTGTGCCAGGTTGCTTGCTTGTCTGACTTCATTCCAATTCATCCATCCCTTTCTCCCATTGTTTGTCTCTCTCGTCTTTTTTTCTTGTCATTTCTTGCTGCTTCACTACTACTACCACTACTACATCCCGTGGATATAGGCCTTACCTGGCAACCAGGCGACATAGGTAATACTGCCTAGTATTCGCCTGGCCTTGTGCTAGCATGTCATTCATTCGCTCATTCATTCACCATCGTCCATTCCTTATGCCTTGATTTACGGCCAACTTTGTCGCCCACCACTTCACTTCGTACATTAGCGGCTTCTCCCGGTTCTTATGTCTACACGACTTCCCTACGACGAATTGATAGGAAACAGTACCTGGTAGACTAGCTAGCTATTCTAGTGACGTTTTTAGTCGCGCATATCTACGATATCTACACTCGTTCCACCGGCGTACAACTATTCCGACCCCCGGTCGAAGGCGGGAGATCCGGAAATTAGATACAATAACCACGAATACTGCTATCAGCCTCTTACATATTCCCCAGACTACACGATTACTGAGCGAGTGAGCAGTACAGCAATCCGCTCTTATCATCGGCATCATGGATTACGCCGCTGTTGCAATTAGGTTCGGCAGGATAGCCAGGCATCTCGTCATCCGCGATGACAAAGAAAAAGACTGCCATCCGCAGCCCAACATCGATCTCTGCGAAAAGCCGGCAACCTCGGACAAGACCACCCCGATCACCATCGGCGTCATCGCGTAAGAAAACCACAGCCTGCCTCCCACCAATTGGGATTTCTCTTTCTTTTCCCGAGACTAACAGACAACCCGACAGAGGAATTATCGTCGTAGGCCTGGCCGTTGTGATAACATTCCTGCACTTCCGCCGAAAACGCAGAGACGAGAAGGAATGGCCTAAGAATAATCAGGAACTCGAGGACTACGGCTTCATAGATCCGTCGTCTACCGTGCGCCAACCGCAATCCGCCCACCATAACCCGCAGGCGCAGCAGCAACAGCAGCAGCGAGACCAGTATCAGCACTACGACGACAGTCCCGATAGAGGAGGCTTCAACAAGCCGCCGCGCAACGACCTGGATGACTTGGAGCGCTCGCTGCGAGGTGGCGGGCAGACGACGGGTGCCTTTCGACGGCAGAACGAGCAGGTCTCGGGGGATATGAAGCCCGTGGAACCGACGGATCGGATATGAGGCACGGTTTCGTGTTGCGATGTATTTCTATAAGAGGGAAAGGAGAGATGATGATGGAGCGGATGCGATTATGCGATGTTTACATGAGCCTTCTAGCGCGGAGTTTTGTGTCTTCGGTACTCGATGTCCCTTGCGCCTTGTTAGTCTGAGTTCGAGCGAACTTGCTGGTCTACTATCCGATCTGGGCGAATGGATCCGTCATTGGGGAAGCCTATATGCAGACCCTTAAAGCCCGTTGTCGCTAGCTCTTGATGGTGCTCGAATCAAATAATGTGATGTACCTGGGGCAGAGGATTGAAAGGATTGGCTTGGCTTATTCGCTCGCGGTTGAATGGGTTATGAAATTCTCTCTCGAAAAGATAGAATTAGTGTAATCAAATCTACTGCATGCACCATGTTTTTTCAATGCACTTTCTTTTCTGATTGACGGGCGCGACACCCGTTTCAAGGAAACGGACTAGATAGTCGGTCTGTTTCTGACGCTGGTTTTCACATGTATGACGATGGACCTTGGCATTGATTTTTGAAGTGACTGGAGTTGTGGTACCTGCATATGCCAAGATGGCTATCACATAAGCGGCTGAGAGGATGGGATTTTGAATTTATACATAGCTCGCTGGGTAGACCGGGATTGGAACACTTTGTACAGGTATCTCTCCTCCACCTGTCCTGTCTTTATCATGTCTTGTATACTCAGTTGCTCTATCACTTAGGTAGGTAGGTAGCGCATAGATATTGAGATTATTCGGGCGCGATTTGATTCACATATACCTAGCTGGGTGCAAAAGACAATTGCACGCGCTGCTTGCTGGATTGTTTACGAGCTTGGTCGAAGAACAGATAGACAGATATATAACTCCGTTCATACAATATTGCCTACCTACGTAGATAGGCTCTAGACAATTTGACGCCCAGCAAATGACCAAGCACATTATTTAGGTACTCATGCAGTTTATATAAAGCGGTACACGAAGCCATCTATATCCTCTGCGTGGAGTAGGTAGGTAGGTAGGTAGTCGCCAACGCACCTTCCTCCTCTATACTCCTACAATTCTACCCTCCGCTCCTTCCAAACACAAGTTCGCAGCGCTCGTTTCAACACGCGTCATTCCTCGCCTATTCAGGCCCAGCGAGAATCCTTCAGAGTCTTCAGCCCGAGCTCCTCGACCTCGCGCTGGAATTCATCCATGTCCATGTTTACCCGCATCGTGTATTCGCGGTGGGGGTCGTCGTTTTCTTTCTTCGGCCGTACTGGCCCTCTGTTTCCCCTGCGGCGCTGCTTAGACGTTTGGGTTCTGGGCTGAGGAGGAGTGTTGCGATTGGTATTGGGTTTGGTGGAAAGAGGAGGGGTGTGCGTGGAAATTAGATGTTCCTTTGCCCAGCGCGAGTCGGGGAGCATCTTAGGCTTGGGTTCTGACTTGTCGTTACTGGGCTTGTCGTTAAGGTCCATGGAATTGAGGTCGTCGGCGACTTGGTCTGGTTCTAGACTGTCAATCTTCTGGGCAGTAGATTGCGAGGGAGCAGGTGAGGCGTGAATAATCTTTGCGCCGGCGACGGCGTTGCTGCTGGTCTTGGCGGGAGTGGTGATTGTGCGAGCCTGGACGACAGGAACTGGCTCGACGGGAAGAGATGAACATAACCTCTCCCGGAACGTCTTGAATTCCCTTACGGCGGCCGGTGCAGGTACCGAGGTCAGAGGATTACGGCGTCTCATTGATCGCATCCTCAGAGGCGACATGTCGCGCGGCAGTGGCGTTCTTTTCTCAGCCGAATTGGCTGTGATGTTGGATAGACCTGAGAATACTGATCAGCGGGTGGGAACGATGTATGGATACCGGTAATGACATACCAGACTCGGATGTGACCTTAATCCCCTTGGTAGAGTCCATCGTGTGCTGAATGTATTTCTGTGTTTGATGATGGATGAAACAGGTATATATGTCTGTGACCATCGAGCAGTGAGATGGATGTGGAGAGTAGCTTTTTAGTGATGTAGAAATTCTACTGTCTCAGGTTACTTGCATATAGATGGAAGGAAATTGTGAGGTGTAAAGAGGTGGGAACTGGGGGAGAATTATATAGTATGTTGACGGAGAGAAAAGAGGAAGGAAGTGAAGGAAGTGAATAAACACGCCCCTCCCTTTTGGCCATTAATACACAACAGGCGCATTGAGGGAATGAATGCTAAATACCACATGAATAGGGTAGACATTCAAGGTCAAGACAGAAAGTCATTGAATGCATTGCTTAAGCCGGGAGCATTTCATGGGATGTCGATAGCGGATGAGTGAATGCCATCTTGGAGCTTACTGCTAAGGTGATGAAAGCACAATCAATGTACACTACAGCACACGATAGACTGGGATGATGGCAACATACCTAAGGTAGTAAATATTCTTGGTAATTGTACGCTTAGTAGCATCTTGGTAAATATCAGCTAGTATGTTAATAGCCTGCCGTGCTTAGGTGAAGAAGGCGCATGCGAGTGTGTATGGGAATATCATACACTAATTATCTCTCGCACACGTCCATCTACACATAAAGAATTCCATGCCTGCCTACCTGCCATGCAATGTTTCATTGCTATCTGTCGTATTCCTGCTTTTGAGATAATCGATATGATTAAGGTCGGTATTAGTTAACTAGAGATCTTATTTGCGTTTCTCACAAGTGATTCCGGCTTTAATGGAACATTGCCATGACGACATGTATAAGGCCACACTCTCATCTCTTATAGCGGATAAATGCACGGGCTGAGAGGATCTGTACGTGGCCACAGCTAAAACATGTAGCTTTGAGGCGCCGAAGACAAGTATGAGTCGGCCGCCTACTAACCGCTTAGTCGTTATATAGAGATACCAAAGTGTGAGACTGAGACCATTACAGCGTCTTCCCTAACCGCTGTAGCGCTAAAGCAGCATGTTGAAACCAATCTTCGCCTTGTGAAGTTTCTGGCGGCAGCCGAGGCTCGTAGATCCTCAGTGGTCACCGACGTTAATTCGGGGGTCATGACGCGCGTCCATATCGTCTGGGCATCATGTCCTGCTTACTTACTACCTAGGTCCGGTCAGGCAGGGCGAACAGTCGTAGGGTTGCCCCTCACGCTGCCGCGGGCTGTGGGAGAGGAGGCTTGCTTGAAGCCAATCAACCCTTGTATATGAAGCTGATCGGCACTGGACCCCAGGTAATACTTTGCAGTTTGCTGCCTCTTTTCAAGCCACGTTGTGGAGCTAGTGTAGGGTGTAAGGACGTGTTCACTTTGAATGTGTTGGTGGCGGCTTCTGCTTGCTACTGGAAGCAATATGAGAGAAGAGAAGTATGTAGTGGGCATGGAGGAGGCTTGCAACAGTATCTATATACTTTGATTGACTGGTTAATTCCAACTTATATGACTCGCTTATAACGGCGGCGATTTCGATACTATATACAATTGCATAGCCTTTGCTAGCCCGCCTATGTCTTACACCAGTACAGTTCTGTGTAAACTCACATAGCCGTGTATTATCGTGTGTCTTAGATAAGGTTTTTGCAGCTATCCACCATAGCCGTAGGCGATCTTCAGGTGCGTGTAATATCAAGGGACAAAAGGAACATAGCTAGAGTTAATAAAATACCTAGAGCCTTTCGATAGGCTGAACACTTCATGTATAATTAGTAAGGAGGCTACTATACTTCGGAAGAGCTGAATTGTAGCCGTTTGATAAGGTACGGTAGATACAGAGCCAGCTATTGAGGGGAATGCGGCTGTGACCTGTTGTAGCACCAGTCGCTTTCTGGCGCATTTGAAGGCAGATTGTTGCTTGGCGCGGATTAGGTCCAATATTCGGGGTTATTGGTACTTTCATGCCTAACTCGATCAGTATGAAACTGTCTCGGACACAGCCCCAATTCTGCTGCCTTCCCATACAGCACAAGGCAATGGCCTTCCATTTCTCCAGAAACCTTGTTCCCCAAATTCTGATACACGAAGCAGTCCATTAACCCTGTCTCTACATGTTGTTCAGTCTCTTCATTGTCTCCCCAGTATATCTTTGAGCTGGGTAACTGCTATTGTTGCGCATACTCGAGTAGCATCATACTAGCATTTATAATTATGTGGCTATTAAACTGCGAGACTCTCAAATGTGAACGAGTCCTCCAGCATACGAGATATGTGATCCTTTCGCACACATGGGGTGATGAGGCAGAAGAGATCAGCTTCCGCGACCTGAACGATCCCCAAATTACAAAGTCAAAGAAAGGTTGGGATAAGCTGCAGAATTCCTGCAAGGTAGCCAAAGCTGCTGGGTACAAGTATATTTGGAATGACACATGCTGCATCAACAAGGAAAGCAGCAGCGAACTCTCGGAAGCTATCAACTCCATGTTTAAATGGTACGAGAGCGCAGATGTTTGCTATGCTTACTTGGAGGACTTTGACAGTTGCGACGAGTCTCGGAGTTTCGCAACCTCGCGGTGGTTTACTCGAGGCTGGACTTTACAAGAGCTTGTAGCTCCATCAGACGTGCAATTCTTTGATAAAAACTGGGTCAATTTCGGCAACAGAGCGAATCTGAAGGAAGAAATATCATCAATCACAAAGATACAGCAGGACATCTTGGAGTGTTCCACGGGAAGACGCATCCGCACGCTCCTAGACAGAATTCCCATTGCTCGCCGCATGGCTTGGGCGGCTCTGCGGGAGACCACACGGACCGAAGACAGGGCGTACTCCCTGCTTGGTATCTTCGACTGTAATATGCCTTTAATTTACGGAGAGGGTTCTCGGGCTTTTCATCGGCTACAGGAGGAAATAATCAGCCGAACAAGCGATCTCTCACTCTTTGCGTGGCGGTCTGAAGCCACAACCATTACATATGGGCCATCGAAACGCGAGACTATTCCTCCCCTAGGGTGCGGAATTTTAGCTTCATCTCCCCGACAATTTAAAAACTCTCACAGTATCCAGTTAATCTGCGTGAAAGGCCAGCAGCCTGAATTTACTGTGACCAATAGAGGTATACGAGTATCAAGCAAATTCCGAGGAGATAGGGACACTTATCTTTCCATGGGTCTGATGTGCTATTTGAATGGAACTGAACGTGAAGAGTTGCATATACACCTCGAACCCTTGGATGGGCATACATACGGGAGAAGATCGCCCCACAAGCTCTTCATCAAACCACATCGGACGGAATGGGATGGAGATGTCTGCATCCGTCTTAGTACAAAGATTCATTCCATCTCTCAGCATGCGAACCCCGTGTATCTCGGTCCAAACATATACATAGGGGAAAGTCTACGAAAACTAGCCAGGGATACTAGATTACGCGTTGGACCTCGGAGAGGAAACTGGGATAAATCGAGACACATGTTCCTCACATATGAACTGTCGGCATTCAGTGGGTTTTTCATATTTTGGAGACCCGGTTCCAAGGCTCCTATTTCTATTGCTTTCGGATTTGATAATGACAAGAGCTTTTGGCTACTGATGACCACAGCGGGTGTTGAGTTGGACACCCACAAGGCCATTTGTAGCGAGAGGGAAGATCGGATAATGAGCCTTAAACATTTAGCTACTACAGAGACTCCGAGCTTGAACATCGATTTCAAAGATACAGGAGGGCGAAAGTTGACACAAACGATAACAATTTCTGCTCAACAATATTTTTCTGACGGCATACCAGTGTACGTCATCGGTGCAGTGGAGCAGACTATGACTGTGTCTGAAAAAGAAGGGTGCTGTGTTATTCTGTGAGCTTCGCACGGTACTCAGATTGGGTCGATTTTCCAGATAACATGACCTAAATTTTTGGTGATTGGTAGGATGAGCAGTTGGTATGCGCCATACAAGCTTGTGCCAGATATTTGTGTTCTGTTTTATGTCTCTCTGCTAGATTCACAGAAAAAGTGTAGTTTATATATACCTATATATGAGATAAATGGCAATATTAAGAACTAAGCATAAAAGTTTATATCTTTTATCCTATGGAACGCGACTATAGGCTGCTTTGTCTTTACGATTGGAATTTGGCCTCAGTGGAGCATTGCTAATCCAATGTGCTAAGTTAACCATATAGAACACATTATTAACGGATTATTCGCTTTCTTCTACTCTAAATGGGTTCGGTATAAAGATATTAGTCTTGATAATATTGACTTGATTACATCACTTGGGATTGCACTCCTGTTACACTAATGATATACTGTACGGGGTAAGAATGGTCTTAATTAATAATCTCGTCCAAATGTCGTGGATTGAGGTTCAATTGAGGGAACTTCCATCGCTGCCAGCATCCATGCAGTTAGGGCTACGATCAGGAACGAAAGGCTAATACAGCGTGAAAGGATTCCCACAAACTTTTCGTGATTACGAAGGTAGTAGACCCTAACTCCGAAGCCTATTTAACCTATGAACCTATATATCTACCATTATATAATGTATCAGGCCTTACGAGAGTGAGAACGAGCGAAATGGTCTAGTTAGTCCCTGACAATTGTCCACCGATGATCCCGCCGTTTCACGATCACTTAACATCATGAACCCCTATCGATTATCTTTGCCTTGGTCATTGCTTGGATAACTCTGAGAGTCGACGTAATGTCTCATCGAAGCCGTCCCCAGCTAGCTTCACATCGAAAAAGTACATAGATCGATAACGACGTCTATATACTTTCAATAAAATCCATAACACGGCAAATAGGAAGACCTATATCATTCTATTAGCACTTTAACACTCATTCGCAAGCTAAAACCTACTGCAAGAAAGTGTGACAGGAATGGCTCGACGTAGAAACCGTTATATAACGAGGCTGAATCTAACACTATGAGAATGAATAGGCACCCTGTGAAAGCGAGATACCCTAAAATAGGTTGAAAATGACTGCGAAATGGGTACTTCGTGTGATCCTTTCGATTTATGTAGTTGAGACTGTCACTGCGAAGATATTCGTCGTTCTTCTTGAGACTGTAGCTGTTAAAAGAGTGTTATCTTAGATACCTAAGCCGGACTTACTGGTGATAATATGATAGAAATGCGACGCATTGACTCGCCCAGACTATAATAACACCTACCGAGGCCAGTTCAGATAGAATATCGATGAACTAAAACATTACTTAGCCTTAGAAACAAGTTACTTGGGTGACATACGCTAGAGATTCCCACTGAAGCAAGCATAGAAGTCTGCTTTTGGGTGTTCTGACGATAGCCCTGAAGCTGAAGGAAAGGCACCCAAATAAAGGCTAGAGCTGACAGTGTCACAGCACGAATAGGTACACCCCTATGGTTGGTCTCTCCGAACCAAGAGAGATAGTTCAGAAATCTATCCTCGCTTTTGCGTAGTTGCGTGGCAAGCCCAAATAACGCCCTCGAGGCAACATAGAGATTGGTTTGGGCGGAGGACAGCGCCGTGAAAACGAGAAAGAAATTGAAAGCATTTGCTAGCTCGGTCAAATTCGCAAGTTCAGCAGCTAGAACGAAGACCGATGTGGCTTTTATGTTCTCGCTTGATCCGCTGCACTCGGAGTTGAGCCAGCTGAGACGGGGAAGACCGCAGGCGTCGCGACGAACGCTGAAGGTGGTCAAGACACCGCTCACAGTATAAGCGGCACCGACTATCAGAGAGAAATAAACCAGGGAGAATTTGGTTTGAGAGCTCATGACTGTGGTCCGGGCTGTCCTTTCAGGTTCGGTATTCGCATTCGCAGTTATGTTCGGGATATGTGGCTTTGCTTCTAGGGCGCAGGCGGCGACAATTTCAACACCTACGAACGCGAAGATAGCTGTAGATATAGCGGTGCTATTCAAGTTAGTACAGTTCCGATTTTGCTCAATATCGGGCCTTACAGGAACGCGGGGCCTCTTGTAGACGAAGTGTTGGCATCGAAAGCCGTGGTATTGTCCCAATCTATAAGTCCATTTATTAACTGCGTAATAATTATTGGAGCAAAAGCGCAGGACTTACTATAAACTGTAACATCATGCGAGCTGGGTAGACTTGCTGTTCTGTAAAGTAAGTCACTGTATTCCAGCTGACTCTTTTCTCAGGAAGCACCTACCAAGGACGATCATAGCTATAATGATGGTGAAGAGAAATATAATTTTAATAATCCCGAAGCAGGCTTCAATCCAACCGTAATACTAACACACCATTAGTCGATTCAACTACTCCGTATCAACAGTCACGAAAGACGAGGGATCTGCTAGAGCCATGGATGTTATGTTCTTTACATGCCTTAACTGAAAAACAATTCAAGAGAATGAGGACGAGCGGAATTGTGATGTATATGATGATCACATCAAATGCTTCCTTTCCTATCCAGAATCTTATTTCGCCAGCGGTCGTAGCGATCAAGGCAGCAAAAGAAACTGAGTATGTAAGCCTGCAAAGGGTGTGAATGGGGATCACTGATCGCGAGAAGCTCCAGATACTTACCAGTACATAATACCAACGGCGATTCCAAGCTCATAGTCCACAAAGTTGCTAACGAAGACAGAAAGCGCACCGGGGATAGGCCATCGACCAAGCATTTCACTGATGCATTGCATAACGGCCCAAGCTAGAAGCGTGATTGCACTGAAAGATACTAGCACGGCAACGGGCCCTGCGAGCTCCAAGATTTGCCCAGCCCGCCAATAGAGCCCGACACCCAATGTTGCATTGAGGGTAATCATCTTACACATCAGTTCTGAAATCTTCACTCTTATGGGATTAACATACGAATACCTGAAAAGGCGTCAAGTCCCTTCTAACCCGACTTTTGTTATCACCAGGTATATCATAGGTGTACTGGGGGCCCTCGGGGGGTCGAACTACTCGCATCGGCGGATGGGATGGGTTTCGACTAAGCTCGGGGCCTAGGGTCGACATCTCGGCGCCCTCCATCAGTATCCAAAGCGCTTTTGCTCTCTGGGATTGTGGAAGACGTTAAGGTTGTATACCCGCCGGTAATAGCGTGAATGGAAGTTGGGTGAGCGAACAGGTTGATCTGCTTGCCTTGATCTCATTAATATCAGCCATCAAGGTTGAAAAGGAATGCGCGATCGAGGACTTAGCGAATAGAAGTAATATACCTGGACGTATAGCAGGTGTCTCGGAGGGTAATTCACATGGACACACCAGGCGTCATTACGCCGATGTTCCGGAAATAGGGGTTAGACCCAGCAGCCTGGCGCGGGAAAAGCCTGGGTGGTCAGCTACTCTTGATACCTCTTGGCGGTGATCAAGGAGTGATAACTGCATCAGGTAATCACCAAGGGATTGCGATAGACAGTATCTTTTAAAAAATATAGTGTGATGTATGTATGTAAGAAGTTAATAAGCTTGTTTATCGTTTATGGCCACAGCACAGTCATTCAGTTGTTATCAGCGTTGAAGGTGGAAGAGACTATCTGTGGAAATGAACCTCAGTACGTCGAAGACGTAATCTCTGACAGGCATGTAGAAGTGCATTTTTTCTTTTTTTCTCACTCCAGGATCATGTCATGTCTCACAAGAAACAGGCAAGACTCAGTGGTCCGCGCCCTTCAGGGCTGTGGCCAATGTAATGCAATAAGGCTATAATTTTGAGGTAAATTCTGCAGTATGAAGGGGCCCAGTCAAGGCCTGGCCGGGAGTATTTGCAAGTTAGAGCCCTGCAATACAACAGAGGCGCATGAGTGAGGCGTTCCCAAATTCCTTCAACCATGCCAGAAACGAGAGATAAAAGGGTAGACAGTGGCAGCAGGTTGAGCGAGACAGTGATACTTTATCTTCACATTTAAGTCACTAATCTAGAAAGCTGCTATCAACTGTAATAAAATGCCGGTCGAACACAACGTTCCAACGAGATACCTGAAAAAGGAAAAGCTAGAGGAGCTTCTTGGGGAACTATTCCCCGATCATGATCCCATCAAAGTCACCATAGTACGCGAACAATATACACGATTGAAAAGCTGCGCATGCAGTGAGTGTACTAATCTAACACAATGATCGTATTTAGCGTGGCGATGAACAATTCGTCTTTACGGCCCCTGAGGAAGTTCCTAATGTAAGTTGGAGGGTTCAGCGTGCACTCAAAGAACATCATCTAACCAGAAGACATAGGAGAAAATCGAGTGAGCACAAAGCATAATGATCTGTCCTGTAGCGGCCGCTGACCAAAAAAAGTGCTCTTCGGGACAAATGACCAGCGCCATCTCAGTACATCTAGGCATGGCTACTTGACCGCCCTCTCACTCTTCCTGCGCCCTGAATGTGTGCAGTACTACCTTAGCTTAGCCTAATAAGAACCTAGCGTCCGTTGGGACCTTCGGTGCATAAATAGTCAGAGTACCAGCACCAAGCTGGTATATTGTATAGTTAGAGGTATAACGGTCTTTCTCACAAGTCATCCCAATCATGAATACATATTTTTCGGATAATGTTATTGAACCGGTCCAAATCCTCGCTGTCCCTAGATGCTCTAACCGAGGTGAATCGAAGCTTACTTTTGAAGGGTGTGTGAATTTGAACGACATGAAACGGACTTTAACATCATTGGATCATCAAGATTCCGCTATCTGCTTCATGTAAAAGCCACATGCTGACCATGATTGTCTTCCTCCCGCTTACCATCCAATTTCAGATCAGTCTGCCAAAGAAACTCATGGAGTCCATTGCAGATCACTTCAGAAATGCTCGATTTTATAGTTAGCCATCATGACCTGAATGATTCTGTGTATGGTATATCGTCTTGTTTCTATACCCGCAACCTAGATCTTGAAGACCTCTACTGCGCACCCCTGTCTATTGTACAGTCTGGGGACGTAATAGGTTAGTTGTACCGTTGTTGCCAACGAGACTTGGCTAATTTGGCTGTAGATATTTCGTACACACTGCGGTACCCTGAATTCAAGGAAAAGGAAAATCAGTGGGCACTGCGACAAAGTGGGATATACCAGAGATTCAACAAAAGGACAAATCAACACTTCTTACTGCTATTCAGTCCTTTGCCTAACTCAGCTACCCATGCGAAGATTTGGAATCAACTGCGCAACGAACACCCGTGGACCTCACATGGTCCTTTCTGGGTCCATGCAATATTGTTTTCCACTTATTTCCCCACATGGAGACAGTATATGGCTTGGTTAGAAGGCAGGTTGATCCCTATTGTAAATATCTTTGGCAGGAAGTGCTATCTGAAAAGACTGTTAAACCACATCTTAGACAAACTTAACAATGATAGCCGAGATCAATCGGGAATTGCGTGTCAGTTACGAACAGCTCAACACTATGTATGCTCTGATGAACAAGCTTTTCCAAGTCTCGACACTCATGTCCCACTCTCTGGATGTTTTCGAGAATCTTCTCTGTCTTTATGATGATGGAAGGAGATCAAGCTGCGCTGCGATACAACAACTTCAGAATTACTGGCGCCAAGCAGCCGCCTACTCACGAACAGCGGCCGGTTTGAATAATCGCGCCCAAACAACGGCACAGCTTCTTTCCAGTACGCTTTCATTGAGGGAGCAGACCATTTCCAAGGATGAGGCCGACAGAATGGCCACTATAAGCAAGTCAACATACTGGATTACTATCATGGGGCTGCTGTACCTCCCCACAACACTTGTTGCTGTAAGTCGCTCTCTAATTCTTTAATCAAATGAAATATTGATTTATAAGACCGTGTTCGGAACAAGCTTTTTCAATTTCGATAGTGATAGAAGTAGAATTGTGGTGTCAACGGATATCTGGTACTTCTTCGTGGTATCAGGCGGGCTCACTTTTATTACTTTGTTTACTTGTTATGGCTTTGGTGGTTATGGAATGATTTCGCGAAAACCAGCTTTACCGACCTCCGACAAGTGGAAAATCACGAGTCATTGGAGAATGAGTCTAAGAAGAGACAAGGAAATCTCGAATATGAGTTCAGTTTAGGTCATGGTTATCGCAATAGCGCTAAGAGAGACTGTCAGTTTAGTATAAATCTAAAGGTTCATATTATAACACCTAACTCGAGAAAAATAATCTATGATCCCTTCTGGATTAATTACCTGTTGAATTACGAGGTTATGAGTGGTATACATTATATTATTATTGCCTTAAGGACCGGTCTGGGTACGGTGTGGAGGGGTACCTCCATTTATATAGGCAGATGTGTGTGGGTCGTTGTACCCAGCCACCGGGTGGTGATGATGGAGACGGAACCGACTAGCCCTATAATGGGTATGTTTGAAGACCTCCTGGCCGTATACAAGATGACCTATATTAACAAAAAAGAGAGGCCAAGAAGAATGCACGGTGCACGCAGAGCCTCCAACAAGAAGAAGTTCACCCCTAGGTACTTCGGTATTGTGGCGACTTGCCGACGAAGGAGCGTAGTATTGATGACCTGGAGGACGTTGCGCTCATACTTCGAACTCGAAAACAGCATTTTCACGTGGCTTTGTCAAGATCGCAATGAGAACACGACTTTTTGAGACTACGGCATCTTGAGTCCCTGCGCTATGTTCTGGTTCGATCCATCTCAGCTGGATTTTTCCAAGGCTATATTGAAGGTATTCTGCGTAAAATCGTTCAATGATTCTGACATTGAATCTTCTGCGACTGCCTTCAGCGATAAGCTCCGTTAGGCAGAGTATGCCGTGCTTGTTGTTCGGTCTGACCAAGGCTAGTATCCTACGGTCGTCTTTGCTCACAATGATTTTCACAATCTCAAAATGCTCATCTATATTTTTGTCGATACCAGGTGATTGTACCTTATCAAAGTCGTGTATTATTATGATATTTTCTGTAGCAATGATGCATTTCTTACTATTATGATATGGAGCGAATGTCATCGTGGTATTTATCGCCTAGCGTTAAGGCTTATGTTAGCCCTTCTGTTCTGTTATCAGGGGAATTCCAGTTAAGAGGACTTACAGCCTTTCTCAGCTTTGCTGAGCCAAGTTCAGTGAGTGGTTGTTTATCATCACTACTGTATTCCAGGCGAGATACGCAAGCAGCATACTCCTGCATCCCTTTACCTGCAAACCAGAGTGAGGACTCGGACGAGAAACTCAAAGAAAATATGTTGGTCGCATTTTGGCTTGTCCAATCCGGTAAATCCATATATCTCCATATGGTTTCGTCCAATTTGTCACTCACATTCGTAGCTTCCTTTATTTTCTTTAGCTGAACGATATATAGACGCCCCGGATGTGAGATATTGCCTTTCACAATACAAGCTATCCAGTGGCCACGCGGTGATATTGCTATAAGGTGTATTGGAGGTATAAGTCGTGCACGCACCGAAGCCTTCCGGGTAAAGCTAGGGCCATTAGACGACGCTTCGATGAACTTTATTAAAGTAAACTTGTCTAGTGTTAGCTGGAAGTAAGGAAACATCTTGAAAACAAGGTTTCACGTACACAGAAGCTGTCATCCTTTTCTGCTATTGCCATGTAATACCAGTGAACCCCAATATCCACAATCTTGGCCGTATGGAAATAGATTGGAGTGGGCTCGATTAGTGGTTTCCCGGGATTTTCTGGAAACCGTTCAGACTCATAATACAGTGCGATTTGGCCCTCTTTTGAATAATAGGCAAGCAGAGGCTTATCTAGAGAGAATTGGCAGCCATCTGCTTGAACGCCAAAGGAAATGGGCCAGCTTTTTACTGACGACGCTCTATCATTAGTGCTCTTAGTATTGAAGATCTTTGAAAGAATCACAATCGTGGGGTTTTACCTGGACGGCCTCAAAAGAGACTTGAATTTGCTGATCGTTTCATCTAAAGACCCCTGCGTAGGCGTCGCTTGTTCTGCAATATTGGCAGCCTTTTCCAAACAACTCTTCAGTTCGGTCGCTGTTGGCCTCTCATCTGTGTTTATCGAGAATGTTTTATCATCTAGGTACTCAAGGATATGCGTGAGCGCTTTCTTCAAAGCAATGTCTTTTTCTTCCTTGATCAAAAGTTTGTGCCAGGTCTTGACCGCCGGATCTGGCTTCAAGCGGCCAAACTTTGCGTTGCGATAAAAACACGCAGACTCATCACCTTCAGCGCGAGATTTTGCATAAGACTCAACCCCGTCGTATCCTCTTCGGAGCCAAACACATAGCACGCTAATAATACAACCAAGGGACCATAAGTCACTCTTGGTTGTCATTCTCTTAACAGAGCCCGACTCAGGAGCTGAATAGATTCCACGCCCAGGTGGACTGGACGTTGGAGACACTGTCAAGCCGCCAGTGCTGATACTCCCATCCGGCAATTCCTTTATTCGTGATAATCCAAAATCACTGATCTTCCAGATCATGTTGCCGTCGTCGTTATGGAATATGAGAACGTTAGCTGGCCTTAGATCCAAGTGACGACAAATAACCTTGCGACCGTCTGGTGACTCAATACCGTGATGAAGGTAAGCAATTCCTCTTGCTAGACCCGCAGCGTATTGTAAATGCTGAGCTATCGATGCAATGGGTCTTGCGTTATCACTCTCATGCTCCCTCATGTAATGCTCTAAATCCATATCGGCCTTCGGCATGAACAGACTGAAAGCAGAACTGGAGACATATTCGATGGTGCCGTAACTTGATAGAACGTTTTCACATTGCGAAGGGCTGCGTAAAATTATCTTGAGGAAGTTTCGTTCTGTCTCAAAGTCGTCCTTGGCGTGGCTCGGCCTGCGATAGTCCTTTCGTGCAACAACTTGAGGCCCAGGCAATATATGACCTCCTGTCCGGACCATGAGGTGGCTAGTGGGAATCTTGACTTCATAGACCCTTCCGAACGCGCCTTCACCAATCGGCCGTTCGTTCATGCACGGAAGCCTCGCCGTGTCATCATCATCAATTTCCATGTGAGTCCCCTCCTGAAACAATACAAGAGTACAAAAGCGATGCTGGTTGGCGAGAAAATGGTCAACAGTAGCGGAGTCTCCATGGAAAATCTCCTCGAGTCGGCTTTTTTTGAGTGGCAATCGCTCGTTGTTATCCGGAGGCTCGATCACACTAGTTACGAAAGCTCTGGCAGCCGCGATCGGAGCGGTAATGAATATTAAGGTCACAATAAAGGGCTCCAATCTTTTCTCTTGGACCCGTACAAAAAAATCCGTTTCGTCAATGGCAAATCTTGTTTGGCCGCCTGTCCCGCTTACACATCGATAGAATCTCCTGAGACTCTCCTCTCCGAGGACTTCTTGAGCAAGGTCCTTGAGCGCAAAGCGTGTGTTTGGATCTTTTTCCGCTTTCAACAGTAATCGAGACCTAATTATCTCATAGAGGTCATGACGGAATGTGACAAGGGCTCTTATAGAGGGCTTGGAACTTAGTCATATTCATTAATAATCTACTAGGGGTCTCTAGGGCCTTGATCTTTCTCTCCTTCTTCTTGTCCTGGAGTGGGAGATTCTGTAGCTATTTATGCTCATTCAGGCCTTATACAATCTGTGACTCCCTTTTGTCTATTGGGCATTTAGGCCTTAACTGTTGGTCTTCTTGTAGCTAATAGATTATCCTTATTTAATTGCTTATAGCCTTACTTTTTACCAGGGGTAGCGTTAGTTATTTTTGGGTCTTTTAATTTTATAGGATTATTTGTATGATATTATTTCCCCCTTTCTGATGTTTAACTTTAAGTACGACTAATTCCTTAAGGGGTTTGCGAATCCGGAGTTTTAATAGCTTGGGGGTCCGTTGGTTTGTTGGGATTCTGCTGATGGAACTGTTTAATAAGAGCCTTTACGCTAACGCTGTCCATATGTTTATATAGTTCCTAAATCTAATACCTTTTAATAGGTTAACCTTTTTATTTAATTAAGTATTTTATATTTCTTTAGGTTTTTAAGAAGTTTTTAATTTTTTTTATTTAATAATTTTTAAACTTTATTAAAGGTATTTTTTATAGAACTTGGTTAAGGTTAAATAATGCTTAATTATTAATATAATAGGGCTTAATAAATAAAATATAAAATAAATTATAAATTTTTTAACCTTTAAGTAATATAAATTTAATAATAATAGGTAAAATTATTTTATAAATTTTAAAAGGATTAAATATCTTTTTATTTAACTTTTTAATAAATCTTTTCATTTTAATATTTTTTATATTTAATATTATTAATTAATTTTTAATATATTAAGGTAAAGCTTTTTATTTTTTATCCATTTATTCTTTTATATATTATTAAGCTTTTTCCAATTATTCTTTAGCTTCTTTATATATTTATATTATTTAATAAATATATAGCTAATTAAATAAATTATAGGGTTATACTATAAAAAAGTTATATATAGTTAAATAATAATTATAATTTATATAAAAGAGGGATATATATATTAAAGCTAATATAATATTATTATATATAAATTTAATAATTAATAAAAGGTTTTTTTAATTAAATATTTTATAATTAATAAATATTTATAAATAAATTTTAAAGATTTAATTAAATTATTTTATTTATTTATTAATTTAAGGGTAAAAAGCTATATTTATATAAGGTTTAATATTAATAAGCTTTAAAAAGTTCTTTTATAAATAACTTATAAATTTAAAGTTTTTATTAAAAATTATATTAAAAAGTATATTATATAATTTTTAATAATATTTAACAAAAATTTTAATAAAATCTTTAATTTTCTTTTCTTTAACTTTTAAGGGTATAAAGTATCCTATTTTTATAAAGGGATTTATTATTATTTAAATAAAATTATAACTATTAAATAAAAGTAGGTTAATAATAAAGTTTATTATAATTAATTATTATAAAATATAATGTAATTTTATAGGTTAAAGTAATCTATAGGGGGCGTATTATAGGGCTTTATTCTATTAGTAGGTATAGTAGCCTTATATAAAGTCCCTTACAATTACCTTAATATTAGGCTACTAAAAGTTCCTTATAATAAGTTTTAATATTTTATTTATTTCTATATACCTAATTATTTATATATTATATTTTATTTTTATTACTTTTTATTATATAGCTATAAATATTTATAAATATCCTTTCCTATATAATAAATTATTTATAAGTTTTATATCTTTAAAAAGTTTATCCTTTTATAAATAATACTTTAAGTTATTTTTTATTACTTCTTTAATAAGTTTAATAAATTCCGGTAGCTATTTAAGTATAAAAAAGCTATAAAGTTATTTAAAAGTTAATAATATAAATACTGCTAAATTAAACATTAATCCTTTAAAATACGAAAAATATTTATCCTATAAAACTAATTTAACCGGTTAATTTTTATTCCTTCCTTTTTTAAAGTAATATTAAGCTAATTTTAATATAATATTAACCTTTTTATTTAATTTACCAGGTTAATAATTTATTATAAACTAATATATAAATAATTACTATGCTTAATATACCTATTATTTATTTAAAACTTTAATTATTATAAAGTATAATAAGTTTTAATAGTTAAAATAAATCTTAATTTAATATTAAATACCTTTTAAGTATTAATATTATTAGTTAAATCCGTTTATTATTATAAATAACTTTTTATTATATATTTTATAGTTCATTTTTACTAATATTAACTTTTAAAAATAAAAAGCAATAGGGTAAAGTTTACTATTATTATCCTTTTATAATAGTACAGCTTTAAGGGCAAAGTTAAAGGTATTAATTTTAATATAAGCTACTTTAAAAAGGTTAAAGTAAATAAATATAAGGGCTATAATAAACCGGTATTTAAATTTAAAGAAAGCTTCGTTTATAATTTCCGTTTACTTTTATTACCATTGATTTATTTTATTTATATCCATTAATAGTTTTATAATTAATAAAAACTTTTTAATAAATCTTTAATAAAAGTTTATAAACCTAATAAATTATTATAATTTATATAGGGTAATTAATACTTCCTATTTAATAATATAATTAATTTTATCTTAAGCTATTAAAATGCTATTAACATTAATAACGTATTTAAAGAATTTAACTTTATATATATGCTATTTATATTTTTAAAGTATTATTGCTAAATTATACTTATTAAAGCGTTATAATACTTTTTTAACTATTTTATTATATTCCTTTTCTATTTTTATATAGATTAAAAGGTTATTAAAGTATATAAATAGCCTTATATTAATAAAATTCTAAAAGATATAATTCATTATAAATTAAAACATTATAAGAATATTAATAAATCCTATAAGTATTATTATATATTTAAAAAGTCTATACTTATAATAAAACGTTATTTTCCATTTATAACCCTTTTTAATTTTAATTAAATAAAATTTAAACTTTAAGTTGATCTTAATAAACTATTTAGCTTTCCGGAATCTAGTTTAAAATTCTACAATAAAGGGAATAAAATACCTTATTAATATTATAATAGCATTAAAGCTTTAATAATCTATAATAAGATATAATAAATTATTTAGATCTTTTTTTTTTATAAATATAAAAGGTACCCTATATAATATAATAAATTTATAAATATAATTAATTTTAAGCATTTTATTTAACTATAGTTTAAGTATATTTAATTTATAATTATTTATAATATAAAGGAATCCTTAAAGTAAAGTTTTCCTATTTATAAGGTTAATTATATAATCCTAAGGTTAATAATTAAATAACTATTATATTATTACTTTAATTATAATTAGGAAGAATTCCTTAAATTCTTTAAGGATTTATTTTATTGCTGCTTTAACAGTTGTTTAGAATATAATTATTATAACCTTAACAATCCCTAAATTAAAAATAATTTAATTAATATAATTCTTATAGTAATATTTAAATATAAATATAATTTTTCTTATATTTTTAAAAAAATAAATAGGTTAATGTTCTTTTATTTATTATTAAGGTAGAATAATATTATAGTTCCTATTAAAGGTATTTAATTTAAAGTTAAATCTTATAAAGTAATCTTTTTAATATTGGAAAATAATTTATTTTATATAATATTACCTTACCTTTTATATATATATTATATTAAAAGCTAATATAAGTTTAAAATATACTTTTTTAATAAAAGGTAGCTTTTATTATTTAACCTTTAAAAAGGATATTATAGAAATAATATTACTTATATTTAAAAGTACTTTAATTAAATATTTTTAATTATTATATAATAAAGTTATAAGAATAATAGGCCTATACCTTATTTTAAGTTTTAAATTAACCTTTTTTTAAGTTAATTTAGGAAACTTATCTTTTATTTATTTAATTATATTAATATAGGAAAAGTTACCTTTTTAAAAGCTTAAGTTCCTATATAGTACTTTATAAGGCTTAATTAAAAATTTAAATTTAATTCCTTTATTTTTATATATTATATAGGATTAATTACCTTTATAATAATAATATTAATCTTAATTCGTTTAATTATAAATAGTAATTTTATATTATTATTAAGCCTTTTTTTAATAAAAAAAGTTTTTTTAAGGATTAAAGAAAGCTCCTTTCCGTTAATATCCTTTTTAATATAGTAAATAAGGATATAATAGTTACTTTTATTATACTATTAATAATTAATTTTATTTTACTTTTATTTATTAATAGTAGTTTAATTAATCCTTTTTAATATAATTATAATATTAAATTAATAATTATTTTTAAGATTAACTTTAAATTTATTTAGCTTTTTATTAATAAGTTTCCTTTTTTTATCCTTTTTTAAAAATTAATTTAGGTTTAAATTAGAGTAATTCTTTTTATCTTAATTTTAATAGCTTAATTTTAATTATTCCTTTATTAAATTAAACGTACCTTTTAAAAATAGCTTAAGGTATATTAATATATTTTTATAAATAACGTTAACTTTTTAAATTACATTAAGAAATTTATTATTATCCTTAAAAATATAGCTTTAATTATAATAAACTATCTTTATAAGTTTAAATAATAAACGTTTAGTAATAAAGGTTTAAAAAGTTAAATTAAACTATTTTATTAAATTATTATAATTAAAGATTTTAATAAAAAATTAAGCAATATTATTAAAATATTTTACTTTTATAAAAGTATTAATATTTTAATATATCGTTAATAAATCCTTAAACTATACTTTTAAAGCTATTTAATAAGTTATTTAAGTATTAATAATATTAATATAATAGATTTACTTTTAATAGGATTAATATTATTATAAAGCTTTATTTATTATAAAGGAATTAATTTAATTAATATAGTATTTATTAAAGGGAAAACTTTCTATATATATAAATATATAATCCTTAACTTTAACCTATTATAGGGAAAATTTAAAGGTATCCTTTTTATTATAGGTATAAAGCTTATTAAGTTAAATAGGATTAAATATTATAGTTATAAAATTAATACTTTTAAATATAGTTAAAAACGTATATATTAATTTATTAATAGGAGGGTTAAGGGGATTATTATTATTTAAGTTTCCTTTAGGTCCTTTATTAAGGTTTTAAGGTAGCCTTTAGGGTAGTCCTTTAAGCGGATTATAGGGCGGTTATCCTTTGAAGGG